CGAAGCACCACGAATTTCCTTACTATCGATGCTCATCAGGCGATCTTCAAAAATTGTCGCGGGCGTTTTGCTGTGCTTTAGCTTTTTGCTTTGTCTCTGCCTTTGACTTGTTGGGATGTGTTTGCTTCCAATGCTCGCGCCTCGCTTGCATCCCGACCTGATCTGACCTGGCTTGGTTTAATTCAATTCACCCTCGTGCAAAAAAAACAATGCACTGGACATTAATTCTCCCCCACCTCCTGCTCTCTTCTATATCTTCTCCTTTCCTTTCAAGTCTTCTTTTACTAGTCCTAGCATAGCCTGTGTTTACCCTGGATTGACAGTGTTTGGTTTCCTTGATCTACGCATTCAAATTCTACTTGTACTACCTTGGATATAGTAGTTGGAATATTATTATCTCTTGCTGTTTGGCCCTGGATTCATGCTGCTTTTAGGTTTGCTGATGTGTAGGTAATAGCAACTGGCAGCTACTAGTAGTTATCGGCCAGTAACCTTTTACTTGTAATCCTGACCTAACTATCATCTGCATAATCCTTGGTCATCATTTGGCACAGGCATCACTGGAATCACTTACTGATGATCTCCACCATTGCAAGTGCCAACCTTGGAATGTTCCTCCGTACGAGCGGAGGGAAAATAGACCCCACTGCCAATTACTCAGAAGAGAATACGGTATACCTGCTTTGAATTTATGGTTAATCGAGGGATGTTTTAGTAGCGATCAATTGAAGTTGTTCATCATTACCTTAGTTACTGGTGGTAGTACAATTTTAGCAGAGCCAGACGAGACTTATGCTCACTACTGTCATAGTCCGTAAGATTAATCAATGCATAATTTGACCAAGGGTCTTCATAACGCCCAGGTGGACAAATGAGAAATTAAAATGTTAGCAGAAATCCGCGCCCTACGTAGTGGGGCTCAATGACGGGGGTCGGTAATGTCATGATCCAAAATGCAGTTTTTTACTTATATATGGGCCAATATGCCCACGGACTGAGCGCCAGAAAAGTTATTTCTTGGTATGCTTCACTTATTAGAGCTTCTTAAAATTAGTTCTGGTTTGCCATTCCTGCGACATTATTGCACCCAGAGAGGTTTTTCGTTCTCGCCAGGGATACGAGAACGAGTGGATCTAAATAAACTTGGCGGCATGGGAGGCCAATTAAACTCGAGTTTCTGATCAGATTAGCCAAGGGAAGCATTCTCATTTCACACAATCCTGGAATCCCCAAACTTTGTTATTATTCTTCGGAAAGAACCCTTAATAGGGTCCAGATCCGTGCATTTTACTCGGCCGGTTGGTGGAAAAACGAATACCAGCACTGACGATTCTCGATAGGTCCTAATGGGGTTATTGTACTCCGAATATTCCCAACAGCTGCAGAAAGCCAAGGTGCCAAGCGGCGTAGCTAGAATTGGCGCGTGCAATAGTCGGATCCTGATAAATACTGACTGCCCTGTCATCAAACTCAAGCAATGAGCACTAAGTGCGTCTGTCAACTCGTTAATCTTCCACGTTTATCAGATCCCATCTAATCTGATAAGTCGGCCAACTAGGCTGTCTCTTGAGTTAAATTACGAACCCAGCATATGGGGGGGGGGATCTTCAAACAAATACGAAAGCATAAAGATCTGCCTAAACTCCATTCACCGTGCTTCTGGTCCTCTGGCCCACCATATTGAGGCTATGCAACTGGTCCCTACTCCATATCCGAAAGTAAATCCCCCGATGCCTCTCACACCTTCCGATCTGATAGGAAAACTCTCTTTTTCAACGTCCCGAATGGGCTGGTGAGACATGGGAATCTGCCGATCCTAGCCAGGTTTGGGCTTTCTAGATCTTGGCTTATACTTCGGGGTTCCTGGCTAGACAAACGCGGTGGAATTAAGTTGCTCCTTTGTCGATATCCTGTAGAAAAACTTCGGAATTAATAATATGTATGTAATCAACCATTGATCATCGTGCCACTGAGCACTTTTCCTGTCCTGAAAGCGGTTGTCACCTTGTCCATCTTCTGTTTCACGGCGGATTCAGGATTCAAGGTCCTGCGATGAGTTCATTTTTCCTCGCCTTTTGCCTATGGCAGGCCACAGCTGCGGCGGTCAAAACTAACCTGAACACTGTATGTGCAACTGGATGTCAAACCACAGTTTCCAATATCGGCTTTTCAGGAATCAGTGCTCTAGAAGACTATTATGGGTCTTTGTGCGGGAATGTCCTTCAAGTGAAGTCAACATTCAATTGCATGCGAGAATACTGCTCGGACAACGGACTTTTGGACGGATGGAATGGCCTCAATCAGGTTTGCGAGGAGGATGGAGGGATGGAACTTCTCCCGTGGTCTATCATCGATAATGTCACAGAAGCAGAGGTGAAATCTTGGCCTACTCTCACCTATGAGGACACTCAACTGGGTGCTGAGTTTAGTACCCCTGTCTCGGTTGATCAAGGTCTCTTTCAGATTGGGTATCAGACTATCGTAAGTGACATGATCTCCATTTCATCTGAGTTAATACTAATTGGTACTTAGTTTGACTGGGAGAATCAAAGAACGAAGCGACACAATTATGGGTAAATAATCAAACTCCAAACGTACACTCTCTCGATTTTCCCCTGCATTCTCTAACTTCTGGGAATCGGCAGCTACGCGATAGTCGGCTTCTGGGGACTTATCGTCCTCTTCGGTACTATGCATAACTTTATTCGATATTTGATGGACTCATCTATCCTTCGGTCGAAAAAAGTAGCGAGATGTCAGGGTTTCATCGGCCGATACTTGGCCGTGCCACCGATCTTGATAACCAGGAAGAAAAATCGAATTTTCAGCATGCCTTCCACTCCGAGACTACAAGCCATCATCATTTCGATATACTTCATTATCAGTATAGTCCTAATGTGTGTCGACTATCATGCATTCTCGGAAAACCTTTAGTAAGACCATCATTCACCGACTGCGGAAGACTAATCTTATTGAAAGGATATTCACTGATTGCCTCGATTCATCAGTTTCACCAAGAAATCCACACAGCTATGGCGGTACATCGGAGATAGAGCGGGTGCTTTGGTGATCAACAATCTGCCAGTTATGTGGCTGTTCGCGACGCGAAACAACTTGCTCTTATGGGTAACACGGTGGGACTTCGCCACGTTCAACACCTTCCACCGTTGGATAGGCAGAGCGTGTGCCATCGAGATATTTTTGCATGGAATGGCAGTTTGCATTTATCAATACAAAGGTGGATTGAGATTCCTGTGAGGAGGTGAATCAGGCTGATTTTTGTCAAAATTCAGAGCTTGGAACGGAATATTTCCTTCCACTTTGGAAGGACGTCGACTGGTATATGGGTGTTGTTGTAAGAAAGGCTCCCTGGCACCTTTTGAGATATTGACTAATGCCCTCGAACAGGCTGCTTGCTCGATAATTTTGACCACTCTTCTCGCAAGTGCACCAATTAGAAAATCAGTCTACGATCTGTTTTTGATCGTTCATCAAAGCTTTGCTGTTGCTTGTCTTGTTGGACTGTGGTAGTGAGTATTTTTCAATATCGCATCTCCAATGCATAACTAACGATATATATTTAGTCATCTACCCGTTGACGGTCCCGACTACGTCAATTTCATCTGGCCTTGTATTGCTATTTGGTCATTTGACAGATTGGTAAGAATAGTCCGACTTTTGACCTGGAACAAATTTGCATCCTACTCCTCTGCGGAATACAACCGCGACGCAGATGTTATCCAGTTGAGGACCAGAGTACGACGGATTGCCTCTCCCCGTCCTGGAAGCTACTATTATGTTTACGGCTGGCGCTCTCTCAAGTTTTGGGAAAATCACCCATTTACTTTGAGCGGTTGGAACACGGTAAAAACGACAGACGAATCATATACCGAGCTCATCTTCCTCATTAGTGTCCAAAGCGGATTTACTTCCAGGCTCCGGAGCCAACTACTCAATCATGAAAAATCAGAGATTGACGCTTCATCAACTGCGAGGAAATCCTGCATCTCCGTCGAGGGTCCGTATGGCTCTCATTTCTGCCCGTGGCATTCCGAAACTGCTCTTTTCGTCATTGGGGGCGCCGGTATCACGGTTGCAACATCATTCATGCAAGACCTGGTTGATTTGGTGCAGAGTGGCAAGCATACTGACCAGAGGATCAAGAGGGTCAAGATAGTCTGGGCTGTAAAGAACCCCACCTTTTACCAATTTGTCTATGAGCGCTACATGGTGACTTGGGAAGCCGTCTTTGCATCAACAGATATCGAGCTATCGCTGGATGTGTATCTCACAATACCTTCCAAGATGGATTCGGACGATGAGATGTCGTTACCAGAACTTCGTGCCGGGCCCAACGAGAGTACAAAGAACATGGATACCGTCGTCTCGCCGTCGTCTTCATCTAATTCCAACATCGCGACCGAGAAAGTACCCTCTGAAGAGGTTCCTACCAATGCGGGCAGGGGAACCCTAAAAACAACTTTCGTGCAGGGAAGGCCGATGATCAACGATGTCATTAGAAGCCAAATCGAAGCTCTCCGCTTATCTGGGGAGAAGCAACTCGCACTTGTCGGCTGTGGTCCAGCTACAATGGCCCATGACATACGCCTCTCCTTTGTCGAGTCTTCGAATGATGCGCAAGTAGCAGTTGACTTCCACTTGGCTCCATTCGGCTGGTGAACGTCCGTGAGCCAAGACGGATCTGATTTTATAGACTGATAGAAGGGAATATTCGAAATATAAACGTACGAGCGGAAAATCGTGTCGAAAGCCAAAACATCTGGGCAGAAGATGGTTATTGACCTCGATGATGGTATCAGGAGGAAGCGATGGATGCTCTCGCCATCAAAGCTGTTAAAAATACTAGTACACCATACTGCACGAGTCTAAGACCCTTCTCATAGTAGGACATGTAGGATCATTGATGGGTCCGGTTTCTCCATTATCTTCAGTTCTATCGTCACCTTCTAAAAGCGAGGGCAATATCCGTCAATCGCGAATTATAGATCCTCCCCAAGCCAGACCCGCCGTCTTTTCCCAATAATTTTATTACCTCGCGTATCGCCATCGTCGGTCTCATCCACTTCGAACTCCTCTAAACTTGGCGAAATAGCCAAAAGAACGTTGTTCCCAGCTTCTTCAGCAGCGTGCTCGACGAATATTTTATAGTCCGCTTCATACTTTCCCACCACACGCGATCGCACAGCAGGATAATGCCACTGCAGCCATCGTTCTTCAAACATGATGGAGCAAGATGTAGCTTCAAACAAGCCTATAATAGCCTTGAGATCTTGCAAATACAAATCGTCCAGATAAACAATGACATTGAGAGACTTGCGGCTTTTGAACTCATATTTCAGAGTACCGACGAGAGCCTGAAGATACGCATGCCTCCCTTGGAATGGGGTTGCTCTATGAGCCCAGCCAGCCACCTTGACCAGAGCATAGATGGGGGCAAATATCACCAGAAACACTCCTACCAACACCGAAACCCCTAGATGCTGTCTTATAAGGGGAACCACGTCTTCATCCACTTGAACCAAAGGACCACTCATTATGGCGGGTTCGGGACGAAATACAACCGTAACTTTCCGTGTCATCTCACATAATAGAGGATACGCATTCAAAGTGTTGAGAACTCCAGGTACTGACATATTTACTTTACTCAGTCCCCCATATCTGGGGATCTCAACATGAATGCATACCGAGGATTTCTGGAACATTATTGCCATTGATTCATGTCTCACCTGTCGATTGACAGAAAGAAGGTTGAAGGACTTGAGGAAGTGGCATTTGAGACCCGCGGCATTTATGGTGAAATCGTGCGGCTCTATTTCATCCCCAGTCCTGAAACCGCCACTTTGCGATGATGACTTGAGGAGATTTCCGCTGATTGATTCGTTGATTATTTGACATCGGAGTTCGAAGGGTAGATCTAGGAATTGAGTTGAAACCGATCCGACATTTGGATCACCTAGTCGAATGGGTCAACCCTATACCTTGCGGATGAAAATATTCTGGGCACCGACTTGGAGTAGCCATGCAGCTTATCTTGATCAAAATAAAGGAACAGGTGTTTTGTGACCTGGATGATAATATTCTATCCTGAAGTGATTTATATTGCTCCACAAATTCCAAGATAGAGAAGATCCTTTTCAGTGTGTCCAGGGTGGCGGTTTGGGTCAGGTATCCGTGACGAATAGTTACGCGCAGCAGCTGAGGTCAAGTGCTATGCGAAAAGTCGAGCGGAAAATTCCTCCAGTCTCCCGGGATAGTATAGCGGTAGGACGGAAAGAGGGAAGTAAAGGTAAATGGAGTTTGAAGATGAATAATGAAAAAATACGGGACGAAAGCGCGTAATAAGCCAGATTGCAAAGTATTTTTGCACCATAAAGGTTTAGTCGGGACATTCGCCGGACTGTCTTAGGTGCCATGCGTGATTAAGACACGACTATTGCCTTTTCTTTCTACACATGACAGGTATGGGTAGCTCCCACTTGCCCCAATATAGTAAGCGGCTTAAACTAGCGAAGCTTGAAAGAGCGCCAATTTTGCCGAGGGCCCAACCAGCGACGAAGCCCCTGGAAGCGAGGGTCCAAGCTACCACAACTCCGAAGACCAATTCGGCTTGGAACCGAAAAATAGATCCGATCGCATTGGCGTTTTATTACAAAATGAGTACATTGCCCCTGGGTCTTCAGAATAAAAATCGAACAGAGATTTCCGTTTCGGTCCACGGAATACTCCGCATTTGCCAACACTATCACCAAAGTCATACTTGAAAAAATGTTCGCTCGCGCTCTTCTTGCCTTGAGCGGAGTCTCCGCCGCTTATGCTCAAACTACTGCTGGCTCGCCATTCTTGGCCCAGTTTCTTATCTTGAGTGACTACTCCGTTTCCACCGTTACAGGCGTATGTGGCAAAACCTTTCTATCATAAAGAATTGATATCTAACATTAAAATGCCACAGGATAAAACCCATACCACATACAATGTAAAGTGTAATAGCGAGGCCACTCTTTGCTCGCTGCCTGCTACTGGCGTCACCGTTGTCACTGCCCCATCATCTGTCGGACTATCATACACCGAACCCTCAGAAACATTGTAAGCCGGGATATTTCAACCAGCGACAATTATTTATTGAGACGTAGCTAATCCCTCGACAGTACTTCTTCAGTCGGATGTACTTATATCGACGATCGAGCATCGGCAGTTTGTGTTACTCTACTGGCTGCTCCTAGCGTGGGTGTCCAGAGCGGCTCTTTTGTCACAGGCATGGATACTGTTACGTCGACTGTCACTCTGCCAGGCGCTTCCGTTGATCTGGGTTTTAACACGGCCGCTACAACGACTGCCGCTTCTCAGAAGACCGAGGGGGTTGCGTCTACAACAGCAGCAGCTTCTCATAGCGAGACTGCCACGGGGACTAGCGTTGTAGTGAGCGCAACGAAGACCGGGGGTGCAAACGAGGCATTTGTGAAAGATAATTCTGGTCTGATTTTGGGTGTAGCAATGGCTGGCCTAGCACTTCTACAGTAGAATGTCAAGACAGACTCATCAGACACTTACGCTCTCTTTCACAGCCCGTACCCAGAAATGTTCTCAATCATATTTAGATGTAGTGTTAGCAATTGGTTTCAGCCTTTTAGCTACGCTCTGCTTTAGTTCCAGAACAAACAGCGTATACTAAGTCACTCCCTGCTCGGCTTTCTTGACGACTTAAACAGTTTTTAACCTAGAAAGATTTGAGATAGCTCTGGGGTCCACTGGTGCTTTTATAGCATATCCGTGTTATCAATTGTAATGCAGTAATAGAGTGGAGTAATCCACCCGGACATCATCTGGGCATGCGCGGTCATTATAGTATTTGACAACAGTCCTCAGCTGTGGTACAAGACTGATTCGTCAACAAAACGTCTGAGGAGAGATATAAGCTCGGCTGGGCAAGAAACATCTGGTGTTTGACAAGCATCCAGTTGCTCTTTTGCCAGCAATACCACCGCTTGATTCTCCCTTTCCTCGATTGCCCATTGAATTGCTGACCTGCCGCATTTGTCCAACGCAAATACATCAGCTCCCGCCGCGAGGAGTTGCTGTAACACTGTTACATGTCCACTTCGCGCTGCCCAATGGAGTGCGGTCATACCAGTGCCATCAGGGAGGGAAGGATCGATTCCCTCGGAAATCAAATCACCTATCTCAATTTGTTGTCCATTTCGGGCAGCTACATGAAGTGATGTCAAGCTACTCATGTGAGTCGGTGTAATTACAGGAGCGATAGCAGAACCTTCTTCCCGACGAAGAAGTTCATCAAACCGGGGTGGAAAGGATGCCCAGTTAAGTGCAGTTCTTCCACAGTTGTCACGTGCAAACAAGTCGACTCCAGCGTCAAGTAGTTGCTGTATTGTTGCTGCAGCTGTGGCTGTTCTACCACCTTGGACAGCCCAGTGAAGGGCGGTCATTCCATGATCATCTATGGCTGTGATGTCTACCTCCCTTTCCAGAAGTATTGAGAGGATTTGCTGACTTCCACCATATGCAGCGTGATGAAGAAGTGGACCAGTGTGAACAATTTGTTTTCTTTCCACTACTTGTCCAAAGGACAAGTGGAATATCGGCATTGGTGCGGATGTAGCCAGTGCGTCAGCGTTCTCAAAGGCATCAAGAAGTTCACTAAATGCCTCGACGTTGCCGCAATTTGCGGCACTGTGCAATGCTGTAAGCTGGTTGAAATCCTGATGAGATTCCGATATACTATTGTGATCAAGTAAGAGCTGGACTGCTCTCAGATTCCCTCCTTGAGACGCGTGATGTAATGGTGTCATCCCCCTTTCGTCCAATGAAGTTGTACTGGCTCCAGCATTGATAAGAAGCTGCACAACAGAGCTATGGCCTCCGGAAGCTGCCAGATGCAGTGCTGATTCTCCAGTGACATCCACCAAATTTATATCTGCTCTGGCTTCGAGGAGGAGACGTACGATTGTCTCATGGCCCAAGGAAGCTGCCCTATTCAGTGGCAACAATCCTGATGGGTCCGGTAGGGAAGCAGTAACCCCGGCGTCCAGGAGAATTCTTGCAGCTTCCGTATGTGCAGAGGAGACTGCCAGATTCAAGGCTCTTTGACTAGCATGAGCGCCCGAATTCCTGAGCAATTTAATTGACTCCCCATTACCTCGACCAGCTGCTGCTTCTAGTGCAGTATGAGGTGTTCCAAGGCCTTCCATATGAAGGTCAGCCCCCCCAGTCCAAAAGCTGCTGTACTATATTGTCATGGCATCCAGCCACCGCCCAATGTAATGGCGGCACTTTACCAAAAAGCAAAGAAGCATCGTCATTAGTTCGATCCAGCATCGCCGTCAGCCCCATAGACCCTTTTGCTGTTGGATCACCGAGTGTGTCCATCAAATGGTAGGGAAGGCTTGATGGGTTGGCTCCATTCTCGAGTAGCAGAGCCACTATGTCTTGGTGCCCTTTATAGGCAGCCCAATGTAAAGCCGTCAAGCCAGGGAAATCGAATGCAAAGACATCCGCTCCAGCATGGATAAGGAGCTTTACCACTTCAAAGTGGCCGCCGTATGCTGCCAAGTGGAGTGCAGTTGTGCCCTCGAGCGCGTCTCTCTGAAGTATCAAACGTATTAGCAATTTACAGAGTATATTCGATATAGGATATTGGATACTTTGTAGTCTGTGTGAGGGTAAAGGATATGAATTTTTTTCGATTCTTCCTTCATATATTCAGCTTGGTGTCTGTATGACGCAAGGTCGGCTCCGGCAGTAAACAACCTCCGCACTGCTTCAGTATCTCCATCCAAGGCTGCCTGGAGGAGAAGTTCTGTATTGGAGTACTGCTGAGGGCGGGTTACAGGGAGATTGGAAGTAGTCGTCACGAAATTGTCGGCAGGGGATATAGGCAGTTGGCTGCACACCCCTCTTTCAGCGCGTAACAAGCTATCTGTGCCATCGAGATTCCTGTTGCAACATTGGAGTTTGCAGGGGTCACCGTCCACCATGATCGAAGTTGACCTTGCCGTATCCGATTGAGCTAACCGGCAGATGGCAATCAGGTAAAGAACAGTTCTAGCGGAGTGACGCATGTATAAAATCAGAGCTAGGTGACTCCTTAGGATGTGCCGAAAATCCACAAACAAATTTTGTAAATGGTTATTGGATCGAAACGAACTATCGGGGGAGAGCCAGTAATCCTTGTTTGCTGGGCTTGCAAAGAACCTTCTGGACAGGGGATGGTTTGTGAATTTCAAATGAGACCTGGGGATTTTTGAAACTGAAACTCGCACTAGCCTGATTGGGAAAATATAAACTTTGGAATAGTACAACGGCACGGAACCCCACCCCAAACACAACCCGCCTTCTTTGCAGGGAATATGTTACGGTATTCTCATCATATGCCTCCTGACCTGGCTAGAAATGCAGTCAAGATCGCAGGCGGGAGAGCCACAATCCGGGCCCCTAGGCCAGTACCCCCCCTGGACATCATTTCGAAGGGTCGCCCACAGGATTCCAGTCAAAATGCTTGCGAGTATTGTAATCATCATAATCGAAAAGATCACCTCGCGATTTGGTCCTTCGATCATATGCATTCTCCATCCCAAGCACGCCTCACCGCAGTCGATCACTCTTTTGTCCTTCCGCTTAGGCAGGCGAGGAAGCCAATCGTTTCGAATGGGGTTCAAATCCCCTTTGTCGTGATTCAGATAGTGAATGAAGATTTCTGGGGGCATGGACGGATGCCGTATCGGTGGTCTAGAGAACTCATAGTTATGGCAGTTGTCCGGAGGAATGCAATTCAGTCGGTCGCAGACAGAGATATAACCACCCTGCAGATTCCAAAGCGTGAACTAAGCAGCTGTTAAAATATTAAAGTAGCTCTTCCACATTGTAGCTATCACTTACTTGAATTAATTCAATAGTGATGGGCTCAATTAAGAAATTGAACCGTGAGCGTATTCCTCGCGTCTTGAGATACTGATCCTTCTGCATACTGAACGCGATTGCGTCTGACTTCACGCTGGACATATCGGTCTCCGCTTGTGTCTTATGTATGGTACCCGTGTTAATGCATAGCGCTAGGAATTTTGCCCGTTCAAGTTCCTCGCTGTCTTGTGATATATCGCCACCATATGTAGCGATTTGCTGTTCGTCTCCTGTTGAGCTGCGCGAGGATCTCTTCATGGTTTGGGTACTACTTGTTGGTAGACCTGCGCTGAGTCCCTCAATGGAAGCAGTGCTACGTGAACCGTGAGGTAGATGCGGTGATTGTGGTGTAAGGGATGCCAGCTCTCGTGTATCTTGGAGGGCTCTCTAGTAGATACCATGGACTGTTGCTGTTGTTCTATACTTTGTTATACTTGAAGGTGGCGACGTCATGTGTTGTTCTGCCCGTCCTGACCGCCCTAATAGTGGGGCTGATACCGTGACTGGCCCAATTTGGGAAGGTCACGCCTTATCAGCCCAGCCCGCCTGCACTTACAAACAAACCAGCCCCCTTTGCGCTTTCGAAGATTGTCGACATCCAGATACCCAGTGCAGCTGGTGGGGTCTCGCAGCATAACAACTTGGATCGAGATACCCAACAGACACCGCCTTTACCACGACAGCCCCTTGACTCCTGCATCACGAGACCACTCCAATCTGCATCCTTGAGCCTCATCGTGTGATTGCCACCCCGGACCGCGCATAACGAGCCATATCGGGCGAAAGATCCAGTGCCGCACCCCTTCTACCTTTTCCACCTCTATCTCATGACGAAGGGACTGCATGGTTACGGCCGAGAGTGATCTCGCAGCCCTCTCAACATACTTTTGAATCTAATAAACCCCCGAGTTCCCTGGATTGGCGCTCAATATGTCTCTCCCAAGTACCGCATCATCCCCGGATCCTGCGACAAGCCCTCCTGGCGAGGATATCGATCTGCCTCACGAGCGGGACCAACAGACAGACCGTCGCGAGAGTGACGCCCCCATTGAAGCCAGCTCAGCCCCCATCGTCCTCGATTCCGATTCCGACCCTGATGTTACCGATTTGTCCACACCCCCAACACATAATGCCCCCGCAGAACAAACTCGGACTCAAACACACCCCGGTGAAGCGGCCGGCCGCGAAACCTCTGTCAGAAGCCTGCCCCATAGATCTGCCCCTCCAGCAGAACATCGTTCGCAAAATCGGCCCGAACTGGCAGGAGCAACATACGATACAGCAATAGATATTAGCTCTTCACCTCCGGCGCTGAACAGGGTGGAGCGAGTTCCCCGTTCACCGGCATCCTTGTCTCGAAGGGTATCACAAAGATCTAGCTATATCGGCGACGAATACCCCGCACCGCAAAGAGGTCCTCCATCCGCTGCATCTATCTTCGATGTCGATATGGCTCAAACAAATTGGTCTGGTAATACCCCGGGTCGATCTCATGCTTTCGGGAGAAGGTCATCCCGAGATAATCTAGAAGCGCCGGGAACATATGGCGGTTACAGATTTCCTGATATGACTCCGTCTCATAATGGCGCGGTCGAGGGAGGCAGCCGGGAGCCAGTATCCCGAAGAAGACCGTCATCCATGTTCATGCCCCACCCTTCGCGAGATTTGGTCGATGGCTTCGAAAATATGATGTACGGAATGTCGCCTACTTCTACCAGACGATTTTCAGGAGGATCACCGCGCCATTACTCCGATATTGCCGGGCCGCCACGGCGTCAAAGCTCGGATTTTTATGACCCCAGCACACGCAACAGGTCCTTTTCCGATCGATACCCAGGCGAGTCTTCTAATCTATCGCGGCCAGGTGCCCACCAGCGATATTCGAGTATGAGCACGCCGAGGTGGCAGGGCGCCGAGGGACCTAGTCGCAATCGTCGCGACAGAGGTCCATTGCCTATCTCAGGGCAGACGCAGCGAAACACGACTCTCGACGAGATTTTCCAAGATGTTAGTCTTCCGAGGTGGCAACCCGACTCGGAGGTATCAAGCTGTCCAATTTGCGGGACAATTTTCAGCTTCTGGCATCGGAAACATCATTGCAGAAAGTGTGGCCGAGTCGTCTGTGCTGCATGCTCGCCTCATCGGATTACAATCCCCCGACAGTATATTGTTCGGCCGCCGGAATCCACAACTACTCCGCCTCCTGGCTCCTCGCCATCCTCCTCATCTAATGTAGTCGATCTGACAGGCGATGAGGCCCCGACCTCGAACTCTGCCCTCAATCCTGCCCTGGGAGGCGGGGAAGAAGTTCGTCTTTGTAATCCTTGTGTGCCAGATCCCAATCCCAATCCGCTGGGATACGAGGCTCTACGCCAACATGGTCACCGCTCCACCCATTCCTTGTCATCCACGATGGGAGGCACCTGGACGGTAAGTCCTTCAATCACGTCTTCTCCTTGCCCGCTTCCTGGCTTCCAAGCTAATAAAATACATTTTTAGCCCGAGAGCCGCAGTTCACGACACGGCCGACTCACCGTTGGTGCGAATGATCGTCCTTCGACCCTGGGAGGACTCCGCCAGGATGTTCAGCGATCGTTCCAAGCTCCGCCAGGAGAACGAACCTCACGAACCAGCTCGATATATCCGATATTCAATCCACCACAGCAAGCACAGCGTCCCTCGGCAGTTTCAGAATGCGATCTCTGTCCCATCTGTGGCAATCGATTCCCACCACTAGACGACGAACATCCCGTCGAAGCCCGTGAAGCGCATATCCGGCAATGCATCGATGGATACGGGGCAAGCCGTGAATCCCCCGTCAGTCAAGGTCCCGCGGAGGGCCCGGCGCAGCAGGCTCCGTTGCAGTCTCCTCCCATCGCTCGCATGCTGGCATTCACCGCGACGGAGAAGGACTGCCTTGGCGACGATGGTGCGGTAGCTGAGTGCACGATCTGCATGGAGGATTATGAGGTTGGGCAGGTCCTAGCCCGGTTGGAGTGTCTTTGTAAATTCCACAAGGAATGTATTGTGGATTGGTTTGGGAGGAAGGCTGAGTGCCCGGTGCATAAGGTGTCATACTAGTAGAAAGGGTAGAATTAGACTTGTTGGAGGTGGCTGATGTGATGTGCAATTTTGGCGTTTGGATTGAGTGGTGTTTTGTTTCTTCTGTGTCAGTGATTTTGTATATTCCCCTCATCGCGATCAATGACTGTCCATCAGTGCTTTACTCGTCCTCATATATACTATACTCGGAGTAAATACTCGTAGTATACTATACTCATTGCTGTGGTTGTTGTGTCTGGCCCGGTCACGTGCGCTGACCGATTTCACTTCTCTTTTTCGGAGCTCCTTTTGACTCTCTTCGTACTTCATCCTCGTTGCTTTGAACTGTTACCGCAGTCCAGTCCAGGCTTATTTTTCGATTTCTGACAGCTACCTTACTTATATAACTTGAACGCCCCTTGCCTACTAAGCCAGCGCCAAGTCTCCACAGCCAACGAGTTCCACGTCGGTGATCGGTGCTTGCGTCCGCCGTGCTCCGCTCTTCTCTAAAAGTCGCAAAACAATCTTGAATCCTCGCGGGAAGCAATCCACACAAGACAGCTGTCATACAAGCCATTCCACCTCTAGCAGAGCGAATGAATTAGCTGCAGCCACTTCGTTTCCCACCACGCGCGCTCCACAGGCCGAACCATTGGGCCCCCGCCGGGAGGTCTCCATCTCCGCATTGCTGCACCGCTCGATCTCATCCCTCGCGGACTACGGCATCTTTTTCGCCGTCCCGACCGACTACCGACTCCTCAACATACAACAATGTCCTCCGACTATCCCGAACCCCCGTCACACCACTTAGCCGACTCGCACGGTCATGGTGCACCATTGGGAGATCGGCCCGGTCTCGACAGGTCACACATAGCCGAGACCTCCGCCGAACCCGACGACGTCAAACGACCACGCGCTTGTGAGCCCTGTCGCCAGTTGAAAGTCCGCTGTGACCCCGATCCAACGCATCCACATGGCTCGTGTAAGCGCTGCGCTAAAGCGCATCGCACATGTATCACCACAGCGCCGACTAGGAAGCGCCAGAAAAAGACCGATAGTCGTGTGACGGAGCTAGAGCGGAAAATCGACGCCCTGACGGCCACCCTACAGGCTTCCCATAATAAGCCATTTATGGGTCCTTCGCCGCAATCGCAATCGCAGCCATCTTTGCATGATGCGCATGCTCCGGTTGGAGGAACTAAGCGTAATCATGATGGGTTTCTTGCTTCGCAGTATGCTCGCTCGGATAGTCCTTCCGCGCAACAGCTTCCGAGACCTTCGGACTCGGTGCACTGGCGTGGCCCGTATGCTGGGGACATTGTGCCTCCAAAGGAGAATGCGAATGCGTTTGCTGATGTTATCGATAAGGGCATCGTGGACATCGATTCGGCCAATGCGGCTTTCCAGCGCTATGTCACCCGCATGGCACCAGAGATGCCATTTGTGATTATTCCGCCTGGGACTACCATGGGTGATGTGCGTCGTGATAAACCTGCTCTCTTCCTGGCTATTATCGCTACGGCGATCGGTCCATTCAAAAAGGATGTACAGGTCTCACTCCTCAATGACGCTTATCAAACAATCGCCGATCGCGTGGTTGTCAAGGGTGAGAAATGCTTGGAGCTTGTGCAAGCGTTGATGGTCTGCTCTATCTGGTATCTTCCGCCAGATAAACTGGAAGAGTTGAAATTCTATCAATTGGTTCACCTTGCCGTGATATTATGTATGGATCTTGGTCTGAATCGTCCTGTCAGTAATGAACCAAAACCTTTCATGAAACTTCGCGAGCAATTGATCAAAAAGCCGCCTGGAGATATGAAAGGTCCAGAGGCAAGAAGGACGTGGTTAGGATGTTATTTCATGTCGGTGCAGTAAGTTGTTCTCCGCATTTGAAATACGTTACTCTAATGCTAACCCCGACAGGGTTTCTACTGCTTTAAGGCGACCCCAGCTCCTGAGGTGGTCAAGCTACATGGATGAATGTGTTGAGACCCTTAAAACTCATCCAGATGCTTTGCCTACCGATCGTCAGGCAATCTGGTGGGTGAAATTGGCTTTCATCATGGAAGACGCTAGTACGCAACTCTCCGATGATACCGAAACTCTTTCATCCTTCATCGATAGTAAGGTCCGATATACTATCCGAGGATTCTCCAATCAGCTATCGCAATGGAGGAGAGATATTCCAGACGACATATATTCAGGTTTGTATCTCCGCATTTAATCGTTATGTCATTTTTACTAACCTCTCCTAGACGTCCTAGCGCACACTTATCATGTGCTTAATCTATTTGTCCATGAAACCGCGATGGGCATCGACTGCAAAAACAATGGTATCATAAAGTCATCCTCGGGTGATCAGCTCCCGACATCCGCGATTGCTCCTCTCATCGATGCATTGACCACCTGCATCAGCTCGATTCACCACGCATTTGACATTATCATGAGCGTTGACTCGGATAGACTTACATGTCTACCAACAGTAGCACTGGCCCGAACATCGTACCCCCTTGTTAGCCTGATAAAGATACATTGTCTCCTCACCGCGCCGGACAGTCGCCTTGGCCAAGTGATCGACATTGAGAGTCTAAAGTTGGAGTACTACCTGGATCATATCACGAACCACTACCGAAACGCCGCCTCGCTCGGCGGCGGTCGTGCGGCAGCCAAATTCGGAAACATCATCACCATGTTACGGAATTGGTTTATCAGACAGAAGGACAACGGCCCCGCGCTGAGAGAAATATTTGCCACGGAAACAAATTCAGAAACCCCTGAAGTGAAGCAACCGGTACGTGTCCTGAGATTTCCAAAAGAAGGAAGCAAACCAGTACTAACAAATATCTAGATGCGAGGAAGCACCACCCCCCTCGAACTTCTCAGCATAGTAGCATCCTCCGGCCAAACAAAGCAAGACACCGCAGACCCATTCTCCGAACGCCGAAACCAAATAGCATACACACCCTCAACCTTAACACCCGGTCTCCCACCATCCCAATCGCCCAACCCAACTAGCCGTCTAGACCCACTAAACCATCTTCCCAAGCCGGAACACCCCTGGGCCCCACCAACCTCCTTCTCACCATCCATCCACAACCAAAACCCATCTATATCATCAACGACACCAGGATCAACCACTGAGCCAGATCAAACACGGGCATTCTACTCACAATACCCCCAACCCTATACAACAACCAACAACAACCAACAAACCCCAACATTCGCAGAAATGCCAATGGGCACTGGCCCTGGCGGTGGTGGTGCTGGCGGTGCCATGCCCATGGCGCCTATGATGGGCATGCCCGGTAATGAAATGGGCATGGATCCTAATTTTGGTCCGGATGGTTTCTTCGCACTGGAGACTATGATGGATGAGGGGTTGTTTAGTTTTCCGGTTTCGTTTGAGAGTTTGGGGTTTAATGCTTTGCAGTTTTAGGTGGTGCGTGCGTGCCATCCATGCCTAGCTGTGAGGTTGGTTCTAATATCTATACTAGTCTATGTCTATCTGTGGATATCGTGTATATTTCTGGTGTTTTGGTTTATAGGTAGCTTTGTTTTTCTTCTACGCTGTTATGACGGATGAGTCTCTACTCGATGTATTTATATACACAAAGAAATAAGCCACTGGCAATTTATTTAACTTTCCCCGGGGATAGCTAGAAGTTTTGAAAGATGAGAATAAACCTTTATCTCCACAACATCGGATTGTCAAGACCGCGACCCCGTGCTACGGTGCTCCATAGCCGCCGGACATCCACCAATCGCCACCTGTGTAGTACTACCAGTAGTATGTGAGACAGTATATTGAAGATTATTATACCACCAGCACCAGTACTAGGTACCAGTACTCCCGTCGGTACTATGGATCTTACTCGGTCACATGCCCATCGCCTTACTACCAGTAACTTGTTAGGCTCAGGTAACTTGTGCATCTAGAGTAGCTTCACTGAGAGGATTGCAGAGAGTCATAGTAGTAAGTTTATAAGGAAATACTGGTTCGATTGTATCTATGGAGCACCGCTACCGTGCTATGCTGCGGTCTGTAACGGCCCAGGGCGACCTCCAACCTTGGAAAACCAAGCTGCACCTCAAATTACATCCCGATGCACCGACCGACAGTGCTGTCTTAAATTGTCCTTGCGATTAAAAGCCAAGCCGCAATTGGGATGAGGGCATTGAAAGGAACGTGGGGCCTCGTGCTGAGTTTGGATGTGGCGATTGAGGGATCCTTTTTTAGAGAATGGACCAGGTCGTTGGCAACCAACCCAAGGGCATACTAGAGCAATAGAACTGCTAACGGGACTATATTAGAAGGTTGTCAGTACCCTATTCAAAATCGTATACTTGGCACGTACTTGACCACCTCTGAAGCGATTTCAGGAGTAGATAACAAATCGCTGCCCGTTCTTCCGTCGCCCATGGTATAGCGAAAGCTCTGCAGTGTGTCATTGTGAATGGGGGTCGCCAAATTGGAATAGAAAACTGGACTCCGCATAGAAAGAAAATCCAACGAGTCCAATTCTTCCCCTGGGAACGGCATCAGACCCCCGGATGTAGGGTCTAAAGTTGCGGGCGTTGAAACTTTGTTAGACGCTCCATTCAAGTCACTGGCTTGCCACATAAGCATGACTTGACTGTGCCATGCTGGCTGTGGTTGAGCTTCAATTCCTGGTGTATTATCTTGATTGTATACCGAAAAATTCATTATGAAGAGAATGTACGTTGAACTTGAAGAAGAAGCCCCTACGAACAAAAAAGGGGTTGGATGATGTAGGAAAGTTTCGAGCTTCTTGTACGGTAGGGAGACATTTATATGAGAATTGGAAAAATATGGCTTTCTGCCTAAGCTCTATGCAATGGCCCCATGTGCTGTCAGGGCCACTGGCCTATGTGAGCATGTTAATGGTGATGGTGACGGTCGCACCTGGGCAGACCGCGTAAGGCCACAAGCCAATCATACCTCTTGCGCGACGCCACCTCGAAAACTCTCGATCAACATTGCATAAATTTCCATCCTTTTTCCCATCCATTTTCCCATCCATTTTCCCACCCTTTGTACCATCCTCTCTCCCATAACATGACCCATCACATCTGCCATCATATCTCCCACATAAACTGCCACGCAACCAATCAGCCCTCGAGATGAGCGCCAGTAACTGCGGGTCCCAAGGTGAGCGTGGTGTTCTAGGCAAGGTTGTCATGGCGAAGGTATTCCAGTAGTAAGGTCTTCGAAACAATCATCAGCGGTGCTCCGGTCATATCACAAAGCTGCAAATAGTTTAGATTGTATCGTACCGTTTCTTCCAGAACTCAGGACGGTAAATTACTCTTCCCAGTTTTATATTGATGCCAGGCGAGACTAGAATGGTCCACATGCTGCACCCTTTCCCCATTCAATGTTTCACATGGACTGATCCCCTGCAGGTATATTCACCTCCTCGATGAACGCTTCTTAGTAAATCTGATCCCCGCAGCTTGGGTCTCCAATCGAAGACATTGGCTTCAACAATCAATGGCTGTTGATATCACCCCTATTAGCTTTGCCTTTCATAGCTCTCCCGTTCCTTCGGGTGGCCTCAAAAATAGACTAAACAGATTTGGGATTCTGCAAGCGAGACTGGAAGGGCCTCCGTTTCAATTAAGACATTAATTCATAGCTTGATTCTGAGCTGACATATCTCCGTTTTAATTCCCTCGAAGGGTCTCTTTTTCCTCCCATTCTCGTCGCAAACTTCTAAATCTTCAATCACATACTCCGCCATAACAACCACTCTACACGGTGGCGGCAGATTCTCCCAGACCCTACGCACGATCGCATTCGAAACCGGAATCTCAATAATCTCAAATCCACGTCGTTTCGCCTCCACGACCAGCCAAAGGGCTAGACCTTTCATAATGCCTCTTCCTTCATAATCACCCCTCGTCACCGACCCCTTCCTCATCAGCACCTTTCCCAATGGTGCATCTCTATACCCATCCCTAGCCGAGGCTGGAATGAGTGATTCGAGGTGTGCACATAATTGCGCATAACCAGGTCGGATATCAAGATGCCGCCGCATTACATGCTCATCGGGTGGATCTGCTGCATCATGACTTAATGCGATAGAGACAAGAGGAAAGTCGATTTGGTGGAGAAGCTGTTTCGACGATGCTCTGATATCGTTCACGTCCCAGTGTAGTTTTCCACCTGTTTTGATTGACGAGGGATAGCGATATGTGTATTCAGTGTCGAAGACACCGAAGGACATATTTGAGTTTATTGTGTGACGGACTAGATCTTCGACTGCATGGTATTGTTGGTATGCGAGGATTGTTTGGTTTCCAGACTCCACGGCTGGGCATATTGAGGATGGAGATGTCTTGCTTTGCACAAGGAGAGCTTTTGCCGAAGATAGATCGGCGAGCGTGAGTTTGCGGATTTGGTAGCGGGGCGAGAGAGTGTGTAGAGTTTGTACTTTGGTCATTTTGCTCGTCGGCAAGGTATCTAGAATGGCAAAGGGTTGTGAAATTGGTGGATTATCTTGTAATTCAACTTTCAAGTTGGAATTGCGTGTTCAGTGCCTGCGCAGCCTTATTTATATTACTTGAAGGGGGAAATGAATGGTGATGAGTCTTTGGGTTTGGCATTCCACCATGCGTCGTTATGCATAGTAGGTCAGGTAAAACTATACTACTTTGCATGTTTCCCAGATTTTTATTGGAGCTAGCGGCAACGAACCCGAACATCGGACTCGTAATACACCTGGGCATAGATTAGCTGAAACAGAGTGTAGTGACATCATTCATGGAATGTACCCATGAGCAGCATACTAAATGAATAGATGGGACCATCAAGTCAACCTATCAAAGGTGTGACGATGCTACCGATCTCGAAATGACCGGGCACTAAGCTTGATATTCGCATACGCGCAAAGTACAAATCTCTTTTTGAATAGAGATGAGATCGACAGAGCGGCTGATCGACATGCATTCTTTTAAGGTTGCTTGTCAAGGTAAGTGGTAATCCACGCTCTGATTTCCCCTTTACTATGGACAGCCGTTTGATGCTACGGCGTCTCATGGAGTCGAGAATGCTTATATTACGACTCAAGTAAGGAAACCTGGGGTGTGTCTTCGAATAAAAATCAAAGTACGCGCGTCTCTACTCATAGACGGCATTCGGGGGGTGAGTATCGTCGTCATTGTTTTCGTCCGACCTGAGAAGCATGTACGGGGTATATCCCCCCTAGTTATCCCTTGTTTTGTGGCTTACCTTATTCCTGAATCTTGGCTTACACCGTAATATGTTCTAACCGATTGGAATCGAGAAACACACTATGGCAAACGTCGAGGTTTCTATAGACAATGATGATATCTACAACCGCTTCTCGCCTGGACGAAAGGTAGCTATCACGCTGGTCCTTGTTTGGTCATCGTTTCAGTGCACACTCGCTACAACCACGGTCATATCGGCTATCCCAGAAGTAGGCGCCACATTTCACACGACAGAAACTACCATTGCAATTTCCAATGCCGTGATGCTTCTTTGTCAAGTGGCTGGGCCAATCCTATATGCCCCAATCGCAAACACTGTTGGTCGCCGGCCCATTCTCCTTGCGACAAATGCTATATTGCTCGCGTTTAGTCTGGGCACCGCATTCGCCCCGAATCTTCCAAGTTACTTTATCTTTCGATTCCTTACCGCACCTCAAGTGACAGCCAGCCAGGTTATTGCAACTGTCGTCATTGGTGACATTTACCCAGCCGTCACGCGCGGCCGCGCATTAGGATGGCTGATGGTGAGCACCACCCTCGGGCCAGGCATAGCACCTCTTCTTGGTGGAGTGATAGTATCATATGCCTCATGGCGTGTGATATTCTGGGCACAAACCGGCATGGCGAGCCTGTCGGTGCTGTTGCTAGCTATATTCCTGCCAGAAACGATTCACGAAAGGAAAACTCGGATCTTCGCCGACTTGTCTCTTAGCGGAAAGGTGAAGCAATTCATTCACCTGATTAATCCATCAGAGATAGTCACGCTTCTGTTTTCAGCCCCGGGTCTAGCAATCAATGCCATTACGGTTGTCATCTTGCACTGGAATATGTACTCCACTCTCACGCCGATCCGCGAAGTGCTCAATCCGCGCTTCCATCTCAGTTCGCCCCTACAGGCAGGTCTCTTTTATCTGGCGCCCTCTGCAGGATTTATGACTGGGTTGTTCTGCGGCGGGCAACTTTCAGACTGGGCAGTGCGACGGTATATCCGACGACGCGGGCGAAGAGTGCCAGAGGACCGATTGAACAGTACGGTGGGTGTAGTGGGCATAGCCCTACCAGTCTGTTCACTCTTGTACGGCTGGGCAGTGCAGCAGGCAGTCGGCGGCATTCCCCTAGTAGTGGTTGCGCTATTTCTTCAGGGAGTGTTTCAAGTGATGCCATTTGTCAGCCTGAACGTATATTGCGTTGACGTGATGGAGGGAACAGGCAAAAGCTCGCTAGCCGTCGCAGGAAGTTATATGGCCCGCAATGTGGCGGCAGCAGCGGGCACGGCTGCATGTCTTCCTGCCATTGAGGCGATCGGAGTCGGATGGTTTATGACTATCGCGGCCGGCTTACTGATGGTGGCTGCGGGTTTTTTGTGGTTGGCGACGCGGCGTGGGGAAGAGTGGCGGATGCGCGGCGAGGAAAAGCCCACTGAGCGATCTTCCCTCCCGTCGGTAAGATGATTATATTTATTCTTTGCTGCTTATGTAAATTTGATATTGATCGTCTTGATCTAACTACTCAGATGTATGCGGGGTATGAATCCATAGACATTCAGTTCGGATTATACTAGTAATATTACTGCCCAGGTGTATATTCTCTAATGCAAAACCAATTGAACTTGAAGTCGGTTTCTGAAGAACATACAAAGTATATGTAGTAGGATAAAAAGATGATTTATGCGTGCTGGCCGTAACCATTAATTTAATTTTAGTGTTCGATAATGTGCACCATCAACCCCGAGATGTAGGTATATAGTAGCTCTAGAGACTCAGAGTCAGGACCGGGAAGTACTACTACTACTTAGAGTCCAGTATGTCAGCACTGCTAGTGGTAGTGTAAATAGCCTGTATCCAGTATTCAAGTTGTTAGAGATATAAACGCGATACTACTTGGTACCTTATGGAGCGCCGTACACATTACCGATGGCCCGGAAACATATGATAGTACATCTGTGTTTTGTCATTCTCGGTTCATAATAGAACAATATGGGTATATAATAACACTTTTATCGCGAATTCCCCTGCCATGTATGGAGAATCCGTTGTTCCACATATGCCCATGGCCATCCATTCTCTCGTTCAGTGCGACGAAGTAGATCGAATAATAAATTTTGGGCTAGAGGTTCGTCTATCCAGGAGCTGCCTATAATGAAGGAAAGGGAGGGTCAGTACCAATTGCATTAACAAGAATTCTTCCAGGAAACGTACAGGCACACAGGGCATGACAAGCCATGATGCGCAACGATGGTTCATCATCGGCGGATAGTGCAATGCCAAAGAGATAATTGAGGTTTTCAGTAATTCGTGCCTGTAGACAAGATTAGAACAGCGACCCAAACATCATAATCACACCCAGTATTTACCTTTATTGAAACCCGCTGCTCGTGCGAGTTTTCATAGACCTCCGTCTCGCGAATCAACATTAGTGCCTTGGCAAGACATAAATGTTGCATTGCGGTAGCTGCCAAGGAGAAAGCAATATTAGCCCCGAACTCCACACTGCCCCGACGCATCCGCATTCGCATTTGCATCGCGCACAACACAATAGACAAAACACTTACAATGCCATAAACTTGTGTATAGCACAACCGGGAATGGCTTCCCTCGTGCGTGGTCCGGCGACGAGATATGCAACGGGACGAACGTATCCGGGCGACCATGCTCCCATTCCAGAATTCTCTGCTTGAGAGCATTCTCGCCAGCAACACCCAAATGACCACCGTAATTCCGCCCTGAGACGTTATAGCAAAAGTCAATCGTTTCGGCAAGGATCCAGATTGCCCGATTAACCCAGTCGCCGTCGCTAAGGACCGGTTTGGCGACCCACCACTGGCGTAGGCGATCGTCGAAGGGGGCAAAGGTTAGCCGAAGGCATTTCTGGTACGTAAGTGCGAACTGGATGTCTTGAATTACGAAGACCCAGAAGGAGGCCGAGGCGAGGCCGCCGGAGATAGCGCAGTCCACATGTGAACTGATGTAGACAGACCCTGCGAGGAGGTGGCGCTGCGGGTCATTGGAAGGAGTGTGGGCTGAGAGTAGTGGGTTAGCCGGGGGACGTGCTTGTCGGAGATTATGTGGGGGCAGGGGATCATTTAGAGATTAACGTACATGAGATTTGTTCGAAGAAGCGCAGGATCACGGTGGAACTGAGGAGAATATCAATGCCAATGTCGAATTCGGGTTTGTCGAGCACTGGCAACATAATCGAGATACAGCGCTCGTGATAATTATCGGCGACATCAGGAGCGATCGTATTTGCCGTCCGAGATAGATGGCATGCTGATACAGCGATGCATGCGTAAAGAAGCAATGGGCATCGACTAGCCAGGTGGGCCACATCCGAGGTAAACCGGTGTTCCGGGTCCCCGGCATCGAGCTGACCAGTTAGTCATGTAGTATCAAAAGAAGTTTGAAAAGAAAAGAAACTCACCCATGGTGCTAGGTACTGTTGGTAATGCCGAAGTAAATACGCCTCGTTTATGCTTGCCAACCTTGGCTGAACGACGGGCGTGTTTGAGGAGAGGGGTGAATTTGCAGAGGTTGAACGTGAGCCACGCGAATCCGCGACATAGAGAGGAACAGAATTATTCAGACCCTGAACAGAGGGGTCCATGATTGAGGACGAGGTCGAACGAGACTCCGAGGGCGATCTAGACGCCGATTTAGGTTCTCTCACGGACACAACATGATACTCTGATGCAGTCTGGTTTGTTTCATCTTTGAAGGAATCTGCAGGTCTAAAGTTAATTTTTTCCCTCCTTATTCTTAATTTTTTTTTTCGTCTCATTTGCCGACCATATCGTGCAAGGTTTGACAAATATCGTCTCTCACTTACATTCAGAAGATGTTTCAACCCAGACCTGGTCATCTGGAAACGCTAGATCGCTCTCCCCGTATCTCGGGGGGCCCTTTCCACGTAGAGACGGGTTCTGGCCGTGGCGAAAAGAGACCTCTTCAGATTTGCCGGGAGCCGGCACACATTCGCGACCAGATCGCTGGCACCGCAGACATTTTGCTCCCGATTTGTCACCTGCAGAGAGTGTTAGATATCGCACACGATCATGAATTATGTAGGGAACACCATATTACATTTCAAATGGCGCAGCCGACAGGTGAGGCTAAACAAAAATTTTGTCAGTAACTTGGCGAATTGGCGTTTGCGTAGGCATCCGAATTTGCACTCACCATCCCCTCATCACGCAGCGACAGTAGCGGGGAGACACACGAAGAAGGAAGGTTTCCAGAAAGGAATCATAACTCGGTATTCCAGGCCCGAGGCTACGAGATAAATAAAGACGCCCCGGGAAACGGCCAGGCTACGATCCTCGATGATTGATGGAGCACTGCTAATCAATATCTTAAGCGGAGAGGGTGGGGATCACGAAATGGCATGGGTAGATCATAGCGAGTTTGCGTGGGTTTTTTGGAGTACCATCCAGCCAACGCCCGGGCTGTTGGAGATTAGCTTCGACCAGGAGGGGAGAATCCTCTTTGGCTTTGCCCCTCGACCACCCCTTAGCGTGGGTATATTTTGGTCTTGTTGGGTCGGGCGGGTTTCAAGGGTAGGCTGAGCTTCATGCGAATTGGTCCTGATAGAAAAGGAACCCGCCCGGCAGGGGCCCAGTGGTGGCCCGGCTTTGATTATGATTGCAACGCTCCCCACCCGCCCAGCGTTTTGACAGTCTCCTGCTGGATTTGGTTGGTACGCACACCCCCACGCATCCGCAACAAACTTTTGCACTCACCCCGATCAAAACCGATCGTTGCCCGAACTAGAAAGATCTGGGAAACAGGGCGTCGCCGAGACACCACGACAGACCTCGGGAACCCGGCAAGGTGAAAACAAGCGAGTCAAACACGGTGAGGATTGTATACAAATTTTGACTACGATGAATTATGGCGGCCGAGGCTTCCTTGCTCCTCAAACGGCCCCCAGTTTAGTATGCTCGTAAATTTCCAATCTTTTCTTTCTTCTTTGTGCTGTGTGGGAAGGTCGAATCCTGGCGACAGATGTTTAGCGGTATGCATCAGGCCAATCACGGTAGGGAGGTACGGAGTACACGGTTGAGTTTGCAGTCAGAGATTTTTTCTTCGATGTTGATTGAATGCAAATGGGACTTGTCATCATAGGTCATGTCATGCTGACTGTGGCTTACTTGATGTGAGGTAATGCCCCGGCAAGATCAAATGTCTAAGCTTTGAGATGCAAATTTAGCGCAGCCAGGGGCGACAAGCTGTCACCCACTTGAAACCGGGCATTTTTCACCGAATTACCTGGTTCAGGGGACACGTCCGTTGATGCCAGCCATATTTTCGGGACGATTGTTCAGCATTGTTCAGCAGTCGCCCATATGGCAGCAGTTAGTGTTGGTACTAACTGTTAAAAGGCACGCTAGACGTACATACAGACTTTCCTGCCCCTCCGCGACCGAGTTTAGCCAGGAGCGCGCCATTATGATCATTGGGCCGGCGACGCCGGGATCGACTCCTGTACCTGACAAATCCCGCAAAAGTTGGTTGGAGTTGGTGGCACAGGAGATTCGGTGGCACAGAAAAGGCCGAGTGGGGCGAATCAAAGAAGGCAATTCGGCACTGTCCGTGATTGCTTCGGGTTTCATTTCACTGGACCCGTGGGTAGCGTACTCCGGACCCGTCGAACCCTGTCGATCGTTGGGGGGTTGGAGGCGTACGAAGCCGATGCTGTGATTCGATGGAAGTGAAGACTGTTGGGCTCGAAGATTCCGTGACGCGTCTGCAGCCCACAAAGTTAAATGAGCTTTGCCGGACGTATAACCAGAGTAGTGTGCGTTCGTCCGTGGAGGGTGTGGGGAGGACCAGATGCCGAGTTTTTCAGCTGCCTTTTTCAGATGATGTGCCGGAGGTAGACCCAAAGAGGCATCTCTTGAGAGTTGGGAGATTAGACTCGTGTACTATCGATGATGAATGAAGTATAATCCACCCTTTGAATCCCGAGTGATCGGGGACAATAGTTGTAGTCTGGATGAATACGAGTAAGCAAGGACTGGTAGTTATAGGCTTATAGTGAAGTCTGGAAACAGCACGTGTTTTATGCTTATCTGCCACGCTTGCGTTTCCGCTGCCGCTGCCGCCAGCCGCCAGTTTTTGTTTTGTTTGGGAAGGCGCGATGTGATTAAGCGGGGGGGTCAGGTGACTCCCCGGATTCCTTGTTTTGGGACGTCGTGACATCGTCCATTCCCAGCTTCAACCAGAGAAGAGGAAATAAGATGTCGCTCAACCGCATATCGTTCCTCGAAGGGTGGGAGCGGAATCCGGCGGCCTTTCTGCGGGGGCGACTGGAGGAAACGGGCTCCACGGCTTCTGATGAGGAGTCTGACGTGGATCAGGACTTACCAGAATCTCTCTCTTCCTCTTTCCCCTCCACCTATTCCAGACTCAATTTCAATCCTTATGCTGGCCCCGCCTGGAGCGAACGAGGCGACGATCGCGATGATCGTTCACTGAGAGGTGTATCCCCCACGACGCGGGATACGAGTACTCGTGCGGAGCGGGGGTGGGCACCAGGGCCCGTGGCACCACTGCCCGAACCCAAAGCCAAGTCTAGGGACTGGCTGTCGGAAACGACCGGGGCGTTTGAAGTGAGCCCCGCCAGGCGAGTCGGTATGCCGAATCCCTCCCCATCCCATCCCCAGTGCGAAAGCAGAGACGTGAGGCCGTAGGATTGCATCGCTGACCCACTTTCAGTTCAGGTTTGTTTGGCAGTCGTGTACTGCTTTGTCTCGGCCGGCATTGTCTTTGGATTTGCTGCTTTGAAACCGGTACTCGTCAGCGAGAATGTGTATCGAAACTATTGCTCGTTGGATGAACTAAAACAGAATGTGCCCATCTGTGACGGGCAGGAAATTCGGTATGTCTCGGGAAGAGCGTCCCCGTCCTCGTCTCATGCTCACCTCTATATGAAAGCTTGAATTTGATGTTCACAATTGCTGCTGTTGCAACCAATGTTTCTGCTCTCCCCGTGGGGACCATTTTAGATTCCTGGGGCCCACGAGTCAGTGGAATTATTGGGAGTGTGCTCCTAGCCTTTGGTGCCATCATATTCGCATTTGCTGATCAGCTACCCTTCGACGGATACATTCCGGGCTATCTACTTCTATCTTTGGGCGGGCCCTTCATCTTCATTTCCTCCTTCCAGCTATCCAATACTTTCCCCTTGCGCTCAGGCCTTATCCTGTCGTCATTGACCGGGGCGTTTGATGCATCCAGCGCAGTATTTCTCATATTTCGCCTCATCAATGAGCGCTCAGCTGGTGGTTTCTCTGTCCAAAAGTTCTTCCTCCTCTATCTCATCGTTCCGGTGTTGATCACCGTGGCACAACTGACTTTGATGCCTGCAACATCGTACAAAACTGCCGGTGAACTAGTTCAACATGCTGAGACACAGATAACAGCAGAACGAAGAGATCAAACTGACACAGCAATCGAGGATCGCGATGAGAGTGAAAGACAGCGCCAAAATCGCCGCGCTGAACGTCAAAGCATCGTCTATCAAATCCAAGACCTTCTAGATGACGGCACCGCTTCTCTTTTTCTCAGTGACCGGGGTTGACGATGCTGTATTCAGCGGTCTCTCAAGTCCTCGTCGGCCACTTTCCCGCGGTCCGCTCGCTCACGACCTGACACCCCCAAACCCCTGCCAATTCCACCAAATGCACCAAACACAAGCACCAGTGGCGTCTGGGGTGTCCTCCACGGCCAAAGTGCACTCTCACAACTACAGACAGCATGGTTCGCATTGATTGCACTATTTACCGTTCTCATGATGCTTCGAATCAATTATTTCGTGGCATCGCTCCGTACGCAATACACATATCTGCTCGGTTCGTCCTCTGAAGCTCGAACCATAAACTCTGTTTTTGATATTATGCTCCCGGTCGGTGGCCTTTTCTCCATTCCATTTATTGGAACATTCTTGGACAAACTGCGAACACGTACTGTTCTCGCGATTCTCGTTTCGACGGCCACCGTGATGGGCGTGCTGGGCTGCATACCACATAGCACAGAAGCTGCCTACGCGAACATAATCCTTTTTGTCCTTTACAGGCCTTTCTACTATACCGCAATTTCCGACTATGCGGCAAAGGTATTCGGCTTCCAAACCTTCGGGAAGGTCTATGGACTGATTATCTGCCTCGCTGGCGTGGGGAATTTCGCGCAAGCTGGGCTTGATGCGCTTACTCTGAAAGCCTTTGAGGGTGACCCGGTGCCTGTGAATGCCGGTCTGACGGTCATGGTCGCTGTTGTTGGTGCCTCGCTAGTCGGGTATGTGAGTTGGAAGACAAGTATTCTGCTCGGCTCGACTACTACAGTCGAGACTCGTGAAGACCACCCGGGCTTGATTCACAGAGACTGGGAACGAGAGCCACTATTGACAAGATCCGGGAGCATCGAAGGAGGTGGTCAGCGGGCCTATGGTATATAGGCCATGTACTGTGATATTTGAAGAATGCTATGATAATGAACAATGCAAATATTGCAAATAACGGAATGCCAGAAGATGCCATGTACATGAAAGAATCATTTGTTAAAATCAACAAGGTATAGGTATATAACATATCGGAGAACGCATAACATCGATGCCCCTTTTCGAGTATTTGCACTTGAAATCTCGCCATTTATACAGATGAATCGAACACAGCCTTTGTGCAACGCCCTCTCTTCCATAGTTTGTTCAAATGCTATTCCGAGTCGATGACTCTGCCTCGCGTATGACGTCAGCGACGACTTTTTCCGATAATGACCAGCCATCGCCATTCTGTTGGCTAATTCCACTCAATATCCGACGAGCCTCATCGGAGATGAGATTCACATCAGCCCCGTAGGAAAGCAACTGGCCGATAACCTTGACATGGCGCTGGTTGGAGTGCCGTTTTGAGTGTTCGATGATTCTGCGAAGAGCCTTGATGGCCACTGCGAGAGGAGTCAGACCTGTTCGTTGCATGACATTCACTCTGGCACCATTTTCCAAGAGCACATTCGTCACGGAGGGCCAGCCTTCCCGTACGGCATGCATAAGCGGAGTTCGAAGGACGAGGTCTCGAGCCTCGATATTCGCACCATGGCGAAGTAAAATGCGGACAGTCATGTCTTGACCTCTTGAGGCAGCCAACGCCAATGCTGTCCTGCCTTTGTGGTCTCTGTGCTCGACCTCGGCGCCCTGTTGTAGAAGGATTCGCGCCATGCTGCCGTCGGTTGTTTTGAAAGTATTACACGCGTTAAGAAGCGGCGTGCGGTCCATGAGGTCAACTTCTTCGATTCCCGCGCCGTTCTCAATCAACAACTGCGCGCCCGTAACAAAGTCGGAAAATGCCGCGGTGTTCAGTAATGGTGTCATGTCGAAGGCCGTGCTGCGTATATTCAGCTCGGCTCCGTGGTTTAGGAGTAGTTTCATCATGATCAGGGAGGCCTCGATAGTCCCCTGGCATCCTGACTTGGGGGATTGGATATCCACACATAAGCGCAGCGCGTTGTCGCCGATATTGCTTGTTGCAGTGACATCGGCGCCGTGTTCTATCAGGACGCGTACGGCACGATCGCGTCGGTGATAAACGGCATAAAGCAAAGGTGTCAAGCCGCGATAGTCTCTATGATGGATATTCGCGCCCTGTTCGAGGATCGATCGGAGTGATTCCTCGGTGCCCAGTACGGCGTAAAATAGAGCGGTGCGGCCGAGATTATCCATGTGCTCCACATCCGCACCTCCAGCCAACAGAGCCTTCACGACATCATCGCGGCCACCCTGCAGCGCGAAATGCAAGGGAGACTCGCACAACGCGGGCTCAGATTCTAACCTATATTGAAATCCAGGTTCTGACGCAGCTGCAGCTTCAGCTTCAGCTCTATCGACATGGGTGGGACACGGGTCCTGACTCAACCGAGGTTTCTTCCGGTGGCCATCGCTCACCCCTTGAGAACCCGCCAACCCATCTTCCGAAGCGACATTCCGCTTGAGAGTCTCCATCAGCTCGGGCCCCATTTGAAGCCCGTCATGAGCCCGTTCTGATGAAGACGTGCCTGTACCTGGGCCGGTGCCTGAAGTGGCAGGTTTAGCAGATGGCGGCAAGGTCAACGTTTGCCGCCCCGCGACGGGTAGACAGCCGCTAGCCGCTTCGGGAGCGGGGGAACTCGGGTGAGCCGCGCCTGTTGATGTCTTTCGTATAGGCGATTTGCATCGCAGCCATTTCCAGCAGGAGGGCATGGATGCTCGATTGGGATGGTTTGACACTTTATATCTCCATAAAGTTGAGTTGCAGATAGATTATCTCCAGCCATAGAGTAATGAGACACCTTTTGTCGGGGGTGATACGCTAGCAGCTGATCCGACTCCTTGTGGCGTCAACGTGCATATCCGCGTGGTCAGGATGTTAGTAATACTGTCAAGTGATATCGACGAGGTGGAAGTAGGGCCTAGTAGCGATTAGCCTGAGCCTTTTTGGTTAAAAGACTCATTCGATCTCAGGGGTTCCAAGCTTTGTTCGAAAACGACCACCTGCCCAGGTCTCAGTGGGTGGGCAGGTTTATATATCTGGTACACGAATTTCAAGTTGGCCAGGTGAAAAACTTCAGAGTGCAGGCAGGTCCAGGGCTCCTGGATGCGTGATTGCAGGGTCCCTACCTACTATAGTAATTTTGGAATTGTTCAAGTTGAAGACGTCCCAGATTGCCAGCGAAACCTCATGATTCCATAAATAGTAGAACTTGAAGTCGAAAATTGTCCCGGAGCAGAGAATTCAAGTCGAGCGGAGATTAGTATTCATTATTCATTCAATCGTGCCATAGTATCATGATCTACTTCGAGTTCGGCGGAAACGGCCACATCTGCGTTGCAGACTCAGCGTCTATATCCTTGCTCACCGTCTGAACAAAATCCTCGTGCAACTCCTGATTCGCCTTGAGCTTCTCCTCCCATTGATCACTCGCAATCCACCCAACAGAATTTGTCGAAAGCTTGTCTCGCACAATGTCCTCCACATCAAGCGACGCGATCAACTTGTCTTCCTGCTGTCGCTGCCGCTGAACTTCAGCCTCTGTAACGGAAAAAGGGCAAGCCCCAGGAAGCCCAAGTGCAGACCAGTTCTCAAACAATTGGTGGAGTCGGTTGCGGAGTGGGGTTATACTCCCAGAACCTTGCATCGCGCAAACCTCGAAGAGGCGCCACAGTTTGCGGTTCACTTCATATGGATTGTTCATTTTCTTGATTTCCTGGCACCGCTTCAACTCGTAATACTTGGCTCTCGATGCCATGTCTAGTTCTTTGATAACAGACTGCTTGGTTTCGGGACTTAAAGTATCGAAATCATCCGGGCGAGAGTAAGTGTGCGCACCGTACGTGTAGAAAGCAGGGAGTGGGACGAAGTTTGGTAGGCTAGCCTGCACGAAGAGCGGCAGTACTTTGCTTGTCCGCCAGCCGATAAACCCTTCAATTTTGGTCGGATCTTCTAGCGAAACATAGATATCCTCCAGGCCTAGCATGTCGTTTCGTAAAATCGGCTCTGCTATGTCAAGCACACGTTGATCGCGTGAGAGAATCGGTATCACACTTTGCACTTTCTTCAGCAGGTCCTTATATTCGGCGAGAGACTGGGACTTGTCAAAACTCTCAAGTCGTCGTTGGATTTCGGGCGCTGTGCTTTCGTTTTCGATAAGCGCAAGCTCGCGTTGCGTAATCGCATGTCCATACTCTGCAAGAGTCAACCCTGTGAGCGGGTCAAGGCAATTAGCAAAGTCATCCTCTTAATGGCATTCGTCCACCGGATGATTTATGCACTTACAAGGGCCACTGTCTACAATTTTGGCCTGAGTGCCATCTTGGTTCCGAGTATACCACCAGTCTGAGTCGAAGCATGGTCCAATAGCACAATGCCGGTCGGGGTCAAGTGATGAAGACAGTGGGTATGTGCGGAAATCCACCTCCGACAGAACTGGAGTAGCAAGACTGCCGTACGCCGGGAATTTGAGGTTTGCAAGCTCCTTTTCCATCTCCACGACTTGATCGATTATCTTCATTTGATCCAGGCTGCTCATTGAGCCCCATTTTTGCGTCAAGGGGACCCCCTTCATCTTCTCCATGAGAATGTATTCTGCACCCAATTTTTCCTCATCACATTCGAGACCGTACACTTCCGGACCTCGGATGGATGTCATTCCATCCACTAGGGAAGGGATATCAGACAAATAGAACAAAGGCCATTTAAACGGGGACATTGGTACATACGGAATGCAAGGATGGTAACCTCCGAAATCGTCGTCATCATCACCGGACCAGTGATTGGACATTTGATCTTCGCTATGATTTCCTTCCCATCGTCCATGGTCAAAAGCAAGACCCTGCTATTCAAAGAAGGTATTTTGTCAACGCGAATAACCTTGGTCCCATCTCCAACGTCTTCAGCAGCACGGCGACAAAGTTCGTGGACATCAAATTTGACGTAACGCAGTTCTTGATTGAGGTCATCGCCAACCAACCATCGACCTTCAGTATATCGGAAGAGTTCTTCCGATGTGATCTTAATATCCGGAGAGTTGAATCTTGGTGAAGATTGACAATATGAACGATTTGACCTGGCAATGAATGCCTTGGTGAAGCCATGTTGAACCGGAGCTTGGCTGTACCCCGGGGTCAAGCTTGCGCTTGAACACCTAATGATAGATCGAACTGAACCTCGTAGACTCAGTCGAGTCAACATTTTGAAACGCCAATTTCGACGCGTACAATGATGAAAAAGTGAGGCTCAAAGGTGAACTGAAGCAGGGCCAAACCAAACAGGCGCCCCGTAAACATGCACGTCATCACGTGACCGACTATACATACTGCAATTCACTGGCAGGACCAGCGAAACTTGGAAATTTAGGTCAGATTTTATGATAATCAAATGACATACCTTCTAATTAATTTAAAAGAAATATACTAGGTCATGCACACTATACGGTGACCCGTATAGTCAGCTCGGCGTGGCAAATCAAGCCGGGTCACAGGTGCACAAGCCACACTACAAGCTTCGCCACCACAATCACGATTCTATGTTCTTTATCATGAATTTAACAATATTTCGATGAAGGAGATCGGGAATAGACCTAAGTGATATGTGAAAGAGCCATCTATTTATTAACACAAAAACCCTACATGTATAGCTAGGCAATGGCTAGATGTGAGCCAGGCAACAGTATACCCATTTGCACGTATAGCCCTATCAACTCTCTCTATCAAACACAACAGAAGTAGGATCCCAGCGAAAAATATCTCGATCACATGTTGCCGAGAGGAGATCGTCATCAGTCATCAACATCCAGTCTAGCTCCGGATCAGGTCCTAACGCCGCATTAAGATTACCATTAGCCCGGGTGGATCTTTCAGGGGGGTATAGACGCGGAAACTGGATCTCGGGTTGATGTTCGGGGGCGTTTATTCGATAGCCATGTAATACCATCAGCCTGTCGATACATCTTCCCCGAACGCGTCCGCAGTTCCCACTGATGCTGCAAGGTGACGAGTAAATCTTTCGCACGTCTTGCATTCATCCAAGAAAGCGAGAACTCATCGAGAGCCCGGAAACATGTACCCAGATGGGCGACTATGTGCGCCTTTGAATGTGAGGCATAGTTGGAAACGGCGGCTAAGAGAAGGAAGAGAACGGCAGAGGATGTTATGGAGACCGCTTTGACGTTGATACGGCGTAGAGTGTATCTGGTTTCGTATAGAAGGATGATCTTGGCAATTGATATGGCGGATTCGATGCACATTTGCCGTGCGTGAAGATAGCCTAGGCCCTTAGGTGGTTGTGGTTGAAGATAGCTTTTGGACATCCAGGGTCTGTGGGCGTAGATGATATTTTGATGATATTGCATACTGTGATGGTTTAGAGATCTGGCTACTGAGCGCAGCAAATGGGAATTTTCTTACTGTAATAGTAGCACATGCGGAGGGTAAGGAGATGTATGGTCGTTCAGGTCGATTTGTAATGTTGGTGGCAGATTGGCTTTCCATTTGCAGAGCTCTGCCACAATTCTTTCATTGAACTCTTGCATCGTAGCTTTGTTAATCTTCGATGTTGTGTATCTTGAGGTAATTAGTTCGTGGCTCGTAGATCGAGGGGCTCGGGGGTCTTACAAGACATATCCACATGGTGCCATGATTTCACAAAGAGAAACGAGTTGTTGACTAACCAGCCCTGTGCAATCAAGACCATCAAATCGCTGGGTTAAGGATGCGGGACCCTCGTATGGTATCCATTCCTGGGACTGGTTACAACAGTCTTGAGAAGGCTTACCAACTGTAACGTCGTCCATGTTTGTGCGGAAAGGCCTGCCGAGATGGAAGCCCAATTGACTAAAAGGTATGAGTGCAAGATTCGATTAATGGAGAGATTCCAAACTCACTGGTCAACGGTATATGCAGTCCAGAAGACGGTTCGGCGGAGATCCGCATCAGCAGCAGAAATGACTCCCTTTAAAACGTGCGAGGACATGTCAATGTGCAATGCCAGATCGAAAGCAAGCCGGATTGCCATTCCTTTCCATATGAAGTCAGCACTGTGGATGATTCCTTCTATTTCTCTCACACTCACCACTGTAAAGCCACCCTCGAGAATCCATGCCATTACCAATCTCGTGGCTGCTCAGAATGATCATCGCCTGAACAGTCGCCACACTCGGGAAGTCTAGTTCAGACTCAAGCAATGACTGTGCCCGATCTCCGAAAAAGTCCACCAAAGTCTTTGGAAACGTAACAAAACCTGGATGGAATCTTGTTTCAAATGCGCAACCGATCGCACACCTATTTAATTCTGGTCAGAAATGTGACTCAACGATCAACGAAATAGTAGAACACCCACATCGCATTCCGCAAAGCTTCGGAGTAGAAAGAAGTATCCTCCATAGCGAACCATTTCTCTTTAGCATCTTCGTACAGTTTCCGATCAACAACATGAAACGACGGATCCTGCCAACTGAAGTACAAACTGATCAAGTGTTCCTCAAGGGCGGAAGGTACTTCTTTGTCAGCCTCGACTCGACAGGGGCTATTAAAATCGTTACTCTGCATTCTGCGATGGGAGTCAAATGTATCAGAATGCGGCATATCGCGTAGATTGAATGTAGACGTCGGACCGAAAAAGAGAGTTTTGCCTCCTCGCCCGATGCGTAGCGTGCCGACTCGGTCGGAAAGGTCGTCGATGAGTCCTTCGATATCGGTTGTAGTATTGGCGTCGTCGATCGAGGTCGATCCATCATCGCTTGTAGTCGGAGTGGCGGCAGTGGCTGCATTATTGACCGATCGGGCCATTCCATCTAAGTCGAGACCTAAAGCATCGCGTTCAGAAGTCGAATCAATAAGTTTTTGCAAGTCGGTGGGCGCGGACATTGCCGAGCCGCCGTAGGCAAGATCCATATCCCAGCTGCTGAGTATGCTTTCCGGGGTGTCTGCCGAAGGTGTTAATTTTCCCTGCTCCGAGGGCCGTGGCAAGGGGGAAGTCTGAGAAGCGGCTGGAAGTAAAATCTGGTCGGGTGAAGTCGCAATTGGGATCTTCGGGGGCGCAAGAACTGCAGGAACAAGAGGTGGCCCCATTATATCTTGCGAATTTCCAAAGTCCAGATTAGGATCATTTGGTAGAATAGGAGACATTTGTGATTCGCAGGAGGGTTCGAGTCCGGGGATCGCTTTGGTCGACCCAAGAGCATTTAAAATCTCCTTCAATGCCGCGTCCTTGTCTTTAGGGTTCGGGGGAGGCTGGAGGCCATTTTGACAAATGAATTCTGATAGTTGATCGACTCTTCCGATGAGCAAGTCAATGGCTATCCGAAGAGGAAGTCTAGGATCCAGAGTCAGATGCTGCAATTTGTACATGGTGGTTACAATTCACGCGTCGGGAGATAGACTGTACTCACTTCCTTTTATCAACCGACTGATAATGACAATTCCGACACTTGGTTATGCAGTTAGAGCAAGTTGGCTCAGAGCCATCGCACTATTTGGGGGTGAGGTTTATCAGTCGCTGAACGGATTGCGGGGAGTGGAAGAGCTTTGCTTACCTTGATCTTGCTCTCCCGACAAGGAACACAAGCCATAGAGGCATGCTTCCTCTTGGATGCAATCTTTGGTGACATATTTGGATTGGATGGTCATTGCATAGTCAATTTACTACGCGGATATGCGCAAGTTGAGAGTTGACAACTCGGGTGGCGTGGATTTCGCGGGGAAGCAAAGAGTGGCGGGATAGAAGAACCGATAAGACATCAATGAAAGACTCAGTCAAAGTCGACGGGGATGCGATCCATGGTCCTGTCAGCCTCAATGTATTTGTTGAAGTCTAGCGACCTGCTGGCCAGTAGAAATCGTGCAGAATAAGATCTTCTCCAATGGGGGGGAATGATGCTAAGACTTTCCGGTCGGTGATTGAATTCCGAAGGATCGGCAGATCGAGAATGGCGTTGCGCCCCGGATTTACCCCGAGTTTTAGTGTTTAGTGTTTCTTTTTCCACGCTGATTTAGGTCTACTGCGAGTGAATTAATAGCAGGAAAAAATTGGAGAGTTATGCGATTTTGACCATCTTGGCTCGGCATAGAATCTGGAACAGCATTGCCAAAGGAGGATCGCTCATTGTAAGAGATGCAGTGTATGAAAATTATATGCGTAAGAGTATCTCTACTAGTATGTACATAAAAACAGAAAGACAGGGAACGGATGCAAGATCAGCCACGCTATGAAAAAGGACACCAGTGGGTTATATGGGGGAGAAATAAGGAACGACACGGGAGTATATGCATTTTCGGTTGAAAAAGAGGCCAACGCAGCCGAAAGGATTAGTCATAGGTCACCATAACTTGACGGTTGACAAGGATATCAGCTTGGCCAGGCTTTTGTCCATTCTCCAGGATGTCTTTCTGGCTATCACCATCACTCAAGCTGCCACGCGGGCCGTGATCAACCTCGGTAGTAGTATGGTTAAGGTTCTTTCCGCTCTCGAGCTCGTAGTTACGTGAGAACATCGCACCTCCACTACGGGAGCCACTGAAGCCGGGAGATTTGTTGTAGTTGTTGTAGTCGGAGGTCTTGCCGTCGCGGAGGACGCGGAACAGCGGACGGAGAGTTGCGATGTTGCCGACCATCATTCCGATACCATTTTCTGCGAATCCCCAGATCACAACGTTTGCGACTTCGAAGAGGTAGTCGGTCTGGCTGGTAAGGGCGACTGTATATTTGAGGCGGATACAGGCTGAGAGGGATGCACTAAAGTAGGGGGGAGAGAATGTTAATCACTGTTACGGGAGATTGAAGATCAGGGGTGAACGAACAAAACTCCAAGGCCCATCAGTCCAATAATCGAAATCTTGGTGTTACGATTGATCTGCACATTCCAAAGCAAAGGTACCGGGCTGCGATTTATTAGATCATTTTCATTGACATAATGTAGATGGGATGTGGCAAGGACGTACAGGAAAGCAGTAACCCAGTCAGTAAAAATGTTGACGGCAGTACAGGCGTAGTAAACGTTGGCGAGAACATAGCTGGGCTGACAGTGGCCACCATGTTTGAGGAGTTCCGTATCCCAAGCAGCTCTAATATTAGATTAGTATCTTTCTTTCGCATGGTGTGGGCACGGGATCATACTGGACGGGAATGCAGTTGATCAGAATAAAGATTAACGCGATGATGTTCATCAAAACAAACATGCTAATGACGACGTATTGCACATAAACATAGATTTTTCTCCCTTCTGCCACACGGATCAACATCCAGCTGATACTCAGTTTGATTGGGATAATAGCAGAGCAGTAGCCGACCTCGAAGATCAGGAAAAACTAGTCGATTCAAAGTTAGTATCATCGGAGTCTGAGTATGATCGGAGTGATATTCACCTTCTGTGCCTCGGCTGAGTATTTTTCATTGCCAGGCTTCGCAAGCGTGGTAGTATGAGCACCAATTCCATTAAATGCCCCCCCCAAGACATCCACCAACAAGTACAAAAAAGGGTGCCTATCTGATGCGTTAGACAATTACTATATTTTATAAGAGGATCCGATGAGAACAAACCAATGCTGCTGTCATGATCCAGTCTTCAGGACCCCACGATCTGCGGCTCAATCTGCAATAAGCGCGCAAACCGAATGTGATTAGTGCCAACGTCGTAAGTAGAATCGTTGTGGCTGCCAGCCCTGGGGCTGCATCGGCGTAGACGACCATGGCTTCGCCTTGTTAATTAAATTTCACTTCTTAACAGCCTTGTGGTTCTGTCTCAAGAGTCGCTGACAGTGGTGTAACACATAAGCATTGAGTGTAAAGTGTTGTGGAGTGGAAAGAACAGGATCGTACGGGGTAAAGCACGAATTATTAATATCCGTCGAGTCCCTTCCGATGTTAAGGAAGATATTTCCTCCTGTTAAGCTAGCGTGATACTCTAGTGGCGGCGGACAAGCGACGAAAAGACAATGGTCAGCAGGTGGATCTGCACATTGTGGAATACATAGGAGCCTCAACAGGGACCATGACCATTGTGATTCGCTATCGGCTATTGGTATCTGACAGCTTTCAGATCCGACAAACCGGAAACGCCATTGACCCTCAGTGGATAGGGACGCCTCGGAGATGAAAAACAATGATCTCCGCACATCAACGGGGAGCGACAAATGCCATGCCAAAGACCGCACCATGGTCCTGAGCTGCTGTATGATTCAGAAAGAACTTAGCATTAATACACCATGTACTCCGTATGCTGGCAGGACTGTTTTTATCTTCCAAGGTTTGCAAAGCAAAACTCGTCGAGATTCAGGCCATCAATGACACGCCAGTGTCAAAGTCGGCCCTGACAAAACACACTATAATGGCCTAGGAAACTACTCGTAGTAGACCCAAGGACTATGAATGGAAGACGAAATGACAGAAGGCGCATTGTTTCCAGGCTAAACAAGGATAACCCATTTTCAGACCAGCCCTACCAATCAGCACCAGCAATACCATCACCAAATTAAGGAAAGCCTCAGATCGACACGCCCCACCACAACGGAGAAATTTTCACACGTGTGTGTACTCCGTACCCGCCCGCTACTCCGTCCAGTTCCACCATTTCCACCCTTGCATGAAGCACTATTGCCTTTTGCCTAGAAAAAAAAAAGCCGGAACGAGGTAACACGACGGGGACAATGCGCCAAAAGCTTTGGTACCGAGAAGAGAATCGCGATGGAAATCGATTTCAATCCGATCTCCCCGATTGCCGCGATCTGCGAACAATTATCTTTTGAAGATCTCTTCGTAGTCAATGGCAGAAAATGTTCCCAACTCAGATCTAAAAAACCTTGTTTGAGTCAGTAGCTATCGTAGATTTGGCGGGTGGTTTGAACGGCATTACTCGTAGTCCAATCCAACCTGATCCAGCACCCAGCACCCACCAACCAGCGTCCAGGGGGTCTGTTCTCGAAGCCTAGCTTCTAGCGCGGTCTCGGCTTTCGAGCTACTCCGTAGGCAGAATCTAGAACCCTAAAATCATCTCGCTTAGGCGGCTCGCCAACGGTCCTGTCCTCCCCGGCTATGATCCTGCACATACCTACCGGTTCTGTCAGTCGGCGCTCCTAGCGCATCCTTCGAGACACGTTATTCGCTTGATCTGCAAGCCATGGCCGATCCTTATTTGCCTAACTCACTTCTGTACAGAATTTTTGGTATGCGAGTATGCTATAGGGGTACATAAGGCTTGGCTTCATCGGCAGACTCCGATATAAGGGGCTGTATTATAGGGAGGTTAGGAGCTGAGCTTTGCAGCACGGACTTCCGCGTGGCCGATCCCCATCGCCCTGAATAGATACCCCGTAGCTGATCTATTCTTGGGGTGATTGATTTATGTTTACCCGAAAATCAGATATCCATGGACTGTATTGCAATTGAGGGACCTCGTCCCGGGGTCATGATGTGGAGGGATTTGCCGTCTAGACGAATTCAATGCCGGAATGCGTTTACGATGATGGAAAACATTTAAATATCGTATGGTGTAGAATCTGGTATTCAATCCCATTGCATGAGTTTCAGGTTGGAATTCTCCACCTGGCAGAGCTCCCCGTGGCTTGAGGAATCCATGCATTCCAACATTGGAACCTTCAAGTTCCAAAGTTAGATGGTCAAATGACGAGGCAAGGGGCCAGCTAGACCAAACTCCATGGCTTACAACAAGCTTCGTGATATGATGAAGATTATTTTGTAACAATACTAATAGGTACTAAAAGACTCCTTGGCCCTGAGGCTTCAGTACTCCCCTGCAGACCGAAGTCATCACAAAATCCCTAGAAACAGGCACTTCGCAAATCATAGCATACCCCTTCAGGTTTCCATCGAGGATTAGTCCTATTTCTAACCAGGTCTTCTAGGCTATAAAACAACTTGAAGTAACAGTACTAGTAGTAGCATTGATAGACTTCTATATAGGTCAGAACTCTCACTATACTAAGTTTAAGTTTAGGGTACTCGAATGGTGATACTAGCCGTCAATACTCGTCCAGATGACTTCAGTATACTCTCAATGGTGTGCCCAGGTGCCCAGGCCACGGTCGGTGCCAGTGGGTACTATTAAGATATTACCCAGACCAGAATCGTAAATTACAGTACAAGTATGTACCGCCTAGGACCGCGGATACATAGCCTTGTTTCTTTTACATATGTAAACCAGTATGTGGCTCTATTACTTGAATAACCATCTAATAGTAGTGGGCGCTTGAGAAAATGAAACAATGAATAAATATGCTGCCCAGGTACAATTTCCGAGAAAATCTGTGTTTCTGGCATTTATGGCACCATGCTGATAAGGGCATAGTCTCATGCATGATGAGATGTTCATCCCGTCCCGTCAATTTGATCTGGAGGGGCCAAAAACACTCTGACATTTTCAAAGCTTATCAATGATATGTACGGAGTAAAGTCCCGGCCTCTGTATCTCTATCTAGAAAGCCAGCAAATATCGTGCCGAGCTCACTCCGCCATCTGAGCATGCTGAACAAGCTGCGAACAAAGCTCCGTCGTGGTAAAGGGGACCGTCACGAGGGGGCGTGCCCCGCTGAGCACACTGAAAACCCTTCAAACGACAACAATGACCGGCCTGGCCAGGAATATTATTGAAGTTGGCGACCGGGACAAAGGAGTGGAGCTCTTTGCTTCAAATGACGAGGTTCTGGATATCTTACTTGACGCATGGCCCGACGTGAGAATCACAGAACAGGCCATCATTCGAGCGGCGGAAACAAAGAAACGTCACGACTGATTCTCTCACATAACCAAGGCAGTAATGTGCCGATCTCACAGGAAACCTTTTCGAAGATGGTTGTTAACAACCCATCCTTGGATGCGGTAAGGCATGTCATCGATGTCTTTGGCCCAGATGTTCCATTCGCAGAACCATTATTCAGAGCGGTTGCAGGCGAGTTCAAAGTACTACAGTATTTTTTCCAAGCCACTGGACCAGAAGCACACTTCTTCTTGTGCGAATAAATGCTTGCAACTGCCACTTGTTACCATCCTCCAGCCTTGCAGTGGCTCATTCGAGAGTTCGGTTCAACGGTACCGCCATCAGAAATTGTCCTGGTGGCTACCATTGCAGGCAGTCTTCGCAGTTTGGATTGGATCCTCAGAGAACATCTCCCGGAAATTGGCTTGCATCGGCTTTGGAAAGCAATCTGGAGGTTTGATGGGAGACGCGTCGGTCTTTCTATTGACTCACCCCACCATGGCAATGTCCAAGAGATTCGAAGATCCGCTGCCGCTAACCTTATCAAGCATACAACAGACGTCGTATATGTCTCGAAGGAAGGTCCTGAACAGGCTTCAACGGTTGTGGAGGAAGTAAGATTACCCTCTCGTGATTTCCTAATGAGCAATGCCTTTGAAGACCTGATTATATTTTGCCTGGGGCATGGTCTAACCATGCCCATGACGGAGAGAATGAAAAAGTTGGTGATGGACAGATCTGAGGCCGACCGGATGGATTTGCTGATCCAATATTATTTCCTTGAAGACATAAAGGTCAATGAGTGTGCTGCTGAAGAGAAACTAATATCGTTCCTCACTGAGCGCATGGATAAGGGCTAGGGGGTCAATGTTGCTAATTGTGGTGCCGCTACCACTTCCCGGGCCGCTATATTTGAGATCAATCTACACCTGTATCTCTCATTATTCTGAGAACAAGATATAGCAACCTGGAGATAACTTCTCGCCTTAGTATTAATAGCCATTTTTTCGTGGTAGACCTTTGGTGCCTTAAGCCTAAGGCTAATACACACCCCTAGAGGAGCCTGCCAAAGCTGGGGCAATATTACAATCCATCATGGTCGACGGCTCATGTTCAACTTGAAGTTGGAGCGGTACTATAACTAGAAACATTCCCCTGTAACCTTGGAAGATGCCCAGGTGTTCAGTAATAATTTACGTTCGTCTCGACCTGGGAAAACTTGAGCTTGACTAAGAAGTTTGACTACTTGTTCATTTGGCATTAAAATTTTGAGTTTATGTATATCATTCGAGTACCAAAAGTAATAGAAGGAAACTAGATACCAGAGACTCGGAAGAGAAGAGAAGCTGAAGAGCAGATACCACCCAAGACCCCAGACCTGTATGTATATCGATGAGTGGGAGACTATTCTACCATCCATGGATGATAGATAGTAGAGGATGGTGAAGTATGAGAGAAGATGATCATGATCCCATGATAAAACAAAATCAAAATGCCAGTATCAGCGCCGCGCCAGAAATTCAGAAATTGCTCAGTCAGAATCATAAGTAACGTTATTCATCAGTCGTATATAGGTCTCCGCGGAGGGAGATAAGCTCCGTCCTCGGCAACGCTCGTCGGTATGAAGCGTTTCGCTGCAGAACTTCGGGAAGGACTTGTCCAGCGTGATGATCGGGTGTAATAACCCGCACTACTAAAGGAACGGGGTCGTTCAGATCCACTGCCTCCACTGCCAGGCCGACTCCCTCCCGCGCTGGCGCCTCCACCGCCGCTGTAACTGCCCCGGCGCCCATCGTCAGGTTCGAGGTTGAAACGGTGACGGGGTACAGCGCGGGGCGGAGGTGGTGGGGGTTGCGCATATTGCGGTGGATCTGGTGCTGGAGCGGGCACGGGACCGTCGAAGGAAAATTCGCGGAATTTCACATCGGGCGTTGCGGGCGTTCGAGAGTGAGAACGTTCTTCTCGGCGGCGACTTCTTGCTGCTGCTTCGGAATGCGATATGGTCGACCGTTGCGGGCGGGACTCGTAGCTTCGTCGTGGTGCTGAGGGTGAGAGTTCTCGTGCTGGTTTGCGCATGTACGCGTCGTGAGAGTGTCGACGTGCTCGGGCATTGGAAGGAGGCGACAGGTTGTGATTGTGAGAACGGTGTTCGGGTTTAGGAGGTTCGGGCTCTTCCATGTGCGGTGGGGTGTCGTGGTCTATTATATCTGGGAAGACTGGACCGTCGGCCATCCCTGGGCTGAGTGGATGGCCATACCAACTTTCGCGATCTCGACCCCTTGAGCGCGGCGGACGAGTTGTCCGTGGGGAGGGCGATCGGACGCGCGGAGTTGACATCCCTGATCTTCCACCGTTGGTGCGATCCGACCTTCGTGAGCTGGATGGAGGGTGCTCCCGCTCAAGCGTCGGTGGTGGTGATGGCGTCGCCGGCTCGGTCGATCTGAGTCGTTTTGTCCACCATGGCGATGCGATGCCGCACGACGGGGTGGGTGTGTGAAATAGTCTTCCTCATCGGGCAAAGATTCCTTGCCGCTGAAATGATAGTGGTATGCACCGAAGTTGGGAGGAGATGCGCGGTAGGCCTGTCTCTTCACGAAGTCGTATTCGAGTTTGCGACACACCCCTTCATGCCACTGGAGCATTTCAGGGTCGGGTTCAGATGGGAATGCATCTCGCGGGATGTCCTTCGGGAAGGTGTCACCTTTCGCATCGACAATATTCCACTGGTTGACTGCGTTCTGCAGAAAGCGTGCATGCTCATCCGGGTCCATTAAAAGCTGTATTGTCTGCCATCGTACAAAACCGAGTGGTAGGAGCGAGGGTACTGAGGGTGACTCGTACGGGTTATTGGAGGGCTGGAGGCTGTGGAAACATCCGACGGATTGGTATATAAACGAAAGGGCCTGTGACTTGGTCTCGAGAAATAGTGAGTCGTAGTTGCCGCCAACTTTGCGATAGAAAGAGGCGAGTCGTTCGGGAGTGAGATCGATGGTACCGCTGGAGTCAAAGGAAGGCTGTGGTGAAGGAAAGGGCATTAGTATGGGGCGCATGCAAATCGAACGGGTGAACCGTGGGCCCCGGAGAGCTTCCAATGTTCTCGAACATGGGGCCGGGTTTCAAGGAGTGGGCGTACCATCAGTTGGGCGATCCCCAAACATAACTGCTCCAACAGCGGCGCAGGGCTCTTGTCAGGATTGATTAGGGTCCCCCAGGAATTCGCCGCGGAAGACATGGCAGGCTGGGGACTGGCGCAGTTAGAAGGACATGCAGAGGAACTTGAAGATTCCAGGGCATCGCCGGGCGCAGAAGCAGAATAAAGACACAAGGCAGTGCGATCATCCCCAGGCAGCGAGGAGCGGTCAGGCACGCACATGGACCCACTGCGGGGGATTGGGGAGGCTCGAGGGGGCGTCACGATAATCAAATGCGAATTGGATGACTCCTAGCGTGAGTCACAATAGGCACGCAGTGCGAATAGCGTTGGCACCTGGATAGTGCGAGACTGTGATCAAGATGAGGTTCTCAGGGTGACAGGAAACGTGAGAAGATGAAGTGAAGTGCTCAGCTGGCGAGAAAGTCAGCCGTGCCTGCCATGTGCCAAGTCACGGGATATCAGGCCACTCAAGTATACTACCTAGTATTGGTATTAGGTATTAGTAGTAGGTGCTAACTAGTATAGATAGAAATGCATAGAATAATTCTGTTTCACTTATACTGCATCAGTTCGATGTTGCACATGCGCAGACTCGGATAGGTACTATACATATCAGGCACAGTCGGGCTGAAGTAGATGCCCAATAAAGCACGTCAGAGTCGGACCGCGCAAATAACACACCTGCTGCATGAAATAAGACATTCTAATTGAAACCTTTGCATTAGTATACATTAATCCCGCATGGTTGGCAGCAACAGTCAGGCAGCAAGATCGGAACTTTCGCGCATGCATCCCGGCTTATCCATCCAGGGACATCTCCACTGGCTGAACACCTGTACAAATTCTGGAACTTCCATTCATCTAATCTAAAGGAAACTTTGTGGAATGTAGTTTCGAACCTGACTCTACAAAATAAAATTATTTACAATAGGAGAAGAACCATCTTACTCAGCATGAACTGTACAAAAACATGACATATTAAATTAGGTATCCATGCCTTCTGACAAAGAACTGCCCGTCGGTAGTTACCAGTCGTAGTATGATATGCGATTGATAAAGCCAAGGCGCCCAGTTCGGACACCTGGGCAATAAAATAGGTACCTCCCTGTCTTTGTTTGGTTGCATAGCACTGTGACTGAGATTCTTTCCCATTGCCCAGCAAAGTAAGACTAATAAGCCTCCCGGGCCCACCAGAGATTATGATAGATCTATACGGAACTGGCGTATAGTATTTCCGAGACTTGGTGTTGCCACCTACACTATTTCATTGTTTCTCAATCCATAATGCCAAAAAACCCGTTTCGATGTGAAGAAGTCCTTCTGAAGAGATGATGCTATAATCAAACAAGGAAATGAAGAGAAATATAAAGATAAATCATGAAACCTTCTCAAATATAATTTCTGAGTTATCCTCTATATTAGATGTCGGGTGGAGCTTTCGAGCTTTCTGGAATGATCATCGACTTATCCTGGTCTCACCACATCTAATCGTCAACGATTGGATCGAAAATTAATTCTCGAGACAAAGGTATTTGTACCTTAAGTGGCGAGCTCAGTGACACTAGCCACATAAAATACAGAAGCATTAACCCAATAAGACAATACGTGTTTGAGTTTTTATGGTTGTTATGTATAGATAAATCGATTTGACGGTGCATTGATGGCTAGCCTAAGCGTCAGTCCCCTAAGCCCACAGTTATTAACCTTGGCATATTTCAAGGATATGGTCATCGGAACTACTAGTTTTCCTGCCTCTTTCTAAGATGAATTCTGGCTTCGACATGGAACAGACGCTACTTTGTCTTAAACATCACGTTACAGACTTTTATTGGCTTCTGTCAACGATGACTAGTACCTGTCGACACCCTACCCAAAATCAAATTATTACGCTATGGGTGCGGATTTCCGATATCTAAGTACGAGTCGTAATATTTGCATTGCATACAGAACAATAATGAGCTACGGCTGGTTTCCTGATGCCTTAGGTTTATAAATCCGTATGGCGAGCTCATCAGTTTGACTCCTGCGGTCGCAGACGTATGCCAAGCCTTGTCAGGTCGCCAGCGGAAGACACTCCTGAGATACGAGCGGGAAAAGCGTCCCCGTATTCTCTCTACCAAGCATCTCTTGTTCGGTGCCCAGTCTCATGATCTCACGCGCTCGCTCTCGCTCTCGCTCTCGCCCTCTACTGCTTCCGCTTTTCGGGTGTGAAAACCAACGAATCCAAATTGGAAACCTTTTTGTCTGAGATCTTGAACCGTGGACCTTCTGCCACAAAGACCCGGCTATATGTAATTTCCCTGGCTTGCTGTGAGAATTAGATTTATGCCACCAATAGAGAGTGATCTATCATTACTTTAACCGAAACATTGTATTACTTAATTTCAAGTATTTCAAGCTTAGGGGGAAAAAAAGGCTATCTCTGCTAGTATGAAAAGATCAATTATCTTGATGTCATCTGATAATGCTTATAGCTATGCCTTTATTAGAACTGATAGGCCCATTCGAGCAATACTAACATGAGAGAAAGTAAAAGCGTAGAGGTCTAGCTCCTGGAAATCAATTAATACCTATACTGGATACAAGAATATAGGTGTGCATCATCTCCTTATGTCTCTTAATACTAATATCTCTTGGCTCATGGGCTTGGCAGCGGGTTGGCGGGAATTTGCCACCCTGTATCATGGTGACGGTAGGACCCGGGGTGGACTTTCTATTTCCTAAAATCGATCTGCCGAAGGTAGACCTATCGAAATCGAATATTGGCTGATCTAAATGATAGTTAGGATAATCTCTGAGATAAACCTTTTACTAACCCGATGCGTCCAAGGTTTACGGAAGTCAGGATTTCATTTTTCTAAGCCTACTAGTTACAGCCCCGTGGCTTGAGGACCAGACGTGGTCGCTTTATGCATTTCTAGTAACTCGAACACGAAGTCATGCGACCTTGTCAAAAGACTATCTATCGACGATCTGTCGAACGTAAAGTACTCCACTCGGTACCATCCTGCCCAAGTCGAACTTCAGAAACTTTCATAACTGCCCAATATCCATTTTTCAATAGCGAAAATTGAGTAGCCATTTAGTTGGCCATTGCTAGATCTCAGGCTGTCTTTGCAAGGTTTCCTGCAAAACTGAGCTTGCCACAGGATATGTCTTCATCTACCTACATTGGCTGCTACTCAAGAAGCTCTGGCCTTGAGAACCAAACAACATACATATATCAAAGCTTTGGATGGTGTTTACAACAATGTGTCAAAACCCAAGCAGCCTCTTTTGCCCTAACTGGAGGTTCTGACTGCTTGTGTGGCAACGAACTACCTCCAAACCAGACTAAAGTTGCTCAAGAAAAGTGCGATCGCGCATGCAATGGATTTCTTCCTGATATGTGTATGATCAACTTTACCATGTTCATCTGATTCCGCTGCTCACTTTTCATAGGCGGTGGAGATGGCTTTTATTCAGTCTATACAACAGGCCTGAAAAAAGACGTCCCGACCTACTCCGAGTCCCAGAATCCCACATCGTCAAGTACTGACGACTCGCAATCAAAAGTGACAGCTTCGAGTGACATGTCGCTCGGGAAAGCTCCGGAACCGCCCTCGAAAAGTCATAGCGCGACTGCTACTATTGTAGGTGTCGTGGTTGGAGTGTGTGCGCTTGCTGCTCTTCTGGGCGCTGCGTTTTTCTGGTGGCGATCAAAAAGACACAAACGCCGAATTGACTCCGATTACAACTCTGATGACACCACAATGAAGGATGGCGACAATTCGAATGTATTGCCCTTCGCTGATCCCCGGGTTAATGGTGCCTACATGACACAATGCTACCACAGCAATGGTAGTCTTGATGAATACAATGACTATTCTCGCCGTATATTACATGTGAGTCTTCGTGAAATCCTTATATGATTATTCGACTTGACGTGAAAATAGGTAACCAACCCTAGCAACTGAACGAAGAGGATTAAAGCGTACTGTAATGCGAGGGGCTACCAGCTCAATATTTTCTTACGGACATCTCCCTACACACCAGAGCCCACACGGAATGTACGTCAATTTGTTGAAAATCAATGGCAGTGTCCTTCGAATAACTCATTAATATATTAAGCCAATGAGCACAATCCAAATGATGCTCAATTTGCTACTACCACTATGGAAACCTGAGGGAGGGTGGGAGTAATAGGATGGGAGGCCACGTTGAATTGCACATCACGTTTGATTGTTTATATTTCCACGGAAGCTTCCAACAATTACACCTGTATGCCCAAACTTGAAGCCGTCGGAAGCCACACGGTATTAACATGATCTTGTAAGCATCTGTATTTGGCAAGATCCAGGAATTGATTATTGCAGAAGTTGATCTAGCGCGGCCAAGTGTGTCTTGGCATTGGGGCTTAGACAATGAAAGAGTGTACTAGTAGGTTGTGATCCCCGGGCCGATGCCCGGAAATACTATGACTATCCAAGGGCCATTTCCTCTTTATATTCAGAAGATATACTATCCCATGTAGTTTCCCCTCCATGGATTTACAGGCACGCTTATTGCAATCTCGTTGGTCCACAGAACACAGCAGGCGAACCCACCATCCGGACCATCTAGCAGTAATCATTAAAGTAGACCTGAGGAAATCTTCTGAATTTTCTCACCTCGAGATTAACTGGCTATTGTATTTATCTGAGAACTGGCGCACGCGCAATGCTACGCCGTCCAAAGTGAGAAATTTGGCCACGAGTACACCGCATCCGCCACATTGATAGGTACTCCCGAGGGATCCAATGGCCCAAAATCAACATCGGGTTGAGCCAAAAAGTCCTCCATACTTTGATCCAAAAATATCATTTCGTCTGTCAGACTCCCCGGTGCCATAGAATCAGGCAAAGCCGAATTTCCGCCCAAAGATACTTCACTGGGTCCATGCGTGGCGTCAGGTGAAAATGATAGAGGATCAGAATTTCCATGCCTTGGAAGACGAGAGCTCGACGATGCGTGCCGGGCGGTGGATCCATGTACCTCGTCTAGACACTCTCGCACACTTTCTAAATTGTCGTAGAACTCCGTTGCAGCAAGGTTTCCGTGGTCGCGCATCATGCGCAGAATTTCATAAGCAGTTTCGAATAAGGTGAAATCGCTGTGATTATCGGAGTTGATTTGACTCGATATTACCATAATCAGTGCGCAAGAGAAGAGATAGTGTGCGTAGAAGTAGCCGTAGATTGGAAGGGAGCCATTTGCCCACTCCTCGACAATAAGCGAGTGTGTATGTCTTGCAGCATGAAGACATGCGTCGCCCAGAGTCTTCAGGGTTTGTTCTTTCAGCTTGGCGGACTGGTTTGAGTCTTCTTCTGGGTCTTTTCTGGATTGAATGAGTGTGAAAAGCAAAATAGGTCGAGTTGCCAACATGATGCACTGTGTAGGTCAGAACCTCAGATACCCTTCTTATTGAACGAATAATATGAGTCCTACCTGGTTAAACTGAAGGTGCAAAGATACCACATTGTTTGGGGCGTGGCTGTTCCTATTGAGTCGAAGATGCGGAGGAAGGTTTTGCGACCATTCCTTCAAGGAGATAAGTAGCTTTTGCTCTCGTTGCAAAAACGAGTCCGGCTGCTTCTTTCGACTATAGACTTTCTCGATGGTCTGGCCTGTTATACGAGCCAGTTGAATACTGGCGAGGAGAAATTCAGTATCGGAGAATTGCTCCTCGTGCAGATCGCAGGCTAATTTTGATGGCATTTCGACGTGGATGTCATCGTCGGCGATTTGGATGGGCCAACCTGTTTTTGATCCATACATTCTATCGAAAACATATATTGCCCACCACAGACGAATTCGGTGTTGGCGCTCGACAGGATCTGGGCAGTTGCATTCAGGGATATCGTGATTCAATCCCAAAGTCAACCCAAGACGCATTGCATTACCGACGAGGAGGAATGCGGAATGGCGTCGGTTCAGAAAGTAGGAGTATAAGGACTGAAGGGTTAGCCGTGGTGTTCAAGAACGATAAAGATACGCTTACTAAAATGAGTAAAGACTCGATGACGGTCATACTCGGCCTCTCGGGGAGTATGGGAATCAGAGTCATCGCATTCACATAGTATGGAGCACCGGGAACTCCGCATTCTAGTTTAGTATTTGAACGTGCGGAATAGACTTCACCCATGGCAAAAAGAGCGAAGAACTTTGTCTTTAATATCGGATCATCAAAGCTTCCTTTGCGATAGACGTCTTCCAACTCTTGAATCGTCGATTTTCTGAGAAACAGGTGATATACACGGCTAACCTGATTGACGACAATTTGGATTAATAGGCGCGCCTGTGGCAAGCCCGGCCATTCCAATGTAGAATCTCGGAGTTTGTACAGCGTTGCTTCGGGAGTATACTGTATCCTCGGCATATGCGACGCCCTCGTCTGGGTGAGGACTTGACGCAAGCGAGTTGCAAAGGCAGTGCACGCTGCTTCCCCGATATGAATTGGTGGAGCAGAATGGTCATAAGGCTGAAACCATCCTCGTTCGCCAATCATGGGGTTCTGTACGACTGCATCACCATCCGAAACATGGCCATCTGCTGGAAATTAGCCAGGTGTTTGGCGAAGCGAGCGCGGTGGGGGCAGTTCACCTTCATTATAGTGTGGAGACTGGCTCAGAGTTGCCGGTGATTGTGAGAGTTGCTCACGCAGCCGCTCATTCTCAGCGGCCAGTTGATCGAGATAACTGCAAAATCTTAGTATGAATCTAGTGGGTGGAGCAGGATCAAATCACACCCACCTCTCGTGGACCTTGATCTGACGATCCCGATTAACATAGGTGCATTCGGCAGCGCGTCCAGAATTGCGACACTTGGTGCACGGTTGTTCGCCAGAACATTTGATCTTGTGCGTGTGACATCTTTGGCAACTGGGCTAGTCAGCGCGGGTGTGACCACGGCGGAGGCAGGACTTACGCGATGGACTTTTTCTTCTTTCCTTTCACGACCGAATGAGTCGGCGGTTTTGACGAGGAAGTACGCATTTATGCCGAACTCAATAGTATTAGACCGATATGCGTATGTAGGTGTGTAGTGGTATGCGTTCGGTGAAATTCTGCTCGGTGTGTGCTTCGGCGGTCGGTAAGATTAAACTTCGCCGAGTGGCGATTCCGGTGGTTCCGGATTGACACAACTCCACCATAATATCAAATACCGAGTATAATTAATAGAGTTCTTACTATATAATTAAACCCGAGGCTTAGTTTAATCTACTATAAGAAGGTTGATTTGTTGTATCCCGAAGTGCTCTATCTCGGTCACCAGCGAATAGTCATGAAATGCGATCGCTTATTACGTCGTTGCTTTTTCGTCCAGATGAACACGATTCTCTCGTACAATTCGATATCCGCAGTTTCGAGCCAATGGCAAACTACTCAAAGTTGAAGATGGGAAGAATCTCAACCTTCAACTTGAACCTTGGATCGGAAATTCCAGAAATAAAGCCTTCCAGGAACAACTTGAACCCCTTCCAGGAACAACCCTCATTAATGGATCTCGGTGTTCGTCGAATTGGACTGGTGTGTTTGGACCGGCGACTGGCTCTACTGCCCGATTCGCCTGGTCCGTCGCCGAGCGTCGGCAAATATATACCAGCAGCTGCCCAGATGGAAGTAACCCTTTCTAACATCTTGAAAACCATCACCGATCATGAAAAGACCTTCAGTGGAAATATTCGTCCGCAACTTAAACTCTTCCGAGTCGGGGTCGCCGTTTTTCAAAACAGACGATGTAATTCTAGGCGAAGTTCTCTTTGCACCACGTCATGCAACACGACTGGAAAACATCAATATTACTTTCCAAGGTATTTTGAGAGCACTAACGCCCATTTACAAATAGAAACAGCTAACTCGAAAATAGGAAACATGACAACAGAAACAGATAACCTGGACAACCATCTTCCCGTCTCGCATAATACCCTACGAAAGACATTTCTGCGTGTCGACTTCCCGGTAGAAGAATCTGTGCCAGAAACAATCCTCGAGCCGAAAGAAATACATCGCATCCCATTCAGTTTTGTCGTGCCTTCTCATATCCCGGCGCAAATGTGCCACCATACCTGCGCGAATTGCCAAGTTCACGAAGAACACCTGCAACTTCTCCCGAGCCTAGGCAAAATATCGCAATACTTTGAGAATACCCACGACATGTCGCCATCCGAAGCAGAGATTACATATAGCATCAAATTTTCAGTCGTTGAGAAGATGTCGAACGCAGAATGGCCGAAAATCCTCAAAGAAACAACCTACCCGATTTATATCTTGCCTCGACGATCGGAGATGGCCCCGCTCCTGCTCGCCCCGGAAAGCAGATACTACAAAATAAGAAAGGAAAAGTGCCTCAAAAAGGGGATACTGCGTTCGGAAGTCGGAACTTTGGTGCTGTCAACTTTCCAACCGCTGGGAATAGAGTTATGCCGCGGACCGCAACCCCAAAATAGTATTGAAGCATCAACGACAGTACGAATCAACCTTCGATTCGACCCAGCACGTGAGAAAGAGCTCCCACCTCACATGGTATCAAGCGAAATCAAACTCAAAGCAATGACATTCTTCGGCATGGAGCCATGGTTTAGCTTCCCTGACCATTCAGGACCATCGGCTTGGGGTTCCAGGCAGACATATTGGTCTGAAACAATCTCGCTACACTTGGAAGATTGTTTCATCAATTGGAGAAAACAGGCGAAGGCCGAGGGAAGCGATTTGGCGTTATTTTATACGGCGTCTGTTGACATTTCGATCGCACTGCCAGATACTCTGGCGTATCCGCCTACTTTTCACTCATGTTTTATTTCCAGGGCGTATGCCCTCAAGACAATACTCTCATATCAGGATCACAGCAAGTGGCGAGGTAGTGCCTCTGCATCTTTGACTGTTCCTGTGCAGATTTATGTGTCGTGATGGGAGGAACCAGTCGTCAGCAGATGAGCCCAATTTCTTTGAGTTGACTAGATACCCGATTGTTTATTTGTTTTATCAGCAGCCCCTAAATGCGGGGTGGGTCTACAATACTAGTATTTATGGTTCATCGAGAAACACCGGGAAGGAGAAGAAACTGTGTTGTTCGTTGTTGATTCCACGCGTCATTGGTTCGAATTGTACCCCTTGATGCCAACAATCAATGAACCCCGTAAATTAAGGTTCTGCCACGGGTCTGAAGACAATAAGATTCAAAGAATCATTGGTCATGTTTTGATAATGTATACGGCAGAAGAAATTCCAGATCGGTTCTCAGGATCTCGACCAATACGTGCTCTGCATATCGAAAGAGATCCGCTCAACGGTACTGCACGACATTCAGCCACCAGATGTGCCGCATGCCGATAGTCGATCAACACGATGTGCATTCCAAAGATTCAGTCCATGACATTTTATTGGCTCGGTCCCACCGACAACTTCTGCCATCAGCAGGCAATGAGCCCCTTCATTCCCGATCGGCATACCGTGTCAACCAGCGGTATTCCTCAACAGAATAGGCTGGTTCTATTGGACCATATGGAAACCATGACAACTATCCACCTTCAATAGGCTAGAATTACCTCTTATCCCAGTGTTTCTGGGGGAATACTCACATATCCGAGCCGGGCCAGACGGGCCAGATATGAGCTGCCTTGTCCGCCCAGCCCCAAGAGAGAGGCAGCATGGCGGGCGCTGGATTCCTCGGCCTGCATCTGATCGCACAGCCCTTCTTTCCATCAGTTAAGTGTGCTGGATCCCCTCTGTCCCTCTATCTAATCTTCGGCCCTCCCTGCTCACACACCATTTCTACGGTCGCACATACCCTCACCATACCACTTGTCAATCCGTCCGAAATTATCTAGAAACACTTCCTGCGCACGATCCTCAGAAATACAAGGAGTTATCCCAAGCCTCTCACAAGAAAAAGCACGCTCCGAACGGCCTCAAGTTCCAGCAAGGGGTGTCAACAGCCGCCTCGCAGCACAACAACAACCAAAGTACTTCTGCAACAACTCCATCTATCGTCGGTCTACATCTAAAATGGCACTCGTGCGCGACCCATACTTCTGGAAGCGATTCTCCACAGCTGTCCACAGAGATGACCAAGCAAAAACACAAAGCCAACTAGATCTCGAACAAGCTATCAAGAAGTAAGACTCATTCTCCGAATGATACCCATTCGAATGCCCGTTGACTAACAAGTTACACAGACAACCCGACTCCTGGCTCGAGCGAGAACGTCAAAAACGCAAGCGGTCGCTTATCTGCGGATTCATCATCTTCTTCTGCATTATTTTGGCGGTGACTGGCGGTGTGGTTGTGTGGTGGCTAGCCAAACACAACTGGCTGCAGTCACCGGAGCCATGAACGACTCGGAGCGAGATCGAAAAAAGAAAACACGAACACTATAGAAGCATGATTTCTTTGGCGATGTTTCACTTTCAAGTTTTGCATTTCTAGCGATTGTTGGCGTTGACCTTGGAAGGAATTGGAGATATACCCGCCGCAACTCCAGCGGCATCGAGATGGACTAGGAAATATTGGTAGTTTATATAGCACCATGATAATACTGAATGAAAATACATAATAGAAGATACAATGACTCAATTGGATCCATATTTATCTGTAATGATAAATAACTACTAGTATTGCCCAGGTGGTGGGTCCAAGTACCATCCATATTACCTTCAAGTTCTATATACTCAGTCCCGATTAGGAAGCTGGACGCATGCTTGCTCACTTCAACCTTGGAAGTTCCAATCTAATGCTTATAGTAATCTGGAAGACTATATCAAATTAAATCGGTTCAATTCACTTCCAGTTTCCAACTAGTTCTAATATCCACCTGCATACCACTATAGCTCTGGCTATCAGCGGACTAAACCCCGCTGCGGCCAGCCTCGGCGATCCCATCGGATGGAAGGGGCTTATCGCAACTCCCCACACGCCTTCCCCGCACATTTGCTGCTTCACCTCTTTCACCTCTTTCAACTTCTTCTTCTTTTTAACTCTGCTTTTCCCCCTTCCTAGCCCAAGGGTGACCTCCGTTGTATCCCACCACAACATCCATCATGCTGCCCCCATTCGACTATTTCACCTACCGCCGTATACGGTATGTATTTCTTCGGCCTACAGCTCCCCCAACTTCTCTCGAAACATCCCAACAGCTCTAACTTCACACCAGCAATCAAAAACAAGCGGAACGCGCTGCCCGGTTTACCTCGTTACCATACCCTTACCACCTTCACATCACCGAGACCGACCAGGATATCATCGACCAACCAATCGAGGACTTGGTACGCGATGTCCAAGCCGACACCACCTCTCCGCTGAACGTCCTGCGCACATATGGCAAAGTTGCGGTGAGAGCACAGAAGCGCACCAACTGCATCACAGAGCTACTTCTTCCCGAGGCAGAGTCATGGCTCAAGTCCGATATCAACTTAAAGGGACCCCTAGCGGGAATTCCCGTCTCTCTCAAGGATTCAATCCAGGTCAAGGGCTTCGATACAAGCGTCGGCTACGCGGCATTCGCCAATAAGCCAGCCCAAGAGGATGGTCCCATGGCGCGACTACTCAAGGATGCCGGTAAGTGCTTTAAAGAATGACTCGGGATACTATCACATCGTCCATACTGATCAGATCGCAGGAGCTGTGCCCTATGCAAAGACCGCGTTGCCGATTACCTTGCTATCTTTTGAGTCAGCCAATGGCCTTTGGGGCACCTGCTTGAACCCTCATGTCCCAGGTTACTCCCCCGGTGGCTCGACTGGCGGAGAAGGCGCCCTTCTGGCGCTGGGTGGTCGTATCGGCATTGGCTCTGATGTTGCTGGATCGGTCCGTGTCCCTGCTGCATGGAGTGGGATCTACTCGCTGCGCTGCAGTACTGGTCGCTGGCCCAAGGCTGGTGTCAGCACCAGCATGCCGGGCCAAGAAGGTATTCCCAGTGTCTTCAGCCCAATGGCTCGCACCCTGAATGACCTCACCTACTTCACCCGCGCGATCATCAACATGCAGCCTTGGAAGTACGATCATTCTGTGCACCCCATTTCGTGGCGTGGAGATCTCGAGACCGAAGCTCAGAGCAAGCCCCTCCGCATTGGTCTGATGAGCAACGATGGTATGTCTCTAGCATTCTCTTGCAGTAAATAACCCCTCAGCAAAGACTAACTCACTATCCAGGTGTCGTACCTCCAACTCCTGCAATCGAACGCGCCGTTGCAACGACCGTCGCAGCTCTAACTGAAGCCGGCCACACCGTCTCAGAAATCACCACCCCATCCAACGCAGACCCATTCACCGGCCTAAACCTGGCATCACAACTCCTCAATTCCGACGGCTGCCACCACTTCGAATCCAACCTACACACCTTCGAGCCATCAGACCCAGGCGCAAACCAACTCCGCCGAGTCGCCCACCTCCCCCGACCCGTACGTTATCTCTACTACCTGTACGTGCGCTACATCAAGCGCGACAAAGCCCTCGCAACCCTAATCCGCAACTTTGGCCCGAAAACCGCCGCCCAATTATGGACACTAACCGCCGCCCGCGAGTCATTCCGCGCAACCTGGCACCAATGGTGGGATGCTGAAGCCCAGCAATATGACTTTATTCTGTGCCCGGTCAACGCGACACCCGCACTACCGCACAAAGCCATGCACGACGCCGTCTCCTCGTGCGGCTACACGTTTTTGTGGAACCTGCTTGATTACTCCGCCGGTGTGATACCGGTCGGCCATGTGGATGCTGTGCGTGACGCTCTTGTCACCCCTTACAAGACGGTGCTTAAGCGACTGGGTGCGGATAATGCTATTGCCCGTGGGGCGTGGAAGCATTATGATTCTGGAAAGATGGCGGGTTTGCCTACGGCTGTGCAGATTGTTGGGAGGAGATGGCAGGAGGAGCAGGTTTTGGGGTATATGGCTGCGGTGGAGAAGGCTTTGGAGGTTTATATTGATCCAGCGACTGGGGGGAGTGCGAAGTATTCTCTGCTGGAGATTGATTAGGTGCTGCAGTGATTGATGTTATTTACCACGAGATTGTATTTTTTTTTATAATAGCTGCTAGTGGTTATTTAACAGTTCCATGTGGTAGTAGTATAATGAATGGAATATTCCGAGAACCACAACAACCTCCGAATTCCAACTTGAACTATCGACTTCCAAATCCGAGCTTCCATACGAAATTGTACTCGTCGGCAAAATTGAAATGAACCGTATCCTCCAGATGGCCAGGATTTCAAGTTCGACTAGTACCCAAACTAGGACAGATGCGGACTTCTCTTGATGCGCAGGATCAGGATTAAGATTTGCCTCTTGGTCCTAGGTGGTTCATTAAATTCGGTTACTCCGAGATTGATTGGTTGTTGATTGGAGTTGCCCCTCTGTAATACGAGGTTGCCGTGACGGTGACAGTTGACAGTTGACAGCTTCGAACGCTAGTTTGCCTACCCACCATTACCATCGGCATTGCAGATGCCGACATGCGCTGTGACACATAGAAAGCGAGGCCCTGGCTGTTCATACGAGTACACACTGAGATATGATATGTACTCGTACCCAGGATCGAGAGTTATTGATAGTGAGAAAATAAGGGGTGGATAGAAGGGAGTCATATACAGGTACGGAGTATACTCCGCGGGTACGATATCTAGGACAGTTCGAGTTCCAAGGGTAAACTTGAAGACAACCTCGGTTAAAATAGCGGGGACTTGGAGATGGACCTTGACCCTCTCCGCACCATCTCGTCTCCACTTCACCTAGCCAAGGACCTGTGGGATCTGCGGTGCCAGCTGTCATTTATCTGCTTTGCTTACAGGGGCAAGCTAGGCGTAAGCCATGGCTTGTTTCGCGCAGGGATAGGGATCGATTGAATCGAGATGAGGTCTGAATTGAATGGATCATCCCGTGGGAAGCTGAAATAAAGATAGCCATGGCATTCGTACTGTGTACTTTATCCCGTATGCCGCCCCTCTCCACTCCCTGCTTGGGTAAATGATCAGCATGGTCCTCGTACTTTGCACACTGTACTGTACTTATTGTGTGAGAATGCAGATCTGGATGACCGGTATTCCTCTGCTTGGGCCTGGTCAAAAGATAATAAGTCAATGAGTCAATGCGAAGGAACGGTAGAGTTGATGGGGGTGTGGTCTAATGCGGCGCTAAAGAGGATGATCCACCAGGGAAACATAATCCAATGGATGGCGGTGGTCCAGATTCAGTGGAGTAATGTCAATTGAGGAGTGCGGTTGAGAAGAAGGTAAATTGAGTTAAGCTGAGGAAGAATACTGAAGGTGAAGAAGATGAGGAAGTCACGGGGTCGACGTACGACTAGGCCAACTTTCACTTTCACTTTTCTCCCCACGTCTTCTCTTCTCTTCTCCTCCTTTTCTTCAGTACTTCTCTCTTTTTCTTCTGTGCTTCTCCTCATCTCAATTTACCCCTCTATTCTCCACACAACATCCTACCTGTCTCGTGACCGGCCACTTGCGACCTGCGACCTGCGACCTGCGATTTGCGACTTCTGACTCGCAGGATGCAGATCCTGGACTACTGCATTTCTCGCCCCCGCTGGTGATGACTGGGCTTTGAGGGAGAATGGCATCCAAGAAAAACCAGCGAGGTGGCATTCGCAAATCAGACGGAATCCATTTCGTCAATGCCAGACCTGCATCCGAGACCGAAAGAATAAAAGCACATCGCCTGGTGCGAGCGCATGTGGGACGATGGATTTCCGACCAGACCAGAGATAAAGATCGTACGGCAGAAGCAGCTTCCAACTCGGTGTCGTCGATTCCCTCGTCGGCGTCAGCCTCGGCTTCGGCCTCGACCTCGACATCATTTTCACCCGCCTTATCGATAGGCGCGTCAACAGGATCAACTCCCAATAATTCGCAGAATGCACAGGCTGCCACCCGCCCCTTATTGCCGAGCGATGATGGCCCATCGTACTCGTTTATTGTTGTCTCGCGTCCCTCACCGCAGCCGACCCGCTATGCCCCCGCCCCGCGCCGCGGCATCTCTACCAGAGGCTTGAACCAGCGACCGCTGCGGGAATGGCAGCGATCACCATTTCCCCCATCCCACGCCAGCGACAGCAGCGATAGCAGTGATGATGCGGTTTCGCCGACAGAACCAATAGCCTTCATCCCATGGCACGAGGTGACCCGCGTCGAGCCCCAGATTTCCGGCCTCTTCGACCCTTTTGGCACATATCCTACGCAATTCCCGCCAGAAATCGTGAGCCCATGCGAGACATACCGTTCGTTTTGATGGAATCCCGATCCGGACTGAAATGGAGTAATTCACTAACAATTCCGTCAGTGACAACGGTATTATGGCCCGGGCTCATCCCTAGGTCTAGACACGTGAAAAAGGCTGGCGAAGCTTGGTTTTCTCTGTCATTATCTGATCCTGCCCTCTTTACGGCGTTTATATACGGATCGCTCTGTCACCAACGAGTCCAATGGCTCAATCAAGTCACTCCGAGCTCCAGCTTTGGTCCTAGGCAAGAGCGTCTTTTACAGCAATGCGAGCTGGAAGCAATCAAGTTGATCAATGCTGCGATGAAAGACCCTTCTCGCCGAGTTAGTGACGCTGTAATCCTGAGTGTGATTTGTATGGCTCACCACCAAGCAAAAGACGACACTTTCAGGCGACAGCTGCCCACTCCGTTCAAGGCACCGTTTCAAAGCCTGCAGTGGCTCAATGTCTACGGCTGCTTGCCTCCTAATATGATCCATATTCAAGGGCTGGTGCAACTCATCATCATGCGCGGTGGACTGCAAAGTATAGAAACGGCCGGGGTGGCGGCGACTATCTCTTTGTTCGTTGGCCCAAAAATTACAACCCTATTATTCAGTGCGAAAGCTAACCCACCCCAAGTTCCGACATATTCACCGCGAGTGTACTCTGCACCAAGCCAGGTTTCGAGTTCTGGCCAGTAGATGAGTCTCGTTATGGAATCGAACTTCAGCCCCTCCTAGGCTTCGATCAATCCGATATCGACCGTGGCTTCGGTCGCCTGTGCAGCATTGGAATAACTCCACAAATGGCCGAGGCATTCCAAGCCGCCCGCATGTACATCAACATTGTCCGAGCTAATCTCGCAACAAGCCATGATTCCTCATTACTAGCAGACCAACGCAACCTAACGCAACATACCATTCTGTCTCTGCCACCCGCGTCGACAATATCTCACCAGTTCGTCCACCCCGCACATGCTATCACCTACGAGGCCTGCCGGTTAGCGTGTTGGATTTTTTCCGTCGGCGTTATTTTCCCTGTCCCAGCTCAAAGCACGCCGCTAGCCAGTCTAGCCCAGCAACTGCAAGGTGTCCTCCGTGACCCAGAAGCCTCTGGATTATGGACATCGCCGCAAACACGGATTCCTTTATTATGGATCCTCATGTTAGGCGGGATTGCCGCAACCCAGATGCCAGAGCGACCATTCTTTACTTCGGCCTTGGAACGGACCTTACGGAGGAGCGGGATCTCCTCTTGGCTAGGTGTCAAACGAGTCCTCGATATCATGTTATGGTATGATATGGCTTGCGATGAATCGGCGGAGGCGCTTTTTTACGATGCCGTTCGCCTTGCGAATAGTGTGTCTGAGGCCCGAAGTTGAACGCGATGATTGAATGATATACCCCCAACCGGCAGATTTCAGGCCATTTCCTCATGTCCTCGCTACCCCGAGACCGGGAGTTGGTGTGAAGCCATCCAGTGCTTCATCTGTCCTGGAATACCTATAACGCAATATACACTCTGATGTCGCATGACACATCAAGTTCATCACAAACTTGAGTGCGATCTCAATCTCTGACGTATCTCATTAATGCCAGTAATAAAAACTAACATCTTCGTTTTGATTTATTGAACTTGAATTCACATAAACAAATCAAATAATTGAAACCAACCTCGGAGTGTAGTAATGAAACTAAATGAAAACTTCCAGAAACCCGGAACAAAAGTCCCATCCAAAGCCACAAGTGCCCCTAGAGTTTTTGGTGGAGCTTTTGTTTGATTTGACGTGTTTGTTGTCAGTTTTAGCGGGATCGAGGCTGATTTTAGTCTTTATTTCACAATCAGTTGGTTCTGTTTACTGTTTCGGCCTTTTAGTAGTTGGTCCCGACGTCTTCCAGCTTTTTGGTGATTGATTTTTCGACTTGTTGGCATTTTGCTACCTGTCCTGTTGACGCGATGACTACCAGAGATTCTACTCGTTCTACCATTTTATCTTCAAGTTGCATTTGCCTGCATGAAGCCAATACGGGATCATCATTTCGAAGACCTCATGGGCCCTGGTCTTGAGAATTTCTCCCAGTCCTGATTCAGACAGCTAACTAACGGACACGATACTGCAAAATGATAAGCGCAAAATATTGTTCCTCTGAATGGTGTTGCAATCACAAAAGTACATGCACTCCCCCACACCATGATGTCCTTTGAAACCTTGTCCAGGGCCCTTGCTCTGACTCATCGCTGGATCGGTAGCTGATTTTCATGATTCAGACGTCAATAGACTAATGTATTTTCATGTGACCAGCCTCGGGGATGGTGGTAACAAATGAGGCTCAACCCATTAACTAGCATCGGACTAGTCGATATTCTAGACAGGGAAGACGCATCCGGCATTAGCGCCATTGCACCCTGCAAGGCGATATGCAAAGAATGCTGGAATGAGGTCTTCAAGTGGATGCTGAATAGTAAGGCTAATCGAGTCTGGGCGCGGGTGCCATCTCCCTAGGGCCGACGAGAGTCCATGCCTGGGCCCAGATCTTGTCCCTAGCTTGTTTCACCCTTAGATTCTTGCAGTTTCTGGACGGTCGGGTTCCCAGGATCATCGCTTCGGGCGCTACCCCGTGATTTTGGCATCCTGCAGATCAGCGGGTTCGTGGTCACCTCGTGGTTGGTCAACGATTTCTCCCTTGAGCGGCCATGCAGCTAAGGAGAGACATGCCGGCTCAAACTGGACTCATTTGCTGCAGGCGGTATGTGATGAAGCTATCTCGTTCCTCTGGTAGCCCATGTCATCTGCAAAGCCTAGCTCGACTGCTCGATTTAAACCATGGTATGGCTCGCATGATTGCTCTGGTGACGAAGTTCTCAGGCAGCTCTGCCGCAGACGGTGCTGTCCAACATTCATGCATAGGCATCATAGAATTGTTTCAAACCAGCGTTGCCTAAATGTGGGATGGTACTGTCGTATATTTCAATTCCAGAAATGCTTTCCACAGGGGGTAATGTGTAATGTGCTAACAGCTTCATGGGGTACCATGTGTTTTGCCATGCTTGTATCTCCTCAAAGAATGTTATAAAGTTCCAGCTAACATACTAGTTCTTCTTTTAGTTGCGCGGCCCGGAACGTTCGTGGGGATGGAAAGCTACCTACACACGCGACATTGTATCCTGGTAGACATTCAAGCTACATTTGCCCCACTATACATGCATGAACTAATCTAAGAAAATCCGTGAATTTGGATGATCTACAAGCCTTCAGCCTTGACCAGCTTGACGGGAGCTGCTTCCCCGGTTTTACCGTATCTACCCTGGAAGGTCTTTGAGCACTGCGCACTCCAACGCGTCCGATTCGCCAGACTGTCGATCGGACGTATTGGTTTTCTCCATGCACAGTGAATGGCCCCTAGTCCTGGCATTCTTCTGCAAGAGGAATCGATCTGATGTGTTTTTGCAGCTTGATTTAAACATTGTTCCCAAGAAGTGGACCTTTCTTCTAGTGATTGTCATGGCGATTATTTAAAGTCTGCCTTTCAGAAAGGGTTTCGCTCTTTTTTCCATCTATTTTTACCCTAACACTATCGAACGGCTCTGTGAGAATCCAACATACTCTACGAATTTGTGCAGTTACCCACATCATGGCGGCTCCCTCGCACAACACCCGCCCCAACGGCCCAGCCCTGTCGTCAAATGACGACAACTGGGATTCAGGGTACTCAGAGGTCGCCTGGACCAACCCAGCCTGTTATCCCACACCGGCGATGCCGGTCGGACAGCACTGGTTACACCACGCACCACATAGCAATTCGAACCCCGGTATATCTCCTATCTCAGCATCTCCTTGCTCAAATCCAACAATCACACCACCCTCCTCCTTCCATCATCCCAATTGTATCCCCTGGCCAGTCGGTAGTCCAAATGGTTACATTCTACCAGATGCCCACAACGCAGCCTGTCACCCCAATACTCCCAAGAGCACTCCAATGGCAAGGATCTCGTCCTTCAATTCCTCGCCGGAAGAACCTCTCGACACTACGAATTACGAAAATACATGTGCACATGGGGCAGGGGCACAATCCCGTCAAGCGGCGGGCATCGAGTATGTGTTCACGATTAACTATACCCTCATGACTTACGAATACTATGCTACATCACTCTCTGACATGCATTACCTAGTGTCAACCACTATGGGAGATATAAGTGCCGATGGGAGGGATGCACGTGTACCAGCACGTTTTCCCGACAAACTTGTCTCTGGCGACACATTAAATCCACTCATGTCTCTCCTGAAGAGTTTAAATGTCCCGTTCGTGATTGTAAGGAAACCTTTGGTCGCAAGGATAAGCTGCAATCACACATGCGACTTTATCATATTACTCACGGCAGGTCAGAGTCATGCTCGTGCCATCCTTAATTTGGGCTTGGGATTTTCTTCTCCACTCATTCACCCTTGGAAGTTTCAACTTTCAATTTCTTCATCTTTGTCTTTTTTTTCTTTATCCTTTTGCATCCATTGACTGGTTTGCCTCGATCGGGAAATATCTTAAAAACATTCATACTCCTTTCTTTTGTATTGACGCTTGGCTTCAGTTTTCTCGTTAGCTTGGGGTTTTGGAGACTATACAATGGGTTAATGATTTCCAATGTTCATGCAGGGTATCAACCCAGCAACTTGAAGGATTCGTGCTACGTTTTGATCTATGTAGCATTCCCTGCAGCCTCGTAGTCTCCGATTAGCCCCAGACGATGTGGATCTTTTCCTGCCAAACAAAATTAAAGTTTTCGCCAGGTTCTCAAGGCCACACAAATTGGCGCCCAGCCGTCCATGGTCTCGGGTCTCGGGATGCCGAAAGTCGCCACTGCGTTCGCCTTCGAAATTTCTTTTCTAAAGCACCTCATTGTTCTATCCTCTGAATTCTCTCAAAAAACTTGTAGAAACTTCGAAATTAGATATCTCATTGTTAGTTAGATTTCATAGGAATAATCAAGACATTTTGGAGACAGATGGCGTGCAGAAAAACACACGCTTATTTACGTAAAGGGAATCTAGCCCGGTGGGTCCGAGAATATTTCGGCATCTGCGATTTGATTCCATGGCATCGCTATTCTCGCTTAGGCCACAAGAGTCCTTGGCAGGAGTATCCAGGTTGCACACAGATCATGCAGCAACAATGAGAATGGAGAAACCGGTACTTTTTGTATCGTTATAGTTTTGGAGTACTAGTATCTGTGGGTTACAGATGAACTGGAGTGTAGCTAAAATGAACTATGGGGAACATTCAAGTTCGGATCTAAGCCGATAATTTTAAATTTTGCTCGCGTGGTTTTAGCCTGTCAAAGGAAGGTCCCGCTGTCGCAGCTGCTAACTTTTGAGCACGCCATCGCAAGGGGCGATTTTTTGCCGTGGTTGTCCCCGAATATCATTTTGATGGCTCACCCCGCCCCCATTTAATATCTCACGCGGAGGCCTCTCTCTTTCCTTTCTTTATATTTAATCGTCACTAAAAGTGTTGGATCTTTGCCACCAAAATGGGTTCAACAACTGCCGAGAAAGAAGTGAGGGATGTCGCTGCTGAGTCTGTTGACACACAGGTCTCGCAGCAGAGTCGCTGGCGATCGGTATACCGATCCATTCCTTTCCAGATCGCCATCGCTAGTGCTGTTTCCTTCACTGCCCCTGGCATGTGGGATGCCTTGAACAATCTGGGAGCCGGTGGAGCTGCAGAGCCATATGCAGTTTCCGGAGCGAACGCTCTGGTCTATGGTCTTTTCGCAGTCGTTTGTGTCTTGGCTGGAGCTATTAACAATCGCATTGGTCTTCGCTACGGCCTGGCCCTGGGGGCGATTGGTTATCCAATCTATGGCGGTGGTCTATATGCCAACAGCTACTCATCAACCACTTGGCTGATGTTCTTCGGAGCTACCCTGTGTGGTATCTCTGCCGGTTTCTTCTGGGCTGCGGAGGCAGCTATCATTATCGGTTATCCTAGCCCGAAGGACCGTGCTTTCTACCTTGGTATGTCAACTGGGAACCTTGAAACACATTATAAATCACCCAACCTCTATACTAACATTCTTTCTAGCTATCTGGCAGACAGCAAAGGCCGCTGGTCCCATCGTCGGCGGTGCTATCAGTCTCGGCCTCAACGCCAAGAACTCCGATAAAGGCACCGTCAGCACCGGAACCTACATCGTTTTCATCGTCATCATGTGCCTTGGTCTCCCTATTTCGCTCTTCCTGAGCCCCGCCGATAAGGTTCAGCGCAAGGATCGCACTCTGGTTGTTGTTCACAAGAAGGCCAGCTGGGCTGCCGAGTTCAAGGCCGCTCTTTCGCTCTTCAAGACCCGCCGAGTCCTCCTGCTTTTGCCCGCTTTCTTCATCAGCTATTTCTACAACGGCTTCATGAGCACCTGGGTGACCAGCTACTTCACCGTCCGGGCCCGCGCTTTCAACTCATTCTTCACCAACTTCGCCGGTGTCGCATCCTCTTTCATGATCGCTGCTCTACTTGACCGGCAATCAATTTTCATCAAGACTCGCGCTCGCATCGCTTTCATCTCGATCGTTGTCGTTCTTACCGGAACTTGGATCTGGGCATCAATTCTCCAGAACCAGTTTTATGGTATGCCCGAAGCCCCTCTCTTTGACTGGTTCAAGGGTGGTTTCGGAAAGACCTATGCCTTGGTATTCTTCTGGCAGTTCGGAGGACAGGCTTTCCAACAATTTCTCTACTGGCTGGTTGGACAGTACAGCACCGACATTTCGTCGCTCTCATACCACACCGGTATTCTTCGCGGAATGGAGGCTCTCGGCCAGACCGTCGCCTGGGCCATGCAGTCCGAGGGCAATGCCAACCACTTCGTCAGCATTGGCTTGAACTTCGGAATCACTCTTCTGTGCATCTTCCCCACGTGGCTTGTCCTCTCCGATTTGGAGCACAGCCACGAGGTGACAGTCACTGCTGAAGACTTGCAAGATGATACCACCAAGCCAGTCTAAACTGAGATTCTGGCAGGACACCACCAACCTTGTGTCATTGTATAAAAAGGGAATTTAACATTCCTCTACGATTTTCCGATTGTACTTATAGAGCGTCTAGACATTTCAACATATACCCCAGTCGATAATTTTAATCAATATTTCATCGCGATTTGCGAAGAATCACATGTCCAATCCGAAATCTACAGGATCTTCACTCGAGACGATATATTCAATTGTAATTCACGACTAAGCTGCCCCGAACCTATATTTCCATATTTACCGTAGCTGGCTAAGACGCAAAACGCTTCCCATGTTCTTACTTATGCTGTGGAGGCAACAGTTGCAAACAAACAGGCTGGGGGATCTCGATCAAAGGAAGGATGGAATTACGCCTCGAAGAAAATCACTGTGACTCCTTTTTGCGAAGGCAAAATTCCTCTGGGTGCTTCCAGTGACTTGATGCTATCGCAGCTACCATCAAAATATCTCGCTGCACGGAGAAGAGAAATGACAGAGCCCCAGCTTAAATCACTCGCACCAGGATCAGTCACGATTTTTCTACCCAGTCAACAACATACAAAAGTGTGCACAGCTATCATCCCTATCAGGGTAACATTTGAATCGGGCCACAGTGGAATTCCGCCCAAATTGAGCCGAATCTCACGCAAGCTGGTAGCCCATACCACAGCACACGCCGCGCCATTCCGAGCCTCTGATTCTGGGCCTGTTCGGCAAAGTCGACATGGTGTCTATACGTGCGCTATGTCCTTGCCTGAATTGAATGTGTCTTCCCTTCGATGGGAAACATGTCCACCGGCCATTTTTAATTCTGAATGTTTCACGGGCCCATGTTGCAATTCGAGTGACGCACTTCATGGAGTGAAAGGATCTGCCTCCGAAACGATGCTCCGGGTCCCAGTCTCACTTCCTCTAGATACTAAGCTAGCGCCAAGTTTCGATTCATGCCTCATATAGAGATCATATACACTGGAGATCGGTCTTTCGTATCGGGCTACAGGGAGGATGGGGCATTCCACCGTTGGTCTAGAAATTCCATTGGAGCTAGTACTGCAAGAATAAAGATCGGGACTTTCGAGTTTCCATCTCTTCCGAGGGATGTTGTACCTGAGCGGATATTTTTGTACACATAGAGTGTCCATAATAAAGAAAAAGCCAAGATTGCAATTTGTCGGACATCTTTTCCAAATCAAAAAGTTCAATCGAACATCATTTTTTGTGCAGGCTTGAAATATGTTGCTCTTTCTTTTGGCCACTAGAAGGAGGGAATGAAGATCGAGTATTTGCCAACCCAACAAGATCGCCGTACTTCAATGTATTCATGGTCGCTCCGAATTGATCCCCACTGGGTGAAACTGTCAATATCATAGCTGAGCGTGTATCGGGTTTTGCTTCGAAGTGCTCCCGCAGCACCATGGTCAAGGGCGAAGATCGATAAGGGATACGTGATTGACCGAGAGACCTAGCTCTAATAACCTCCTTCAAGGCAAGAAGGTCAGTATTGATTTGCTTCCCTTGTTGCTTTTCCAGAGCTGTTTGTTCAATCGCATTTGTATTCGAGGTAGAGAGGAACTCTGCTCCTGCCAGGTCCACAAAAACGAGCTTACCCCCAATACATGGATGTACTCGAGCTGTGGCTGTGAAGACTTCCGCCTCATACTCTTCAGCCTTCTGCACGGCTGATTCAAACTCTGCCTTTTTCGTCTCAGCTGCATCGATGCGCTCTTGGTCGATCTTGTAATCGGGATTCGAAACATACTTGCCGTCTGCCGTTAAAATAATGCCGCGGGTTTGCTCTTCAATGTAAATATCTGTCGCAATTTTGCCGACCGGCACAAGCTCTGATTGCCGCTCATTGACCTGGATTCTAGCCTCAAGTAAATCCTTTGTTATTACTTCTAGCTCCATGATAGCATGTGTACGCGAACTCTGATCGTGCATCGATGACGTCGCAGTTTGCCTGCGCATCAAGCCCTGTTGGAGCTCACCTTGCAGTTGAACAAAGTTCCAGCAGGGCTTGGTGGTAATTGGGCGCACCCTGACCTTTCCGTTCTCAAGTAGCTCAGTTTCACCCCGCACATGAAGGCGACCATCTGGCCCCTCGCGGACAAAACACTCGTTGCCTTCATTGAGAAGATCAATAGCTTTGTTCTTGCGCAACTCATAGACTCGAAGACCAATACCAAATTTGGAAGCAGTACTTCGTGCATTAATAGCGATAAGCTCCATCGCCAGATGATGCGCAGATGCCAAACACAAGCCAAGCTCATTCTTGTGTTCGAAGTCGTAACCAATCATTGTATGCGTCTTACCACTTCCTGAATGGCCATAAGCAAAGAAGTTGCAAGATTTCCCGCGCAGTACATCTGGTATAGCGGATGAGACGACACGCTCAAATACGTCGTGGTTGCTGTCATTGGGCCGAAAGATTCCATCAAATGAAAATCCACTTGTCCACGAATTTTCGCGCTTTAAAAGGCTCTTGGCGCGATGCGGTGAGGTGATAGAAATGCGTGAGCGCGATTGGCTGTCATCTTCCTGTGATTGACAATGAATCTCGCCAGTGGGTGCCTCGATTCCCTCAAGCGGCCGCCATCTAGTCCAGACCTTGAATTCACTCATGACGAAATGTTGTGACGGTGGCGTGGTCGATGGAGACGTCGACAGGTGTGTCGTGGCGGCTGTAGGGTTCCAGAGTGAGTCACTGGAAGAGATAGAATGAAAGTCATAAATGTAGATTGGGAGAGGAGGGGAGGTAAGATCCTTTTTGAAGGGTTGATCTAACGCGCAGCACTCAACTGTATATGGGAAAGTCTGAGACCCACAGATCGCTCTGTAAACACCCTAGAATGACCTAGCGCGGCCCAAACCGGGGTTTCGGGCTTTTAGAAGTCCGGCACAGCAGGCTTTATTTCGTCGCAGGAGAGGGTAGACCTATAATAACATGAAAACATGGGGACAATGATGGTCCTAAATTTTGAAAAAAAGAGAAGGTATTTCTTCTGCCCATGATGAACTGTCCTGGAACGCGGATATGTGATTTTCATATTGAGCGCGATATTAGCTCTCTATTGTACCGGCGAGCTAGATGCATCCCCCCTCCCGGAAAGATTCACGTGCTCACTGCCCCCACAACTTTCTCCGTGTGCACGAACGGTATATTGTCATGGCTGCGAAGAATTAATTTGGTAACATTTGCTAACTCTGGAATCCATCCCTAGACTTCAGATATGGATAGATTTGAACGCGACTATCACAAATGTGAATTATGGCTGAGGGGTTGGTTTAACTGACTATGAACATGGCGGGACAGAGCTCAACCACGTACTGCTACGAGGCATGATGGATGATACCAGTAGAAAGGGGAGAACCCCTAGAGCTCATTATTGGAAAGAAAGATGTTTCTGAAATGCTTTGTCCGTGTAGATCAACCTTCACTTATAACCAGAAACCGCAGACATGACTGCAATTGTACGCGAAATATGATTCCTGAATATCATTTCTGCAATACGTTCACTCTGACTATTCCATTATGTACGTATTAGAAGTTAAAGACCAAGTAGCAGCCTGTTTAAGGGTTCTGCTCTAACAAAGCGGGACCGGCGTGATTACCAGAAGGGTGTGCGCAAACCTCCAAGCGGACTGAATTTGAACTAATTATAGTTACGCCATGCTAGTCACGGCTGTTAGTTTGTGCATACGATATTTGATAATTATCCTATCAATCTGACAGATACTATTGTAACTCTGAGAATTTTGAAGCATCAAATTTCTACTTGAATGTATTCTCCGAGACGGCCCATGGACCAGGAGGTACCTTGTTTGACCACTCCCCTCGAGGGGGACGCCAAAGTAGCATAATTCCAGGTGGCTTACATTCATGGACTAATCTAGACCACTCGTCACTCGGATTAGGTTTGTCAAAGTCAACGTGCAGACCCATAACTCTTCGATATCCATATTCCTCATACAGCCAACGTCCGACGGGACTACCCTCGATGAAGCTCTCGTAGCCCAATGGATCGATCCTCTCATGACCCCACTCCATAAGAAGTCGACCAACACCGCGACGTCTATACTTCGGGTGGACGCCCATGGCGTTGACACCCGCGTGCGGGCGCTGGAACCAGGACTGTCTTGGGAAAAAGGCTTGGGAGAGCATGCGCTCGGCGTACTCGGCACGCTCCGTTCCTTCGGCATACCAAGTGCACTTGATAGGTTGGGGTCCATTCGGAAATGGATTTTCGCGGAAAATGAACCATTCACAGCCACCCGCTACTTCGCCTGTTTCGTTATCTATCACGTAAATCAAGTGCGAAAATGGATTTTTCTCGCTTGCATTCCAGCGGATCTCGGTGTCAAGTTCTTTGTCGCGGGCGCGATCTTCGGGGGTGTGACCACTAATTGGGTGGACAGCAGTGAAAACGGGGCTGATGTGGCAAGCAGCGGTCTGTTAGATGGAGCGTCAAGACGAAGACGTTCGCGAGGGGCAATGACTACGCTTACTTGTACGGGTTGAAGTTGGCCGCCCACAGCACATCCACAAGCCGAGCATACTCCGATTTTGTCGGAATAATTTTCACTTCAAATTGTGATTGCCTCATCTCAAAGAATTTTCAATATGTCGAACGGAGAGAACAGTGTCGTTAAATTGGGAATTGATAAGACGAGACTCGATTTATAACTGTGGTTTGAACAGAATGGGGCCAAAACTACGTCGCACTATTTACCCATTGAGGTTTAAATCGAAAGTCAAAATCAAGATCAAATTCTTTGGTGAAAAGATAGCGAAATTGAAAATTGGAAACCAATTTCCATTCGGAGAACAGACCCTACCAGATCCTTCTCGGCTGCCCATGCCACCTTTTCGGCACGTCCACCTACTAGTTCGACAGAATACTTTCCACAATCTGGGCATGACTAACTAGAAGTTCGTCCTTCTGGCGACGACCAATAAGCTGAACGTGACATGGAGCTCCCTCTATTCGCTCGGGCTCATCTGCGAAGATTAGCAAGCAGGTCGGAATTCTTCACGTTGAGTTTGCACTAACATAATGGATAATAATCGACATCGCGAATAAATTTCGCATCGGCAGCTGCGTCAGCCTTGCCGAACGGTATAACACAAGCAGGATACTGAGAAATTTTGTTAGCCAGACATTATATTCAGAGTGATGCAATTTACATCATGGGTTCATACATCTACCAAGTTGGCGAGAACAGTATATATCGGAACCCCATACGTGTCGTGAGGGACAGCTGTGGTCTGGAAGCCAGGTGCAATTATCAAGTCAAGCTTGTTATGAAGGTAAACACCTCGCATCTGGCTTGATATTTTAGCCTTTTTCGCATTGAAATTGAAGAAATCACGCAGTGTTGTTTCAGGCCCCTTTCCTTCCAAGTCGTAAGTGAAACGAAGAGATGGGATGGCAGGCTCCCCACTATCACTGAGACGTTTCAGTACAGTCTGGTCGGGGTCAACCCTGAAGAAATCGAAAGCCAAGTCTGAAGCTGCTGCAATAAAGGGCACTTGTCCGGAAAGATCCACCACTTGATTCCCAGCAGCTTTCAACTTTTCTATAGCAATCGCCAAGGTGCGTTGCATGCTGGGATGCAAAGGCTGTTGAGGATCTTCAGGGAGAATTCCGATGGTCAAAAACTCTCCCGTTCTTTTCGCAGGTTCAACCCAGGGATACGCAAGTGCAGTGTCATCCATATCATCCATGGAAGCATCAAACACAACCCGAAGGAGCATCTCGGCGTCCCTGACTGAGTGACATAAAGGACCCGCAACGGCAGCGATACCCGTCATTCCAGGCCGACCAGCACTTTTCCCAGTCGGGGGTACACGACCCACGCTGGGCTTAAATCCAACGGTGCCACAACAGAGGGCAGGAATCCGAATGGATCCAGCGATATCGGTTCCAATTCCCAGGATAGACCCTCGCATAGCGACAAGAGCACCTTCACCGCCACTGCTTCCACCTGCCGTGAGACTTGCACGATAGGGGTTGAGCACGCGGCCAAACACGTTGTTGTGCGAATCTGCAGTCATCATAGTCTGTGGAACATTGGTCTTGACGTATAGTACAGCCCCTGCTGCAAGGAGGACATCGACCAGGGGCGAGTTTTGGCTGGAAGGCGGGTCGTCCAAGAACGATACTATCCCCAAGCTCGAATGAACCCCTTGAACGTTTAGCGAGTCCTTGATACTGATGGGCAACCCGTGCAGAGGTCCATATGGCTTGCCAGCCGCTTTGATATGCTCATCAAGTTCTTTCGCGCGCGCCAGGGCTTGGGGAAACATTGTTTCAGTGAGGCAGGAAGTGAGCTGCTGAGCAATAGCGGCACGCTTGCAAAACGCTGTGGCTACCTCAAGAGCACTCAGCTCCTGCGCGGCAAGTTTTTCTCGTAGAGTTGTTGCATCTTGAATTTCAGTGATCTCTATTTCCGCTGGGGTGAGAATACCACACTTTTCAGGTATATCTAAAACGTTGGCATCGCCCGTCTCGTCTTGTGTCAAAAACTCGGCCGGCAATCGCCATTCAACAGGGATCTTCGTGGCCGCTTCCCCTCGCTTAGCACCGGCTTTCTCTTGCCAGGTTGCCTTGGTCATATTTTTTTTTTCCAAATATTTCGAATATTTCGATATTGTTTAGAAGTCAGTTCTAATAGAAACGGGATGCACAGAAAGGCAAGCAAGCTCCCTCGATTTATAGTCGGGCATACTTGGTAGGTGCATGCGGGGGTGGACACCCCCCCACCCATGGTCTATTCTCCAATCAACACTATTTGCGCGCAGCAAGCCACCTGGAGATAACGGGGTCAACCGGTATACTATTCGGCACTCCACACGGCGCTGGGGCGGACTACGGCGGACAGTTCCGCTGCTGTCCATGCATAAGAAGGACTTCGACCACCAATGATAGGAATTGCAATTTCTTTCCTTATCTTATGTGAACAGCCCCCCCCAAGAGCAAGAAATATTCGACATGACTCCCCCTTCAAAAACCGAGGTTCAGGCTGCTATTGGCCAATACATCAAGGAGCTGGCAGAGCCTCTGCGAGAGTTGAATCGGAAGGTCGGTGCCAGAATAATCTCCGATTACCCTTCTACCTTTTTCTAACGACAAGTGGCAGATTCATGAAAATCCCGAGTTGGCATATGAAGAACACCACTCACACGATGTAATCTGCGAATTCCTTGAGGCTCAGAATATCCCCGTGAAGCGACATGTCTATGGACTCAAAACAGCCTTTGAGGCTATCGTTGGTGACTCGAACGGTCGCTGTGTGAATTTTAACGCCGAATATGATGCCCTTCCTGGTATTGGACATGCCTGTGGCCATAATCTCATCGCTACCGCCAGTGTAACCGGATTCATGGCCCTCGCATTTGCGATTCAAAAATTCGGTCTTTCTGGTCAAGTTCAGCTTCTCGGAACGCCCGCTGAGGAGGATGGTGGCGGTAAAGTTGACCTTATCCGCGCAGGTGCCTTCAAAAATGTGGACGTATCTTTGATGATGTGAGCTCAACATATTTTCGATCGAGTGTGGTATGTTGCTAATCTTTACTAGGCACCCGATGGCCGAGGATGAGTTCTCCAAAGAGAAGGTTTTAGGAATTGGCGGTCGATCAACCATCGCCTGCTTTGACATCACCGCAGCGTATCATGGTGTCAGTGCACACGCGGCCGCAAATCCCTGGGAGGGCGTGAATGCGCTCGACGCCCTGGTGTCAGCTTACAACAACATCTCCATGCTTCGCCAGCAGATCGGACCAGACGAAAGAATCCACGGTGCTATCATGCAAGCGCCGAAAGTGACTAATGCAATTCCCGAGCTCACGCGTACCAAGTACACAATTCGGAGTCGCACCCAGAAGGGAGCGCGTGCACTGGGTGAGCGTGTTCGCAAGTGCCTAGATGCAGGCGCTCTAGCCACTGGATGCAAAGTTGAGCTGGAGGAAACCCAGATGTATGCAGATTTGGTTGTTATCCCTCCATTGTGCGAGGGCTACCAGGAATCCATTGGAGATTTGGGAGTTCACGTCGCGGCTTGTGATGATACTCTTATGCCAGGATCGACCGACCAGGGAAATGTTTCCCAGGTCGTTCCAGCTCTCCATGCTTTGGTTGGTATCCCCGTCACGGACGGAGCACACAATCACACTCGGCAATTCACTGCTGCGGCGGGTACGGATGAAGCACATGAGCGCTCGGTCACTTCAGGGAAGGCTATGGCGATGACAGGCTGGAAGCTCCTCGTCGATGATCAATATTATGGCAAAGTTCGCCAATCTTTCGACGAAATTATGGGGTAAAACCAGTCCATATTGGACGATAGGAAATAAAGGCCACCGACATATTCTAGCTCCCTAGCAATTATCCAATGCAGGAAATCTATAAATGGACAAATTATGGCTATTTACATCGTAAGACTTCATCTTTAAACTCACACATCAGTCGCCATTTCAGTGTTTGCTGTATTTGACTGGGGAGCGATCGAAAGTCATGAATCGCATAGGCCGCAAGATTGATCAGCTGTTGTGGGGTTCAGCCCTTGACACGCATACGACGCATTGTGAATCATTTGTGAGACGCGTCCACAGTGAGTAGCCCCACTTCTGACAATCTCGAACGGCGATGGGATGTCCGGCTGTACCTCGAATATCACTAGCACGCGAGGATTGCCAGTAGTGGATATTCTGATAACGCTCAGCCTTTTTTCGAATTAATCAAGCTGTTGCTTCTCAGGTTCAGTCTATGTGGCAGTAGTCAACCCTTCCAAAAGGTTGCAATAATTTCGTACTTTGTCTGCTATGTATCGCGATTCTGGATGTGCCCCGGGCACCATGATACCACTAGTACTATGCAGTGTCTTCACTAAAATCTAGAAAATACATCCGGAATTTATAGTTCACTGATAGACATGGATTTTATTTTGAATTGTACTTAAACTTCAAGAATAAGCAATAATCAGGCTTTCCTGTGATCTAAATGAATTAGTCGTTGATGATGTCATCTCCAATATATCTCGACGTCAGAATTAGTATTGAATGCCGTCGATAAAAAGAGCAAGACTCCCTAAATAAGTCGCTGCAATTCGAGGAAACAAACACCTATCTTTCATAATTGCTTCTAGGCTACTAGCATAGTATGGGAGCACCTTGGAAACAAACTTGAAGATGTATGTGGCAAGCCAAATGGAATCTTGTTAAAGATCTTCCAAGGATTCTAACAATGCGCGAAGGAATCGTCTTACTGCACCCGTTGTCAGCATTATCGGAGTCATAGGAGGGACCGCTCTAATGTTTCGATACCTTTCTCCCAACAAAGACGGCTCCTTTGTATCCGACGAGGATCGCCAGAGAGTGCGGGGCGGGACTGATGGAGCATCGCCGTTTGGAACGGTAGCTGGCAGGCCCCCACGAAGCACCGGTGGGTCGGGCTGAGGCTGAAGGTGGATTTCCTATTGGTTAAAGTACTATTATTTAAGAAATCTGAATAACACCAACACTCCTCTCTCTATCCTAAATAATGATCCAGGCCAAGATGCCCTGTCATATGCAAAAGTACACAGTGCCCCACACTTACAATATTCAATAGGATAGTCTTTCAAAATATCAACGAAAATAAGGATGTTTCAATTATTACAAAATTAAACATTTTCAGTGACTCACAAGGCAGGAAGTGGTGGTATCGTATCAGTTTGTTGTTTGCAGGGGGTCGTTCCGTACGTCAACATTGTCCCTTCATCAGGCACCACCAGGCAACAACACACAAACTTCGGCAACTTCACTTCAACATCACCCCGCATCAAGGCCAGCAATCTGGGCAAGTGAACGAAGAAATACTTTGCACCTCACCCGAAGCTCAAAAACATTTACCAGACACCTCCACAACCTTCGGATCGTCTCTTCCGTTCTCGCCATGCCGGCCAGTGAGTTTCGCGCTCATCGCCAAGAAGCTTCCCAACCAGGCCGGTATGCTCATTTGAGGGACGTGAAATCTGGAGATTTGGATTACTCTATTTCCTTCATATTGAATTTACCCGGAGATGAAAAGTCCGAAATTGAATTTCTACTTGTGGTTAGCGGTGGGTCGGGTGAATTTCTGCATCAATAAACTGCTATGATTAATATCGACCAGATGCCCACGATTACCCCGACAGCCATAGCTTTCTCGCCAGTATCTCCAGTCATGAGACCACAGATCAAGTCACCAGCCTCATCCAAAAATGCCAGGACCCACATCGCTTCTCGCGCCTCAGCATCCACGATGCTTTGATGACTATCGATAGCCTGTTGTCTCCCGCCTCTCAATCCACAAGCCATGGGGTTGATGCGACTTCCGAGGAAGACACACCCGACTCCGAAGGGTTGAATGAATTTGATGACAGCTTTAACTTTGATGATGGGTACGAATGGGTATCATGTCCACAATCCGCCTCACTTCTTCATGAGATTCGCAATCATGATCTACGGACCGCCAGTGCAGAAGGGTTTCAAGTCGGATATATTGAGGATACAATGGGCAAATCGATCATTTCAGTGTCCTGTCAAATCGCCCAGTTGGATATATCCAACGATGCGCTGCAGGTCTGGGGTATTGACCGCTCGGAAACTCTTATTCTTCTCATCCGGTATCCCAGATCATACCAATCCCTGCAGGAAATCCTCCAGACTCACGAGATTTCCCTCTCTGGTATTGAGATGCGAGTGGGTCTTTGTGAGTATAGTTTCACCTCTCCGCATGTTGCCAAGGATATTTTCAAGTGTGATAAGATGCCGCGAAATGAAAAGGATCTCTCTTCCGACCTAGACAGGCAACCAGGGCTCAGAGATTTATTTATTTCATATTCTCTGCATCACGTCCTAAATGAACGGTTTCTTGCCATTGCCAAACTTCGAAGGGACTTCAACCTCTCATGGACAGGTGCGGAGCTTTTCTGTCATGAAATGCAAGGCAAGACAATCGATGCTACTGGGCCGGAAGAAAAATATTGGGCTGCAGATGAATGGCTTACTCCTGTTCCTCATCTCATGGAGTCTGATCATTTTGCAGATGCTGGAATGAAAGTGGAATTTATGTCATTGCCACTTCTTGCCATGCAATACACCCTCCGCCACTTTGTGAGGTGTCCAGAATTTTGTCTGGTCTGCCATTGCAAGACTGGTGATGGTTTCGAATCCCTGAAACCCTACGTCTGTTCGCGTGGACTATGCCTTTTCCAATACTTGGAGCTAGGGTTGGGAGCCAGCATTGAGTGTGAGGTTCGGTCAAAGCCGATGGTAGTTGACCTCCTAGTGTCTCTCGCATATGCGAGCGCAATATCCGGTCATCTTGAATCATTCCCAGATGGGCTGCGTCTGAAGGTCCCGCTTAAGAATAGCTATGGTTTTGATCAGAATGGGGAGATTCAAAATCCCGATTTCACAAGCCGGGCTCTTTTAGATCCAGTGACCATGATTCTTTCCGGCTCGGGCGTGGAAAAGATTGACTCAGGTGATTGGATCATGATACGCGACGCAGAGCCTGTCAAGCCCACAGTCACCTGGCATTGCCAGGTTAAGCGAATACCTCGGAAGGCAGGCGAGGTTATTCTATCCGATCCAGTGAAAATTATTAATCAAATCACCTCCCCACCCCCTATAGCGACGCAGAGTTGGGTGCCTCCCTATTCTCATGTTAGAAAACATCCTGTCAAATTCACTTGTTACGATCAAGCCTTTGAGGTATTGTCGCCTCAAGACAAACGAGGTGCCATCAAGCTCTTATTGGATACTTTGCCAAGCATCAATCAAATAGCAAATCTCCTCGGCGAATCCAGCACTCGAGGTCTTCGCTCATGCTTGGAGGGCAAAGTTAGCCCAGCAGCCTTCGACTTACTTCGTTGGATCATTGCCTCGAACCGATCCTACATTGTGCATGAAACCGGAAAATCGGCACATCGCCACGAACAGATGACTAAACATGTTCGATTTCGCTTCATACAGGGGGCTCCTGATAGGGAGCAACGCTTCTTGAAAGCCGTACAAACTCACGCAAGAAACATCCAGCCCTCGACGATTTCCGCATGGCACGGAAGCCCCCCTTTATAACTGGCACGGTATCCTGAGAGAGGGCCTTCATTTTCGAAAAATCGCACATGGTCGTGCCAGTGGGAATGGGGTTTACCTTTCGGAAAACTTTGCGACATCGTTGGCTTTTTCTACAAGAGGTACGGGGGGTAGGAATTGGCCACACAGCGTGCTGGACATGCAGTACGTTATCTCTCTCAACGAGATCGTGAACTGCCCGGATAAATTTGTCTGTAAAATGCCACACTATGTTGTGCAATTTATAGACTGGATTCAGCCGAGATATCTTCTTGTCGGTGGAAAAGTTTCCCCTTCACAACCAGTCACCCCGTTCGGTGTGTCTCCGCCAAAAGGACCGAAGACAAAACGGCCAGTGTCGAAGACAGGTATCACTGACTTGACAGACGATGACGATGACGGACCCAATCAAACCAAAGCCAAAATACAAAGCCGTGAAGAGGCTCCTCAAAGTATCCCCAGTAACCCTGGTGTTATTTTGTCATCGGATTCCCTCCTTTCTGCAATAATGGATGCCAATCATGCAGATGAAGAGGGGGAAATGACGGACAGGGTGTCAAAGAAGGCGCGAAAGTACTCCGCTGGGCAGCTGGATGCTATCTGGAACTCACTCGACTCAGAAGATGGAGGCTTACTTCTTCCGTAGATATATTATCTGAGATAATAATACATATTGCCTCCCTCCGCTCCTGACTCACGCCTAGACATCTAGTCATTCAAGTTCATATATATCCACCACCTGGGGACTTCCATACGAAGAGCATCTTCTCGACGGGCCGCACCATCATGTCGAAGGGACTCTGATAGGCGTTCCTCGGCCCACATTGAAACTGCTTCACAAAATGGTCTGGTACGATTGCCCCGCTTTATCAATAGAATAGAAGATTGGAAATCGAGTCGTGTTTTATAGAGGAACACAAATAATTCTATCTCCAAGGTCATAGAAACGACCAGAAAAGACATAGTGCTAATATCGCATCAGGATAACAGTTCATTCATAGCGGGGTCATGTGCACAACTCCACAAGCCAATATCGGTTTTGTTTTTTTGTTTTTTTACCCCGCCTCTTACAACAAACCGTGTCTGTCATGAGCCTGAGGCGGGATCTGATGGCTTGAAAAGTGCTAAGCTGCCCATTCAATTCTTCTTGCCAGATGTCCGGCTCCTTGGCTTTGCGGGATAAATTCTCAGAGCCTTCGCTCACTCCCCTGGACAACTCTCAATACCGTCCATTGGGCCGCGATGGATTCGAAATAGCAATAATATGCGCCCTACCCCGCGAAACCAATGCTGTTCTGTGTGCCATGGATCAGATATGGCATGATTGCCGCCATTACTACGGGAAAATTGCCGGAGATGATAACTCATATGATTTTGGAAGAATGGGCTCGCACTGCGTGGTCATTGTAACATTACCTAATATGGGCCCAGTGGCAGCATCGAGCGCTTCGCGATCCCTCAAAATGAGTTTCAGCTCCATACAGCTTGCCTTGCTGGTTGGTATCTGTGGTGCAGTTCCATTCAAGAAAGACAATTCTGAGATATTACTCGGAGACGTCATCATCAGTGAGGCAGTTGTTGAGCTGGACTACGGGAGGCAATACCACGACAGCTTCCGGCGCAAGGATTCACTACTTGACGTCCACGGTCGACCTAATGAAGAAATACTTGGGCTTCTGCAGCGCTGGAAGATTCCAATGATCCTCGAAACACTCCGGCGCGGATCCATATGGCATCTGAGACATTTGCTGCAACGGCTAAATATAGATTATCCGGGCGCGAGCCATGACATGCTTTTCGCTTCAGAGTACATACACAAACATCATGACCACTGCTTGGGGTGCAGTGGTACTGCGGATGCTGTCTGTCAATCCGCTCTCGCATCATCATGCAGTGACATTCTGTGCGATGAGAGACAACTAGTCGCTCGACATCGGTTGCATGAGGTCGTGAAATCGGGTAACAGTATTCAGGATCTTGAAATACACATCGGGTCCATTGGTACTGGGAACGCCGTTGTAAGGTCGGCACGGCATAGAGATCAGCATGCGCTGTTGGAGGGCATTATTGCTTTTGAGATGGAGGGGGTCGGTGTTTGGGATAAATTCAATTGTCTTGTCATTAAAGGCGTGTGTGACTATGCGGATAGCCATAAAAGCAAGACCTGGCAAGACTATGCGGCTGCTGTTGCTGCCGCGGTTGCAAAAGAGGTCTTGCAACAATACGTGAGGCCACAAGGGCTGCAGCAGCCAACAGTTCCCAACGGTAAGCGCCCTGAGATAGTTTCTTATTATTTGACTGATTGTGAATGGCTCGGTTGGCTGCAGGTAGCCCCCATTTGGTACATTGGGAGCTTTTTTCCCGCTCTACAGAAGCTAGTTTTCGGCATGTCTACGGTTCCCATCATTCGAGATCGAAATATCTATTTGAAGGTAGTGCCATCAAGGACCATGGAGATTTTTCTGAAAGGGGGCCGGGTGACATATCCGCTCAGCAACGAGTTTTAGCTAGTCTCCGGTTCCCTCGGATGCAAGACCGTGCACAACAGATTGAATCAGCCCATGACCAAACGTACGAGTGGGTTCTGGAATCGCAGCAGAAAGGGGTACAGAGGTGGGATGACCTGGCCACATGGTTGTCTTCAAATACTGAAACAAGAAATATTTACTGGATATCCGGTAAACCTGGATCCGGGAAATCTACTCTAATGAGGTTTCTGGCCGAGAGGCTCAATTTGCAAGAACACATGCTCCCATGGGCTCAGGGCTGCTCCGTTCTTCGTGCCTCTTATTTTTCTTGGAGCCCTGGGGAAATACTACAGAAGTCCTTGGAAGGTCTTCTGCGTTCATTATTGTTGCAGATTCTCAAACAGAAGCCAGATCTGATAAGAGAGGTAATTGATGATACCAGATGGAGTACTGCCAAGATTCCTTCAATTGCGCTAGCTGATTGGAACAAATTGGAATTAATTTCCTGCCTTCAAAACTGCATTTCGGCTCTACAGAAGCTTTTCATCAAAGTCTTGTTGTTTGTTGATGGGCTTGACGAATTTGAATGCACGGATGAGATCCGTCAAGAGCTGATTGAAACATTTAGAAGACTGGCTTTTACAGGAAATGTGAAGGTGTTCTTATCTAGCAGGCCTTGGAATATATTCCAAGACAGCCTCAACGGAATCCCTAGGATACGACTGGAGGATCTCACGCGCGAAGACATTCGCCTATATGTGAGGGCAAAATTTCTCAATAATCTACGATTCCACCAGCTACTTTCTTGTGATAAAAAAATTGCAGAAGCCCTTATTCTCGCGGTTGGGGACAAGGCTGAAGGGGTATTTTTATGGGTACGGCTTGTGGTTCGTGATTTACTGAAAGGAATTCGTGATGGAGATGGCATTCAAACTTTACACCGGAAGTTGAATGAAATACCTGCCGATTTGAATGAATATTTCAAAACCTTGTTTTCCTCAATTGACTCTCAGCACATGCGAGAGGCCTCTGTCATGCTCCAAGTTGCACTGCATGAAGAAGATCACTTTGCCACGCTGCATCCACTCCGCTTACTTGACTTGTCATTCACTGACGAATCAAGCCCTGATTTTGCAATAGCGGATTCATTCAACTACCCCAAATTATCCATGAACGACCGTGAGGGACTTAGGTTTCGACTCGACTCAACGATTAGGCGACTCAACAGCAGATGTATGGGCCTGCTTGAATGCACCTACAACCCTTGCAGCTTCTTTGACATTTCTGGCCACGAATTTACAACAGAGGAATTAGAAAATGCTTCGCTCTATCAAGACCTGAAGTTTGAGCCGTCAATATACCCAGAGGTTTTTGATTGTCCCAACTTACTTCAAGTCTTCATGCCAACAGTCGACTTTTTGCATCGATGTTCCCGGGACTTTCTCGTTTCTCCACACATTGAGGGCCTACTCCACCAACAAACTGGAGGCGAATACGATGCGAGGATGTTGATCGTCAATGCCAGAATATCACAGTTTCTAGCGCTACAGAAAGCTGGATGCGGCCGCAGTATATCCCTAGGGCTCGCAAGCTATATTATGAGTGCCCTTTCGATTCCCAAATTTATAGATGCAGCACCATCCATCAGAGCTGCGTGTATGCTCCAGCCCGCTATTGAGGCATTTGCATGCCAATGCGGTCATGAAACATATTCTATGGGCCCGGGTTGGTACATTGGTCCCTCGCTGCGTAGTTGGCATGAGGAAAAGAGCAATTTTCTCACACTGGCAATCGACTTCAACTTACGGGGATACTGTACAGAATATCTCACTGCAAACCAAGTCCAAAGGAAGAACGGCCGACCGATCTTAGATTATATTCTCCGGCCAAGATTCACATCAGAAGCATTCGTGAATATTGGGTACTCAGTCCCAAACGTCGACCTTATCCACCGGGTTCTCATTTTTGGGGCGGACCCCAATGGTCTCTATCAGGGCGTTTCTGTCTGGGCCCTCTTTCTCTCCTCAACAGCAGACTGGTTGAACAGAGGATTTAATACTTCGGCCATCAACAAGTCGTCATATCTTGCGTCGCTTAGGATGATGATTGATAGGGGGGGCAGCACTATATCTCCCGTGCTCCTGGGTCTTGGGTGACGGGTTTCTGCAAGGCTATGGGTCCTTTGCGATTGGAAATGAAAAGAACTACCGTTGGCCAAAGGACTTGCCAACAGTTGACCAGGCCATTACTCGGTTTTCACAACCCAGTTATGCTGTCGCCGATCTCCTTGAGACCTTTCGGATCCACTTCGAACCAGAAATGAATGACCTGATTGAACTCGCACGGGGCAGAAGTGGTAAATATTAGGATTGAGCTGATTCCATTTCGCTTATTTGAAAAAAAATCACGCTTCGCTAAAGCCTGTATTACCCGAAAACAACAATATAAAAATGTAGGAAACGCCACAAATGGAGCCAGTCCGGCTGTTCTGAGTCTGGAGGTCCGTATATGCAACATCCGCCACCTAGTTGAGGTCGAATAGAACAACCCTGCAGGCCAAGCTCGGACTATCGCTTCAAATTTCTCAGGGCTTCTTCTATTTGTACCCAGGCTCGAGGCAACAAAGTCCCCATGAGCCAATAATTCCCAGCAAAATCCTGACCAAGCATATTGAAAATATTGAAGCCAACATATCCCGGCCCGATTGCCTCGTTGTAGTAGTTGACCATCGTCCCTGGAGGATTTTGCCGTTTCTCACCAGCATCACCTCCCCTTACAATGGCTGGCGAAAAGTCGACGATTTTGATTAATTTGGCTTTCAGGACGTTGTTGAAGATGATCGGTACCATATTCGATTCTCCAAATAAAAGTTTTGGTTCCCTCCCTGCATCCTTTTCATGGAATATTTCACGCAGTAGAGTCAACCCCTGATTCTCTGTTGCTTGCTCCGTGAGATGTTCTCGATGCTGTAGAGCGATAGAACCGACAGTTTCGGAGCCCGCTTTCCCAGACAAAAATGTGTATGTTCCCAGGACCATGTTCTGAATGAAGACGCCGGCTGATTGGGCAAGAAGCGGAATTCTATATCGCGCATTCATTAAATTCAAAATGGTCACCGGTCGATTATTAGGCTCGGACGCCGTAAATGCCTTCGCTACCCAGGCTGTGAGTATGTCGCTGTCGCTAACAAATGGGGGTTTTTCCTCGTGAAAGGTAATCTCGGTGATCTCCCGATATGCCTGTTCCTTCAATCTGGAGAAAGTATCCTTTGGCAAAAATATCACGCGTCGTTCTCGGTTAGAACTCCATAATTTATCCCACATGAAGCGAAGCATGAACATCATAACGCCTGGGCCTTGGAGACGCTTCCCCTCGACTTTCAACTCTTCCAGAGAGTCATCCGCACTAGTAATGATCGGGTGTCGACAAATATCTTCTCGCGCACCAAGGACGTCAGGAACTTCATCTTCGCGACCAGCCAAAACCGAAGACCATCCGGTCAGTAAGGCGTGTCCCCCCATTGCATCCATAAGAAGGTGGGGCCATGTGAGCGCAACTGTTGTCGCATCTGCGAAGGTTGTCACATGCAGGGACACAATGGGCTCGTTTTGACGTATCATATTGTCGAAAGTTGGGAAATTTGGCCGAGCGATAAATGGTCGCGTATCTGTGGTGATAGTCTGCACAGAAGGACCTTCAGTCTCTTTGGGAAATTGCCTGCCGATCGGATGATCCTCCAACCTAGTGTCGTGAGAATTATGAGTGAAGAAGACTGTTCTGTGTTCCAGTCCTTCGGATCTTGGGACATGAATCTCCAGTTTCCCATTATCCTGCTCAATGTCAGTCATTCAGGCTCCATTATGAAAAAATGAAAAAAGTCTTTCAGCTCGCCCTCATACCTTGAATCGTAAACGCCCGCCTAGTTTCTTCCAGTCGCCCATCCGTAACAGCTTCGATAAAGCCTCATTCAACTTCTCAGCATCGAGGACATCGTTAAACCGCATCATCCAGTTGACGAAACAATGATTAACCTTGCTGTCGTCCAAGGAATGCAAGGGGTATACATCATGAGTGAGTTCGTCGGGGTGCACTTCAACATCCATCATGATGACAAGAAAGTGTTCATGGTTAACATCACAACTGCTCAAAGTTGGGACCGGTGGCAGTTTTGAAGCAGACCGCCAAGGGCGAAGATCGAAGTCAGAGGAGCCATTATTGAGCCGGTTCCTGATTTGAGAGCAATGGCGGGTCTCGGTCTCACAGCAGGACCCTTGAAGATCGCCCCCCGAGGCCGCGTCGGAAGGGGAGAGATCGACGTATTTTGGAGTTTCGACGAGTCACTCTGTGATCCAGGGGCTATTGGACCGCGGGTCGTCATTGTTCAGAAAGTCTATGAATGGCGGCGTACCCACTCTTTCCTTTTTTGTTTCGAGCCGTTGAGTGGCCATCGTCATTTTCGTCGCTGATCCCGCTAAATAGCGATCCTAATCTCTTCCTTCACTCTAGTCTACAAGGATTTTCTCTTTTTGTGAGGTCTCTAGCAACAGCGACCGATGAAAATGGTCCTCTAACATGAGACAAAGGGCTTACCTAGTCAAGTTTCGTATCTCGTCTCATGGACCAAGTTTTGGGATATGCGACCGACTCAAATTTCAGACACCTCGCACAAACTTTTACTTCTGATTGCCAAATAATGCGCAACTAAACGCCATCTGGGATGCAATTGAAGTCCCCACAGCAAGATTTAACCTACAAATATTATTATTGATATAGGCGGGGCACATTGGGGGCTGAATGGCTCGCAGAACTAGCCCTCTTGAGGCAAGGGGGGTTGCATCATGCGGGGAATCCCCAAACATTGCATCTTCAAACTCTCCTTGGACAGCAACAAACATTTGTTAAACACCAAGAGCCCAAATTTGAAATGGAGCAGACCCGCCGACCACTGACAGTGGCAGTCATCGGCGTCGGCCAGATGGGCATCAGCCACGCGTTGGCCTACCACCACAATCCTGGCTTCGAGATTGTCGCTCTTGTTAATCGAAGTCCCATCAAACACCTTCCGGAAGAGCTAAAGATTTATAAAACGCTTCGCGATATACAGGAGGCACTCTGCCTCAAGCCAAATGTAGTATCGATTAACACGCACACGGCAACACATGCTAACTACGCTGTGGACGCGATGGAAGCCGGCGCCCACGTCTTCGTGGAGAAACCGTTAGCTGCAACGGTCGCTGAAGCGGAGGAAGTCGTGAACACAGCACGCCGCACAAATCGGAAGTTAGTGATCGGGTATATTCTTCGACACCATCCCAGTTGGGTGGAATTTATTAGCCAGGCCAGACAGCTCGGTCCGCCTTTTGTGATGCGAATGAATTTGAATCAGCGATCAACTGGCGAGGCATGGAATATCCATAAACGACTTCTTCAAGATGCGAAGAACCCTGTCGTTGATTGCGGAGTGCATTACTTGGACGTCATGCTTCAAATCACCGATAGTAAACCGGTACAGGTTCGTGGTATGGGTCTTGCTCTCAGTGATGAGATCCCGGCAGGCGATCAGGTCAATTATGGACATTTGCAGGTTCTTTTCGCTGATGGCTCAGTCGGCTGGTATGAAGCTGGCTGGGGTCCGATGATGTCCGAGACCGCGTATTTTGTCAAAGACGTGATCGGTCCGAAGGGGTCCGTCTCTATCGTCATGGACGAGATGGGCGTGGCAGCCGCCGGTGGCTCGGCTGATGTAGATAGCCACACGAAGACGTCGAAGATACGTGTTAGCACTGTGGTTGATGGGCTTCCGCGTGATGATATCCTCTCGACGGAGGACGAACCGGGTCATAATGAGCTTTGCGCCCGTGAACAGCAGTTTTTGCTCGATTCGATTCTCGAAGATCGAGATTTATCTCAGCATATGCAGGACGCGGTTCGATCGCTGAGTATTGTACTTGCCGCAGATGCCTCGATGCGTTCCAATCGCGCAGTTGATCTTCCTTGATCCTATAATCGGTTCTATAACAATCATCATTTCGCACTCAGCTCTGTTAACCTACGTAAAAGCCTATGTCAAAACCTACGTTCTGTCGCTGTTTCTGAAGGGTTGCGATCTAAATTAGTCCATTGAATAGCATTTGTATATTTATGATGTATGGAGTTTACTGACTAAGTATTGGTGGACTATACTACTAGTACGTTAACTCAGATCATATGCCATTGATTGATGCTGGCATCTGTCGAAAATTAGCATTCTTCAAGTTCAAATCGCAGGGTAATAGTTTCCAACACCCCCGCCCATGATACAATTCGAGAAATACGTCGAGTACCCCTTGTAAATGCCCCCAAAACAAAATACCCCACGACTTTGCCAATCCGCGTCCCAAGTATCGCCTGGTACTCCGGGGTCGAATACTCCCATATTCGCCGTTCATCATCGGGCCAGGAAAGCCCTCGCTCATCTGTGTAAAGAAGATTCTTGATCATATGCTTGGTGTCTTCATTAATAACGGTATTGAAAAAGATATGACGAAGTGTGTCAAGAGGTAACTCATTCTCATAAGCAACCTTGATAAGCTCTGAGATCCAGGGACGCGGGGCTCCGAGAACTCGTTCCATGAGTGTAATAAAAATGACACTCCTGGCAATTGTTCCCTCCAAACGGTGGCTAGGATGATCATGATACGTCATCTGAAATTCCATTTTAATTCCAATACACGAGCAATCTGATTTCCCTGATACTGGTCCGGTATACGGTATTCCAAGGGTGATTGCATCATGGACACATGCTGATGGGAAAGATGCCGCAAACTGTCGAATTGACCAACCTTGTTGAGAAAGATCAGTAAACTTTAGGGAAATTCGAAGAACGAAACACCCTTGGACTCTTGGATCCTCAATCCAACGATGAATATTGGTTCCTGCTTCAACATATTCCTCCCATCCGGTATGCTTCGGGCTTTTGCGCGACCATTGCTCGGAAGGAGGATCGAATTTCTTCCACATGCTGTGAATAGTTAACTACTGGTTCCGAGCTCAGAGATGACTCTTCATATCAGTGTACCTTTCAAAAATGAATTGTGATAGTTTGGATACAATCGATAAGGATGGTTAACGCACTCTAGTCCACACACTGAGGTTATGCTGATGGTTTGGAGGGGTGAGAACATCTCTTATATTGAAGGACCTCAGTTTGATTTTTGGCAAATGATAGATCTCAGCAAATAAGATGAATGGACAAAGAGATACAATTGAGCCACAGGTCTTGGGATAGTTGAATAAAGCCATTGTCTATCACAATGAGGACAAAGAAGCGCGCATGAGCAATCCATCATCAATTCCTCGTTAGTCATGACCTCTGTTCCTCTATCTCTCGTTTTCTCTGCTCCCCAGTGATGATTCCCGAAATTTACAGTGCTATTATGGCAATGCCTATATCCGGAAGTGCTGTAACGAATTGATAACTTGAATTAGGTATGAGACAATAAATTTATCGGGTTAACATTTCCAGTCCTACTATATGCTAAAGTCCAGCTTCTCGAACTTGAAAGTTCCCACCATCTTCACTTAGTGGTGACTAGGATCTCTGCATCCTTTCCGAATATACGTTTCACGAGTTGGATCTCCTTCATAACCAATGACCTCCCACTGGCCAATACCATACTCAGCACTAACCTCCTTTAGGCCTCTGCCACCACCGCCGATAATCATATTTGCCGGTCGGTACTCAGGGTTTGATTGCAAGCGATGAACAGCCGATCCGTGAATCAGAGCGTAAGATGGAATATCTCGGGCCTGACCACGATGTAGCGGCCAGCAAACCAGTTTCCACGACCCATCAGGTTGCATGTCAGACCGACGAATGGGGAGATATTCCATCAACCGCCACGCCAGAACCGAAATAGGTGAGACCCCTTCGCCAAACCCGATCCGATCATGGAGTAGGCCTTCCGTGCTCGACTGTCGAAGCGCTTCATTGAAGTGAGTGCTTGCTGAAGGGTCTTGTTCCCAGTGCTCCAGACATTTGTATTTGTACAACTTTTCCTGGTCGAATTCAATACCTGCGCGCTGGGCCTCCTGGACCATCCAAACCAATGGGGCGTGGCTGAGCTGGAACTTCTCATCTGCTTCGCGTTGAAATCCACCGCCGATGTCTGCATGTCCACCTGGGAACCAAAGCTCTTGCAGATCCTGACTGCCGTCGTCGGCTTTCTGTTTTGACCCGCGGATAGCCGGGCTCTTTTCGTTGATATCGCCATTTTCGCTCTCGGAATCATCCACGGATAGTGGGACACCAGGTACAACTAGGGGCTCTGTTTTCACAGGATCCAGCCGCTCTTTGTATGTGGTACTTCGGCTACCTACTGTCTTTCCTGTCTTCACGCCTGAATCCAGCAAGACTGGTTGAAACTTGACCCTGCGTTCGTCAATACTTACCGCGTGTCTGATCACACGGGCGGTCGGCATCGTGTCATTGTTGATTTCGAAATCAGCAATGCTATTGACGGTGTCAAATAGACCCAAAAAATTCACCCTAGTCACCGGACGACATAAGGTCTCCCGACAATTGTTCAGGAAGTCTGTCGCTTGTTTCCTTTTCTCTGTTCCCTCGTATCGGGTCAATTTCCATTGCGAAAAAGCGTCCCATATGAAGGGGACCATTTCCTCGTTATCCGGGCCCAATAGTCCAGCGTAGTCGAGCATCTCTGCGAGAAATCGAGCGGTGTAAGCTCCGCGAGAGAAGCCAAAAATAAAGATATTTCCATCTCCCCGGTAGTGTCGCATCAAAAACCTATAGCCACCCAAGACGTGCTGATCAAACGACTCCCCCTAGAGCCTGACTGATTGTCTTACTCTTTCCTAGATGGCTACTTTTCTTCAGTGTCTTTGCTGCCAGGGAACCTGGTGTGATTTCAGTTCCGATTCCCGCTGAGATTTGTTAGCTCACGAAACTATTTCTGTGATAGGAGGCGTTTAAGGGTCTGGTTGAGATCATACGCTGATAATAAACCACTGTTAAAGCATTAGATTAGTCTCAGTCGCACGCGTAAAGGAAGTAAATCCAGCAAACTCACACTGCTCATCCGTTCTTTGCAACATCCGACAGATCTTGAGAATGTTGGTCTCCGTGCCATCAGCGCGAAAAGTATTCCCCGTTCCATCAAAACAAAGGACGATCTGAATCGGTTTGGGTTGCGACATCTTTCTTCACTGAAGCTGCAAGACTAGGAGTTGAGGTTGAAGATTTGCGACCGACGGGCGCAGCATGAGCGATCGCTTTATTTGAATGCACTGACCGTCACGGTTCGTTTCCAGCTTTGCCTATCATGACAGTTTCGGGTTAGCTCTGCTTACAATGAAGACCAAGTTCCCGGCTAGCTACCTTTCACCAAGACTCTATCCAACCTATCGCCGAGCATCATTTGGAAGCAATGGCACATTGTGGGGCCACTCAATCGACTTGTGATATCCTACTGACAGTAGTTGGTGGAGCGAAGGGCGATCATGGCTGATATTGCGATTTCTTCACCCCTTGGCACTAACTCCTTCCCGCCCCACGGTTCGCGCCCAGATTTCCCCTCCTGCAGGCGATGCCCGCCACCATCTCAATAGTTACCCAGCGAATATTGCTATATATGGCCAGGGGCCAAAATTTTAGGGTCTCCGGGATGCAGAACAGTTTCTTATAGTACACCGTCGGTCAGGATGGTCAATGTTTCAACAAGAATTATTTCCTAGAGGGCTTCAGGGATTTAAATTGTCTGCCACCCGCCTGGGCGGTTCAAAATATATAAATTAGTAGCTCCTATGGATCTCATGCAACACTAATAATAATTTATCTCGCTGCTTCTCACCGCCAGTGCATATCACAACTTGAATTTGGAACATCCATGAATTCAATAATTATGTACCATGCACAGATAAAAACTCGATGTGATATACTCCAAGGCTAGTGGTGAATCGACTCTCAAAACCAATAGCAGAAGCGATTTACTCACCGGGATCCCTAGAGGCTACTAGAGAAGTAGTAGTATCTACAAATGACTCGGTATTCTTTCGCCGCCTGAAGCGTCTGTCTTCTAGTATGCATGTTCTGATTCTAGGTCGCCGCAAGGGTAGGGACAAATCTTGGTTGTTCTAGATTCAAGTTGGACGATGGCTATATCAAAACCTTGATGTACGTGGCTCAAAAGCAAAAAAAATCATGATTCGATAAAGGCTGTGAAGAACAAGACAGAGAGGAGAGTCCACTTCTACTGCTTATAAGCCACGAATTTACCAGCTCAAAAAGCATTCCTCTGACATGTACTTCTTATATTGTTACTCAATAAACTGCCAGCTTGGGCTTTGAGCCGAAGTGGGGAGATTCCGAAGAATGAAAAATGAATATAGTAGCCGACCGTACTGATTTTAGATTGCCAAAGCTTGGGCCCGAGTCCTAATTTGAGATTTTTCCGTGGGCACGGGTAAATCGTTGGATCCTCAACTTGTGCAAGCTTTCGTACAAGTACTCGGCGCTTGTTTTTAATAGACCACGTGATGCTTTCTTTTTATGACTCAGGCACTGGCCCACCCGAAGACAAATGGGGATATGATTGCGTGGAGTAATGTGTGGTGGAGTCCCGGAGTTGTCCTGAAGCTCCGAGCCCATCGGAAACATCCCAATAGACGATGTCAACACTTCATGCCTAAATAGCCGCGCTAAATGCTGTGTAATCGGTGTGGAGGAGGCGAATGCACAACGGTTGCGCGTGTATTTCGTTTATTCATGGTATATTCGAGATAAATTGTTTTCGGCGTTATAGTTGTATCCTAGTCATATAACTGGAAGGGTTCCCCTGGAAGCCAATGTTGAAAAACAAACGACGGAGTACTCCGGGGTGAACCCCAGATTTGATTGCACACTAGTATGCTTAATTAAATGACATCAATGCTACTGTCCTTTGTAACCTCACGCCGATTTCCCTAGGTAAATAGCCGTTCTACTCCGCGGTATACCTCGGATTCAGACTTCCTTCCGCCCTGTGGGTTACGAGTATTCTGCAACACCCCTCAAGCACTAAGTGGGCCAAAAGTTGCCACCCCTTGGCATGAGTCAAACAACTCCAGTTCTCAGGGGATTTTTCTGATGACGTTGTTCAGTCGTATACAGTGCCTAGAGAATCATCTCATCTTTTCTTCCCAAAGTCATTTCTATTTTTCTCTAGAAAAGCTAAAAAGTTTCAAGGTTAAAAAGTTAAAATAATCAAAAGATAAAAATCAAAACGAGAGGCGATGAGGCTCCCAAGGAGGGAAGGTGGCTGCTTAGTCACCCAATCTGGGGCGCTTAACCTTCCGATTACGGCAAGAGTGGATCCGACTAGTCCTAATTCGGCGAACATCGCCTATATCGGAGGCAATTTTTTGGCAGAAGCTCCATTTTCGAAGGTTCTTCTTATGACCCAAAAATTTCCTAGCTTTCTTTCTCCTCAATATTATTGATCAGCGCGGTTTTCGACAACTTTATTTCCCTTATCTTCCTTTTCGCGTTCGTTTTTTGACCTTCACACTCGCCCAAAATGAGGGTTTCTAGCGGCAGCGATGCCAAGGAGGACTTCCCGGCTGAAGTCAGCGATGGCTTTGTGCCCGACAATATGGACGCTCGAGAGCTGCAAATACACGAGCACGGAATTAAGAAGTTTAGTCGCTTAGGGTGGAAGCGACTCACAGTCGTCCTCATTACTGAAGCTATCGCGCTAGGCACGCTGTCTATTCCTTCCACATTCGCCACCTTGGGAATGGTAGCTGGTGTCATCTGCTGTGTCGGTATCGGTCTCATCGCGATCTACACGAGTTATGTTGTTGGCCAGGTCAAGGTCAAATACCCTCACATCACCAACTATGCCGACGCGGGCCAGGTGCTCTTCGCCAAACTTGGCTGTGGGCGATTTGGATACGAGCTTATTACTATCATGCTGAGCTTGCAGTTGCTTTTCCTGATCGGATCGCATTGTCTTACTGGCTCGATTGCACTCATCACTATTATCGACACCAATATTTGCTCTATCGTCTTTGCTGTTGTGTCATCCGTCATTCTTCTTCTTCTCGCCATCCCACCCAGCTTTACGGAAATGGCTATTCTGGGCTATGTTGATTTCGCCTCGATTATAATTGCTGTGGGTGTCACCATCATTGGTACTGGAGTTCAAGCCACGAATAGCACAGGATTGTCAAACGTGAATTGGTCAGCGTGGCCGAAGGAAGGCATCACCTTTGCAGAGACTTTTATCTCGGTCACAAATATCATTTTCGCCTACACCATCACCATCTGCCAGATCTCTTTTATGGATGAAATGCACACACCCACGGACTTCACGAAATCTGTTTGCACACTGGGCGCTATTGAGATGGTCGTTTACACCATGACAGGTGCTCTGATCTACGCCTTTGTTGGTCAAGATGTCCAGAGCCCTGCCCTTCTCTCTGCGGGACCTACCCTCAGCCGTGTTGTGTTCGGCATCGCACTCCCCGTCATATTTATCAGTGGCTCCATCAACGCGGTGGTCTTTGGGCGCATGATTCACGGTCGCATTTTCAAGAACTCCTATATCCGGTTCATCAACACTACTATGGGCTGGATCACTTGGCTGGCCATGCTTGTGGCTGCCATTATCATCTCTTTCATCATTGCGGAGGTCATTCCATTTTTCGACGACCTACTCTCGCTAATGTGCTCGCTTTTCCTGTCTGGCTTCACTTTCTACTTCCCAGCCATGATGTGGTTCCTTCTTATTCGAAAGGGAAGCATGTTCACACCGAAGAACCTTGCCCTGGGCGCCCTGAATGTCTTCGTATTCTTGATTGGACTTGTGACTCTGGGCGCTGGTATCTACTCATGCGTCATTGATATTGTATGTTTGCATTCCCCGATCCCTCCGTCAAAAACAAAAGATAAGAAACTAATCAATAATATAGAGAAACAAATATCGCGATGGCAAAGTTGGAGGTGTTTTCAGTTGCTCATCTTGATAGTTTCTGGTCGGGAGTTTTGCTTGTGGGTTCTTTCGAGATCTTTGTATAGATAATTAGACTTTTCAAATGTAAATATAAGCATTGCTATTCTGTTTTGGGCCTCATTTTGTATGATATTCAGGATATGCAAACCCGACTGGAAATCTCTCATTACTAGCTGAGTCATTGAGAAATCATTAGCGCAACATCAACTGAAGAGTCGATGGGGTGAGATCCAATAAAACTCTACTAGTCTGACGATCATTTGCTCTATATTTCCCTCGCCAAGTATACCTAGTACACACGACCACAGGGTGTGGAGAACAGGGCTTCCCGTCCGCTCAGCCGTACTTAAGCTACATACTAAACGCGGTCAATAGCCAAAGAGCCTTGGATCTTAAAATAGCGTCAGTTTCTGAGTGAGGGTGAGTGTGGGTGATATGGGTGAGAATTTTAGAGACTAGGGCAAGAGAGGTGAGAACGGGGTGAGAGCGGGTAAGAACAGGGTGAGAGGGGTGAGAATACCTACTATGATGCGTTACGTTCTCCTAATTTACAATAGTATAAAATAAAAGCCTAAGGGTATAAATCTAGTCTGCTATTCCTAATTCTTTTTTACCTAGCTCCTTGACTGAAGATATCCCTAGAAGAAATATAAAAGAAGCTAGATAGGAGAAAGGTATATGCTGTATTATATAGTTTTACCTATAAGTATTAGAATATACAGAAATAAGTAGTTAATCCATGGATACTATCTGCTATAAGTAGCTTACTCTAGCTAAACTCTATAACTTGAAGAATATAGTATTAAATTAGGTACTATAGGTAACTAAGATATTATCTTAGGCTATTAAGACTAATCAATATATAACAGATAAAGACTTTTTTATAATAAAGTAACCAACGCTAACTTCTCTAAAGAAAAACCTAATCCTATCACTACTACCACTAATCCATGGATACTACTATTTAGATACTGGGCAATATATTTACTAATCAACATAGGCTACCAGAGCAAAGTTAGAAATTATAGTTTTGCAAGTACAAAAAGTTCTAGAACATGAATAAGACAAAAGAAGCATTGAAATAAACTATACTATAGTAAAAGTATTCCTAATCTCTAAATTAAAGATACTTCAAACCTTGGAACCTTTTCGTTTTCTATTGGAGTATTTACTACCTTGTTACATCAGCACATGACCTGTTTGACCGGTATACGGAAGTGGGTAGTCCATCCCGAGGTCTAGTTATACCCAATACATGAGCCCTGATCTCCAATTTTTGTGATTTTGTTGCCGCCCTGTTCGACCGTTCGAGTTTTATTACAAGTGCTGTATTTCCTGTGAGGTATTGCACAGGTTTGTTTATCGTCAGGTAGACAACCTGGCGCTCTCCAGTCACGGATGACGTCATAAGGGGTTCAAAAGTAGTTGCCTTTGGGCCCTTGTCTTTTGGCCCCCTGCGGGCAGCCTGGTGATTTGTATTAGATCACTCAAGATGCTGGATAGGCAGGATCCAAAGGAGTCCTCATATCCACTCCTTGAAACTTGCAAGATCTGAATAGAGCTTTTCTTCCACCATCTCCAAGATGAAATCGACGTTGAAGTCGCTTCTTTGCGACAAGTTCTGGTACTGGGACTCGAATGACGAATCCTGGATCGAATTCAAGACAAACGGCACGGGGAATGTAAGTTAACTCATGTCAGCAGAGCATGCAAAGGGCTCTCAGCTCGAGCCGAGACGATATCATAAATATTCACGCTGATATTATTCAGCTCTTTGCCCGCCGCGAGTTTTGCATGTTCATCGCCGCAGAGTTCGACTGGAAAGCCCAGAATCCCGAGATACTCGACTCCGAAATCGATACACGAAGCTCTCCAGTGTGTCAATGTGAGATAGAAATATCTCTGACCAATCGCTACAGTCCCTTTTTTTTTCGCCGTTCAAAAAGAACAAACCGGTCGTAGTTGACAAGAAACAAGGCAACGCTGCAGTCAATTCCTTACGTCTCTCTGACGATGCCTTCACCTCCCGGAAATTTGCCATCCGTATCGAGAAAGGCGAGTTTATCACAGGAGAAGATAAGAAACTAGGATTGTCCACTTCGGCTGCGGCGAATTTCGCATACAGGCTTGTCTTCGATTTGTCCCCGTATCCCCCACAAAATATGTGGAAAGAAGATACCTCGGGGGATCCATTGGGTAAACTTCGGATCTGGGAGTGGAATGAGTTTTGTGCACAGCGAGAGCCACGGAGTTCATGGGCGTGGAAGATCTTCGGAAGGTTCTTTGGATAGATGAGGAGGATGGGAGTCGTTCGGCCGAGTATTTCTATTGAATTTCCAATTTGGATTACCAGAAATTTGTTGAGGAACCAAAGTATAGTCAATTGCCCCTGAATACTGCGAGGGAAATCCTGGTGACTGGATCTAAATAAAATGAAGATCCGATATCTACTGGCTGTATTCTCTTAGTTCAATACCACATTAGTAGTTGACTGGATAGGTTTTATAATTTACAATAGCAGTCGTCTTAGTTGATGCTCGTTACAGTGGATCACTTCGCACAGGCCATGCGAGTCCTGGGCAATAGATCGGGACCTAGCCCGTACAGATATCATCAAGATTGATTAAAAATAATCACTTTTAATATTTAAAGTGGAGCTTACTGAAGAAATGACTAAATACGGCAACAAATTAAATAGAAAATAACTAGATAGATGGCAGGTGAGGAAAAAGAAAGAACCTTTATTTTATCACTCCTGTGCACTTAAGCACCACGTTGAATTTTCCATCTTGAAGTTCCTAAATGCGACTTTTGCATGCCATTTTCGTCTCTTCAGGTAAAAGACTAATGGGCGCTGAAAGGGGCGGCGAGCCGCCTAGGACGAAACCGTGGGCGCTAGGTGACCATCAACATACAAAAGCTGTTGTAAGTATTTTTTTTTGTTTTTCCTTTGCTCTTTTCTATAATTTTAGGACCCTTGTCACCCTACCGATTCGGATTAGCCTCCCATTATGTGCTCAAAATTGTCACTGTCGTGGCGTTACAATTATTTCAAATATTAAGTGCTCGCATCTCTTATCAGGTTTCGATTGCTTGCACTACTCATACAACTATATGCAGATCAAGAGCCGGAACAGGCAAAGCATAAAGAAGAGTCCACCGAACAGAACCAGGAAAGATGAACTGAGGTGAGCAGCGGCTAAACACCCCGGAAAACGCCCGCCGGTCGAACCATAAAACAACACACGACCAAGGAACTAGTACAACTGAATCATTCAATCCGAACAATGCTGTATCTTCCGTGCATAGATGATAGCTTCTCTTTCTTCCCTCATCCACTATTTTCTTACATACTATAACAACATATTAAGGATTCGATGAATTCAATTATTAACCAAACACTGGCAGCGGAAACTTATATAAGAGTTAAGAAGTGAACTCGAAACTATTTGGGCGAGACCCTTCTTCCAGAATAACAAAAAGCATTAAATACAGCATAGATATAACTTGACCCTTTGAAACCACAACTCACTCAGGAACCCTCCTCCCCCTAGGTGGTGGATGTTGCTGGCCCCTCCCAAATAGAGGATTAGAACCGACTGTTTGATGAATAGCCTCGAGTGGCGTTTTTCTAGCTGTTGGATAGAAGTCAGGAACAGTTCCTTCGTAAGGTGACCTTCTTATCTCCACTGGAATACTGTTTGTCATGTTCATAGCAGTTTTTGAAGTCGAAAAGATTATGTCGTTTTTATCGTCCGGCGTCGTGGAGGTAAAGAGCAGCCAGCGTAAGAGTGGCCCATCAGATCGATCTGCCGGAGTATCTATTGGATGATGTCCTAACTCCAAACAACATATTATTCTGGTCCATCTTGTCATTCGCTTTCCTTTTCTATCCAGGGCCGTTGCCTCAATTTCAAAATAGCTGTTTATTGCAAGACCATTTGCAGTATGTGCAGTACCGTCTCCAAGAATTGGAATTGGTGGAGGGTTTGCGACGTGGTTAGGGCCAATCAAAACGTACAGATCCCCTTCGTAGATAGTCATATACGATGCTGCTGTATCGTATAGAAAGAGCATTTCAACCCACCAGTCGTAACCAGGCAGTCTAAGAGCAACGGAGTACTATATTGCAAATTGTCAGTAATGAGCTGGAGATATAGGTTTGGTTGCCATATGACATAATGGTATGATGATACGTACAGTGAATGTCCAGGTATCGTTTAGAGGTACAGTCAATGTCGGACGCTGTACTCTAGGATCGGGTCCTAAAACCTAAAAGTGCTTCAGTCTTGTAAATCTTAAGCAGGAGGACTTAACTTTCTCCCCTTACCCCTTCTACCCAAAAAATTTTATGGCCTTCGTTTGCAGAATTAATAGCCTCAAACCCATCCCAGTCAAAAGGGCGTGGCTGGAACAATTGTTTGCCATTTGCCCAGTATGTAACAAGACCTGTCGCCCATGGAAGGCTCTTTGATCTATATGCTTCGATTATCGATTTGATATTTGGAATTTGATTATTCTTGTCGCCATCAGTATTTCTTGTTTTCAAAATGTATTCCAAGGCGTCAAGTCGTTTATAGACATTTGAATCTAATCCGGCGGGCTCGTTCCTTGCGACTCCACTTATGCCATGTTAAATAATACTTTCTTATTTTCAGACATCCAGAAGACAGTAGCAGAGATTATAGTAAATGGAAGCACTTGACTCACTTTGCATAGTCTCTTCTTCCTTTGTATTCAGTCAATCTTGCTTCAAACAGTTGAGTCATGATCCCATCTTCTATTCTTTCTTCGCATCTCAATATCTGTGCATCAATATCACTGGGTAAGTTAGAAAGATGCGCGGAGGAATTGAGAGTACCAGTCATAATAACATACTTTAGATCAAGGTCTAGCTCGCGTGCGTTCCAATCATGGGGCAAGTCTTCAAACTTTGTTATTGGGGTATTTCCCTCTTTTCTCCATCTTTTCTGACGAGCCTCGATTCCTTTGTCACTGGTCAGCACGTCGACCACCTTCTATATTTTTCTTTCACGAAAAAAAGTCCGGACGCTAAGTCTTTCAAGGCCCTCTGCTAGACTCTTTATGTTGAAGGAGGGATACCTCAGGAATCACAGATCACCTTCCGTTTCTGCCTGTAAATCTCCTGCTCATGTGCTTTATCAGTAAATCGAGTAAACTAACTGACAATGAAGCTAACAAAATCAAGATCATAATGTCCTCCGCTCACCTGAACAAACCACCAACCACTCAAAAGCAAAGTGTTCAACCTATGTACAAGGCTCGGCATGTCCATAAATAGACAAAGTAATATTCAAAGGGCAAATTAGATTCGTTACACGAGATACTGAATTTCCCAAATCCCCAGAATGGTTGTCGGTAGGCAAGCTCCCACAACAAAGGCCCCGCTCGCCGCCGCTACAGCCCCATTGAACGATCAGACATGTCTTAGCACTGTCTTGAATCATGCGAACCCGGGTCATGGAATGAAATGAATAAGTAAGCCCATCATCGCTTCGGAAACGATCATTGGCTGAAGTTAGATTACTAACATGTGCGTCGGAGCAACTTCGGTGATGCACGTGATATGATCAAACGTGCCAGCGCAGAGTTTTGAGACTCAAATTTCAGTCACCGTGGAAGCCTTACAGAATTTTTCTAGAATTTTTCCAGGGCGCGAAGAATTGTGATCCCCAAAGAATTCAAGTTGACGTTGGGAGAAAAAAAGCTGAAAACAATGCTCTGTGGTTTAGCCGGAGATATTCTTCTTTATCATTTGCCACCGATCACATAAATACAGCCTCGGCTTACTAGTACTAGCAACATTGAGAACGACGCGATTCGTAAACTCAGTATCGATGGTAATGAATTAATAAATACCCAGGGATACTATTCATTGCGTTTCTCGTATTTATTACCGCTGCTCGAGTCGAGTGCAATCGGAAGATTCACGCTAGCCTAGGTGATGAACGAATAGAATTGCTCGCTGAGCAATGACGAGTGCTCAGAAGCTACTGTATGCGGCTAAGGAATGAGAAGTTCCCTACTTAAATAGGCATGTGAGGGCGGAAAACCATTTAACCTTCCATTTCTATTCCGTACGCCGTGAAAAGACGTCAGTCATGCCCAAATGAATCTGAATGCAGATGAGATTGTCGGCGGGACCCCCGAAGCAAAACGCGACCTGCCTCACTTTAAAATGTATAAATCTGAAGGCCCAGTTTTGTCGGGGTATACCGGACACAGTAAACCACGCATCGATCGTCATTCAACGAATATGAGGTGGACCTCCCGAGGATCTACCGACCGGACGATCTCTCGGTCAACCGAACTGGGAAACAAGACCACCAGAACATACTCATTCATGTCTCCCACTGTTTGCACCGGATGGAGCCCAGAATTTCCCAAAATAAAACACAACGTTCATACATTTCTACATCTACAAGTTTGATATCAAAAAGAGTCGAAAACCCCTCCTCTCCGACTAAACTGATTTGTTCCGAGTCGCCATTCGGCATGCCGGTGGTTTGGCGGTGGGGCCGAGTTCCCCAAGGCATGCCGAGAACGTCGGCGAAAGCGGCATCGGGATGTAATCGGTCTTTCTTCGCAATTATTAGGATCTTGCCGAATAATCGCTTCCCGGTGGTTGTCCGAAAGTGGCCTGTTCACAATAAGTGGCGTCCTTGTATTGAACGACAATTCGCCCAACATTATCGTGGTCCACACGTCTCATGCGACAGAGGGACGGCGCATGGTTCATCGTATCGGTCTGCTTCCGAATCGGGGAAAATAGCATCAATGACGACGTCGAGACCACGGATTTTAGCCCAGGTTTTCGAGTAGAATCTGGAGTTGGAGCTATGAGATACAAACAAAATAATTATTCATCTATGGAAATCGTAGTAACGAGCAGCGTGAGAGCCGAGAAAGCAGAGAGCTAAGGGATCAAGGTTTGAAAGCTACCGGTCGTAACACTCCTTTGTGTACCTCCACTAGAAGAAAAAGTCAATTTGGTCAAATGACATGAGCCGGAGCACGTTGGAGCACTATGGAGTATCAGTACCAAACTAACCCCCACGCCCCATGCTGTATCCCGGTCCCCATACTTGTAAACCCGGAGTTTTGCGGATGACGCCAGGCACTGCGCCTGTCTGGGGCGAACTTATATTCCGTCCTTATCCTCCTACCCAGATCCTGTCTTCAGAATCTTTTCTCCCCTTCATCCGCGTACATACTTGTGTTGCTCTAAGGGTCGACACACTATACCACATTCATCATGAAGCCAAAGCAACAACAACAACCCATCTCGTCGTCTCATAACGAGAACATCCCCAACGGTGAGACGACAGTCGCCCACGAAGAAACATATCAGAAGAACTGGGTCATCGGAGGAAAATACCGGGAACAATTATACGAGGAACACTCCCAAGAGTTTGAGGGTAAATTGGTACAGGAGGTCGATTTCGACCTTCCCCTTACAGCTACCAAACCATCTCAACATAATGGCCAGAACTTCGTTATTCTGGAATTTGCGGAGGGAGACAAGGAGAACCCGTTCAATTGGAACTCGAAGTACAAAGCGTTCATCAGTGTCCTGCTGTGTGCAATGACACTCTTTATCGGTCTCGCCACCACTGCATACAGCGCCGGGATTTCACGCATGACAGAGGAATTTGGTGTGTCAACGGAAATTGGTCAATTGGGTCTTTTCTGCTTCAACTTCACCTGCGCCCTGGCACCTCTCTTCCTGGCACCATTCTGTGAGTTGGCCGGTCGTCGCGTTGTCTATGTCGGAGCATACGTCTGCTTTGCTCTGATGTTCATTGGACTCTCCCTCGGAAAGAACATTGCTACAATCCTCGTCTGCCGTTGTCTGCTCGGTCTGTTTGGCTGTGTCGGAACCATCCTGGTCGGTGGAACATTCGGCGATATGTACACACCTGCCCATCGCGCCATCCCGATGGCATCCTTCTCTTTCATCGCCATCTTCGGAACAGTCGCCGCGCCCATCTACACCGGCTTCATCGACCAGGCTCTGGGCTGGCGCTGGGTCGAAGGTATCCAAGGCTTGGCCAACATTCCCCTTGGAATTCTGATCGTCATCTTCCTCAAGGAGACTCGCGGTGGTGTGACCCTCACCAAGCGCGCCAAGATGCTCCGCCAGAACACTGGTGACGAGCGTTTCGTCACTCACAACGATCTCGAAGCTCCCGGTGTTAAGGAAATGCTGCACAACTCCTCAGTTAAGGCCATCCGCATGCTCTTCACTGAGCCCGTTGTATTTGCTTTCGGACTGTGGATCAGCTTCGCTTGGTTCCTGGCTTTCCTCTTCCTGTCCGTGATCCCGATCACATACCAAGAGAAGCGCGGCTGGGGTGAGGGTACTTCCGGCCTGCCATACATCGCCCTGTGCTTCGGCACAACCCTGGCATTCGGTCTGAACTTCTTCCAGATCCGCAAATACGAGACCATCGTGGCGGACAAGAGTCGCAAGACCCAGCCCGAGGACCGCTTGTACGGTGTCCTCTTTGGCGCTGTCTGGCTTCCCATTGGACTATTCATCTACAGCTTCACTCAGTATAAGCAGCTGCACTGGTTCGGCCCGATTGTCGGACTTGCATTGATCGGTGTTGGTATCTTCTTCATCTTCGAGTCCTGCTATAGTTATACCTCGGACTGCTACGGCGAGAACTCCTCATCCGCGATCGCCGGTCAGGGATTCATGCGTAACACGCTTGGTGCTGTATCTCCGCTGTTCGCGTCGCAGTTCTTCCACAACCTCGGCAGCCAGTGGGCGGGTCTGTTGTTGGCACTGATTGCCACCCTCCTGACCTTGATCCCCTTTGTGCTGTACAAGTATGGGCCTGCTCTCCGGGCACGCTCGAAGCTTGCCAGCACAATTGTGAATAGCAGCACAGATTAAATCATGAGAGATAATTGTGCGTGAGCAATTAATGTGAAGCATGGGAGATGAGTGCATGATCCTGCACAGAATGTATATAAGCATACGAGTTAGCATATGATAGACAAGCATTAGCATAAACCAAAATTAAGACGAGGTTGACCCTCGACGGCGTTGACGCCCACCCAAATTACATGCACGTGATGAACATAGGCGCCGATCGTGCCTGCCAAAAAAATAATACCAAAACACAAAAACACAAAGGAAGGGCCAGCTCCCCGCGTTCCTTCCGTAAATGGAATGTGCTTGTCCTCCAGAGGGCGGTCAACGTGACACGTGATATCTGCCAGCTCCAGCCAGCCCACACAAGGCGGTGTAAATGTTCTGCCGTATCAAAGATCTTCACATCCGAAAATTTCACTCCACACCTCAACTTCACCCACCCGCACTTTTTACGTCTATCCTACAGGCAGTGATCCTCCGCGTGAGCCATTTCTCAAAGATCTGGTTTCTTGATATCATTCTCCTCTACCAAATTCAAAATGGCCGAAGATAGCTCCGCCGGTAAGCTTTTTTTCACCCACCGCCCAAATCGGTGCATTCGCTAACACTCACTTTTTCACCAGCCTGGCCCATTGCCGACGAGACTCTGTCGCAGTCTCTTCTGGACCTCGTCCAGCAGGCTGGTCACATCCGCCAGCTTAAGAAGGGCGCTAACGAGACCACCAAGACTCTGAACCGGTACGATATCCATCCGTCAAGAGATAAATTATCCTCATGCTAACTTTTGCCATTAGTGGAACTTCTGACCTCGTCATCCTGGCCGCCGACACCACCCCTCTCCCCATCATTCTCCACCTGCCCCTCCTCTGCGAGGACAAGAACGTTCCCTACGTCTACGTTCCCTCCAAGATGGCTCTCGGCCGTGCCACCGGTGTCTCCCGCCCCGTCATCGCCTGCTCCATCACCACCAACGAGGCCAGTGACCTGAACGCTCAGATCCGCACCATCCGCAACCAGGTCGAGCGTCTGATGATCTAAAGTGTCTGTCGGACATGGATATTGGATAAAGGTTGGAGAGAGAATTTTATCGAGATGAGCAGAGGTGCGAGGCGGAATTTCAGCGAACCTTTTGTCCGATGGATGAAAGTTTGCTGAGGATTATACCGTCTTTTCCCTCTTGCTCCTGCTGTCGAGTCTTTAGCTAGAATTTGCAGCTAGATATCATTCAGATCTCTTGAGAAAATTTCATGCTTCGGATGTAGGTGTAAATCTTTGCCGAGATCGCCGCGTATACGTAGACTGCCAGTGCTCGTTAAGCTTCGCTTGGTAGGTTGCCTGTAGATCTTAGACTAGGCTGTGGGGATGGCGGATGGCGCCGTGGCATGCGTATGACACGCTAGAGTAGTTTGCTTAAAACCTGCCGAGGAGGTGACCCTGTGCCGGGTATGGCCTATCGAAGTCACTCACCTTGATCGAGCCTAAATATTCTGCATACCTCGCACCTTCGATTAGTATATCTGAACGGAATAACTTTGAACGAGGTGATTGGTATTATAGGTCCATTCACATTGTCGTCCACGGGTCTCAGCTATGCACTGCATAGGCTTTACTACTAAAGATTGATTAGATTTACCACTTAATAAGTGCCCCGGACCACTCTGAATTGCCGACAGATTAAACCCACCTCTCCTCGTCAGCTATCGCCCCTTTTTATTGTCCCGGTTTCTCTTGAACGGTTAGAACTAAATGGAGCCTCCTGGCAAATAGGATCACTCATCCGAACCCTAACTAAGCTCCTTCAACTGTCTCCGGCTAAAACCAATCCTTAGCGTCGAGCCCGGTGCGTCAGAACTAGCTCTAACCTGCCGATCAATCAATACCAAACGGCTCTCAGTCCCCCTGTCACCCTGACAATTTCATCTTTCCACCAAGGAGCCCCCTGATGATGTGGGGCAATGCCAATATCTGTTGCAGCTGTCCTATGGCTGTTTCGTTTCGTGGTGGGGTTCCACGCGGACAGAACATCCACACTCGAACAAGGCGAGACAGTTCATCGGCTGCAGTATGTATGTACCACATACAATGAAGACTCAGTGGGGCCGAGATGGTCTGACTGGGGTAAACGGGAGAATTTCTCCTTTGGCCGAATCCCCGTTTGAGATATAAACACATGTCTTATCCAGCTTCATATGTTGTCTCGCGTTGATATACGACGTCGCCCGCCGTGTCTCTGCTCTATTCTGCAGCCATCCCTTCATTTTTGACTTTTTTTTTGCTTTCTTTGTTATATTCTGTTTCATTTTCAACCCAAACCACCCTCGCTTTCGCAACCTTATTTCGACATCTGCGATGTTCGTCTCTTCCCTTCTCGCGATCGGCCTGGCGCCATTGCTCGCATCCGCCGCTCCCTCTTGGTCCACCGGTCCAACAACCGACTACGCCACCAAGGCTAGCACCAAAACCTGCAGTGTCCTCGACTACGACGGCGTCGCCGATGGAAAGACTGATATCGGCCCGGCCATCAGCTCTGCCTGGGATGACTGTAAAGAGGGCGGCGTGGTGTATATCCCGTCTGGCGAGTATGCCCTCGGGTCATGGGTGACTCTGACCGGTGGAAAGAGTACCGCTATTCGTATGGATGGTACTATCTATCGCACCGGCTCGGATGGAGGCAACATGATCTTTATCGAGCATACCTCCGACTTTGAACTGTTCAGTTCCAACTCCAAGGGTGCGGTGCAGGGGTACGGGTATGAGTTCCACAAGGAGGGATCTCTGAGTGGACCTCGTATTTTACGTCTGTATGAGGTTACGGACTTTTCAGTTCATGATTTGATTCTGGTTGACGCGCCTGCTTTCCATTTCTCCATGGATACTTGCTCTAATGGTGAGGTTTATAACATGGCTATTCGTGGTGGTGACTCTGGTGGCTTGGATGGTATTGATGTGTGGTCGAATGATATTTGGATTCACGATGTAGGTGCATTTATACTCTTAATTTGGGATTTCTATTAGTTTCGGTTGGGATTTGTTGGACGGTTTCTCATGATTACCAGGTCGAGGTCACCAACAAGGACGAGTGTGTCACTGTCAAGGTACGTATTTTCACACGACCCTCTTGTCCTTTCTTTACTAACGCGAAACAGAGTCCCTCCAAGAGCATCCTGGTTGAGAACATCTACTGCAACTGGAGCGGTGGCTGCGCCATGGGTTCGCTCTCCACCGACGTTGACATTAGCGACATCACCTACCGCAACATCTACACCTGGTCCTCCAACCAGATGTACATGATCAAGAGCAACGGCGGCAGTGGCTCTGTTTCCGACGTCACCCTAGAGAACTTCATCGGTATGGACCATTCTACCCCGAGATTTCAAGTTACCAAGACCCGACAGTTCCACCTACATAACATAAACGTCACAACTAACACTAACACTAACACCCCCAGGCCACGGCAACGCCTACTCCCTGAGACATCGACCAAGCATGGAGCAGCATGTCAACCGTCTCCGGCGACGGCGTCCAACTGAACAACATCACAATCAGCAACTGGAAAGGCACCGAAGCGAACGGGGCCCAGCGCGGCCCGATCAAGGTGAACTGCGCACCCGGCGCACCTTGCACCGATGTCACCATTGAAGACTTCGCGATGTGGACCGAGGAGGGCGACTACCAGACCTACGTCTGCAACAGCGCCTACGGCTCCGGCGAGTGTTTGAAGGAGGAGAGCGGCGATGTCACTTCGTACTCGACTACTGTTACTGTCAGCGCTGCGCCGACTGGTTACTCGGCTGCTTCTATGGCTGCTGATTTGGCTACTGCTTTTGGAACGGATTCTGAGATTCCTATTCCTACTATTCCTACTTCGTTCTATCCTGGTGCGACGCCATTTAGTGCGTTGGCTGCTAAGGCTAGCTCTGCTTAGATGGGAGTGTCGGTGCGTGTCTAGGTGGGTGATTGGGATTTTTCTAAGTTGATAAACGGATTACTACAAGGTTGCCACTGCATTGGAATAGGGCTTGCAATCTGCTCATTTGGAAAATAGGATTCAGGTTCAAGTTCATTCGATGAGTTTGAAATCCATGATTCTCATCAACGATCAGTTGTATATTTCTCGTGGTATTCAAGTTGTTGAGATCTGCAAATCTTGAAACCAGTATTTAGCTGCCGAAGACAAAATTGCATTCAAGTTGAGTAGTTCAGTCAAGGTGGAAGACAGTCACTAGATTTACTTGAAGTTGTGGTGGTGGTAGTAGTAGTAGTATTACTAATAGTACTGTAGTCATAGTGCTGCCCTTCTGAGCAAATGGTGTCATCAGTGGCAGCTCCACCTTCCAAGGTTCTCCTTCCACCGCGCCAACTTCAACCTTAACTTTCCTCAGCCTGCCAACTTCAACTCCCGTCAGCTCTCTCTCCACTGTTTCCAGCACTTCAAGGACCGTTAAAATCACGAACAAACACGAAGACGAAAACACACCCGTCGATCACGCCATGCCACGATCCAATCGAACACGAGGAGAACCAAGATCCCCACCGCGATAGAGTTTGCGGGGCAATTAAAGCTGCCCTGATTCGCGCTTGTTGATGCAGATTCCGGAGTTCTCGCGTAAGGGATTCGACGTTGCATCCAGCTGTCAGCTGTCCCTGTCTGTGCCAGGGCAGCTTGAAATAGACACCGAAGCACGAGCTTGGGTATTCATATAAGAACGGAATTCTCTCTTCTCACCTACAGGAAGAATGCCTTGAGTCCCATTTAGGACTTCCCAACCACCATCGTCATGGCCGTGGATAGTACAACAAATAACCATGATCATCAGACAAATCCCAAATCACCCTCTCCGCAACCTACTCCGATCGCAGATCTCCCGACCGAAGATGGTCCCGACGCGACGTACCGCGCCAAAGCAGACGTGCTCAACCGCGCGATCCAAGAAATCGGCATGGGCCGGTATCAATGGCAGCTGTTCGTGGTGATTGGATTCGGCTGGGCGAGCGATAATCTATGGCCGATCGTGACATCTCTAATCCTCACGCCCCTCTCATACGAATTCGCCGTCTCCAAACCGCCACTCCTAACACTCGCGCAGAACATCGGCCTCCTAGTCGGCGCCGTGTTCTGGGGCTTCGGCTGTGACATATTCGGGCGGCGCTGGGCATTCAATCTGACGATCGGCATCACCGCAGTCTTCGGGCTCGTGGCGGCGGGGTCGCCGAATTTCGGCGCTGCGTCTACTTTCGCTGCGTTGTGGTCGCTCGGTGTTGGGGGGAATTTACCGGTTGATTCGGCGATTTTCTTGGAATTTTTACCGGGCTCGCACCAGTATTTGTTGACGGTTTTGTCGGTTGATTGGGCTTTTGCGCAGCTTTTGGCGAATCTGGTGGCTTGGCCTTTGATTGGGAAAATGACCTGTGCTGAGGCGGACGGGTGCACTAAGGGTGATAATATGGGATGGAGGTATTTTCTCATTGCGATGGGGGGTCTGGCTATGGTTATGTTCGTGTCTCGCTTCGCGTTCTTCACTATCTACGAATCGCCGAAATACCTGATGGGCAAGGGGAAGAATGACCAAGCCGTGCAGGTTGTACATGAGGTGGCGCGTCGTAATGGCAAGACCTCGTCGCTGTCCCAGGCTGACCTGGATAGTTTGGACGAAGGTGAAGCGCATGATCACAGCGCAACAACAATTGTTCGACAGAGGCTGGAAAAGCTGAAGTTCAATCACATTCGTGCATTATTCGATACGCCCAAACGTGCTTTCTCCACGACTTTGATTGTTCTTGTCTGGGCCTTTATTGGCCTCGGATTCCCTCTGTACAACGCCTTCCTCCCATATATCCAACAATCTCGCGGAGCAGAATTCGGCGACGGCTCCGTTTACATCACCTACCGGAACTCCCTCATTATTTCAACGATGGGTATCCCCGGCTGTCTGCTGGGTGGACTTCTCGTGGAACTCCCTAATTTCGGAAGAAAGGGCGCACTGTCAGTTTCCACGGCTCTAACAGGCGCTTTTCTTCTCGCGTCAACGACAGCGAAAACTTCGAATGCCTTGCTGGGGTGGAACTGTGCATTCACCTTCATGAGCAGTCTCATGTATGCTGTGCTGTATGCGTATACGCCAGAGATATTCCTGACGAAAGATCGTGGCACGGGGAATGCCTTGACAGCATCTGCGAATCGCATTTTTGGAATTATGGCTCCTATCATTGCCATGTTTGCCAACCTTCAGACCGCCGCTCCGGTGTATGTCAGTGGTGCATTGTTCATAGCGGCCGGTATTCTGGTCGTTTTTATGCCTTACGAGTCACGAGGGAAGGCGAGTCTTTAGCTCGGTTCAGGAAGAAGTTACTTACTCTAGAGCCCCGGGGGATCGCCCTGCAGCTCCCGTGACATATACATGTATCTACCAATTGTTAACAGCGTGCATTTCCATATAGACATTCTTATGTAAATAGGAACCTCAGCAAATATAACATTGATAACTAGTCCCAGATAGGACCCGGCAGCGCAAGAACAAGCGCATTGACCATGCTTAGTCCGCACTGCCCCCAAATTAATATAAAACAATTTGAACAACCAAGGTACGATCCACAGAATTCCCCAGGACAGGATATGGACCAGATGATGTCATTCCGCAAAACAGGCGTGAGGTCGTTACGCAACAGTCATACAACCAACCCCCAGGACTGGGCATAACCTATCATTAATCTAAGAAAGTTCACATTCAACAAACATCAGCCACCCATCCACCGCAGGGGGGGAAATCGTGATCCACAAAGCCGTGGCCGACAGGGAATTCCAACCAATGCCATCTTACCTTTACGCGACTCCATCCCTGATAATGCGATCAAGGCTGTGGATACCCTGTATGTCACTACGTCAGGAAAGACATAACTGGTCCGATGGCCCTGGCTTGCAAAGTGACAGGCCAGATGTGGGGATGTGATTCGTGGGCCGCGTGGCAGGGTTGTTATGACAGTGACAATGTGGCTTGTAGGACGCATTATATCATATTTCGTAAGATGTCTACCGGGTTAGTATTTAAACTTGTTGTGATCGCGATGTCGAGGTAAAGATATATTTCAACTTTTATCATTTCCATCAAAGATTTACTTATCTCTTTGAATCCAATCTCAAATTCCCCCCTTCTCTATCATCCACCTGGGCAATAACATCTATCCCCCCCCATATACAAAATGTCCCAAGACAACAGTACGTTCCTATAAAATACCACACCCTTATCGCATCTCAAACCAACTTCTAACTCACCTTCCACCTCTACCTAGATGGCGGCCTCCTCGGCGGACTCACAGACACCCTCGGCAAAACAGTCGGCGGCGTAACAAACACAGTCGGAGGTGCGGTCGGTGGACTCGGCAACACGGTCGGCGGCGTAGCAGAAGGCGCCGGACAGACGGTTTCTGGCGCAACCGAGGGACTGGGAAATACCACCAAGGGCGTTGGACAAGGTGTGCAGAATGGTGTGTCGAGTACTGGGGGCAAGGAGCAGACAGCTGAGAACCCGCTCGGTTTGAACAAGTAGATTCTCCCAATGTTCCAAGTTTGGTTATTTGAAAGAGAGGATATTTGTATCTGAGGAGGTATAGTGGGTTTAATGTTCGATTATGTTTTATTATTTTGAATTTAAATGATTACGATTTTCAGAATTTTTAAGTTCAGTTTTTTTGTTGGGAACGTGGTGGTTGATCCTGTAATGGTTTACTACTACCGTGCAGATGCACTGGCACATTTATACTATCCTCTAAATAATAGCATGGGAGTCGAAGTAACCATCACGATTCCAAAACAGGGAGCCTGAGTAACAAATTGATTCTTAGTAGGACTATTCCTGTCATGCAGCCTCCCTTGCCCGATTTGGTCTCCCTGGAGTGTGGGGAAACTGAAGATTGATGTAGATCCTCTTTCTGATTTAGATTTTAAGTTCGCAAGCTACTCTAGTTAATCTTCGTCCAGCGAGTAGTAAGTACTGTATTTTTTCGCATTGTCAAACAGCCGTAATGAATAACATTTTCTCCAGTTTTGGTTTTACCAAGGGCCGCTGTTGTACTAGTGGTGAAATTTGTCTAAAATCATGACCGATTATCCTGCTTCGGGAGATTCAACAACCTCAAAATATCTCAAATTCATATAAATTACTCCGTGCTTTGACGTCCAACTTGACGGCGGCAAGTGGACTTCGTTGGGAACTTGAATGTGGGGATGAACCCTGAAGCGGATGCTAGTTACGTGCCGACATTCCCGAACCTCGGCCGACACCGATCAACGAGTCATACCTCGAGACCCTCTCAAGACTTCTAACCCGACGATTCTTTGTTTTTCAACTGACTATTACCAGTCCAATTGAGGCTAATTGAATTACACAACAGAGACTTTCTCATTTCTGTGTTTCAATCATGTCAGCGAATCCTCCTCGCCAAAGCACACAGTCGCCACCTGAAGCTCAAAAGACCTCATCTGCAAACCCACCGCAGAAGGGTAGCTCGAAACATGAACATGGATGGAGAAGAGTTGTTCGCAATTTCACCCCATCGTCGGTCCCCTTCCTTCTCCCTTCTAGACTTCTTCACATTCGTCGCATGCACCCACTAATCTCCAGCTAGATGGTTCTCCGTAACAATGGGCACAGGAATAGTCTCAATCCTCCTCCACAACCTTCCCTATAACGGAGTATGGCTTTACTGGATCTCCGTAGTAATATTCGCCCTAAACGTCCTCCTCTTTGCACTGGGGACTATAATCAGTTTTCTTCGCTACACCCTATACCCCGAGATCTTCACAGTGATGATCACGCACCCGGTACAGTCAATGTTCATGGGAACGTTTCCAATGGGTCTAGCGACGATAATTAACATGGTCGTTTTCGTCTGCGTACCTGTTTGGGGTGTATGGGTAAGATATTTTGCGTGGGGACTGTGGATTTTCGACGCGGTTATTTCGGTCTTGACAGCTCTTTCGTTGCCTTTTATTCTGTGAGATTGCGACTCCCTCCCCTTTCCTCGGTTTATACTGAAACACCAAAGACAAAATTCCGAGGCTAATGAGACCCGGTGATGATTAGAATGGCCAAAGGAAGCGAGACGCATTTATCTTCGATGACGGCTGTTTGGCTTTTACCGATTGTTAGCTGTATTGTGGCGGCTGCGTCGGGGGCAGTTGTTGCCGAGATCCTGCCTAATGAACAGTATGCTCTGTGGACAGTCATCGCCAGCTATGTGCTTTGGGGAATGGGTCTCCCGCTTGCCCTAATGGTGATGGTTATTTATCTGATGCGATTGACTCTTCACAAACTACCGCCGAAAGCGGTGATTGTGAGTGTATTTCTTCCTCTGGGTCCGCTTGGGCAGGGGGGGATATGGGTAAGTTCAAGCTCAAGCATCTACATCTCGTTTTATTCCATTTATAGGCGAGGATCTCTGACTGATTGAACTGAATGTGTTTAGCGCAATGAAACTAGGCCAATGTGCCCAGCTGATCTTCCCGCAAACGAAGACACTGGAACAATCGTCCGGGTCTACATTTTACACATTGGGATTTCTGATTGCACTGATTCTGTGGGGCTTTGGGCTTGTCTGGTTGTTTTTTGCGTCTGCCTCGATTATAAGGTCCAAGAGCTTTCCGTTTAATATTGGGTGGTGGGGTTTCACGTTTCCGTTGGGGGTGTTTGCGGCGAGCACGGTGCAGATGGGGAATGAGCTTCCTTCGAAGTTTTTCCATATTCTCGGGACGGTGGGTATTTCAAAGGCAATCTAAGCTGGATGTATATGAAGTGTTTGCTAATTGTGGTTTTTTTTTGCAGATTTTGTCTGTTCTGGTGGTGATGCTGTGGATAGTGGTTAGTATGGGGACTCTGCGGGGGGTGGTATCTGGGAAACTGTTCCACGCGCCATGTCTGGGTAATTTGAAGGGAGGGGAGGAGGGAGAGGAGAGGAAGAGGAGGGGAAAAGAGGTGTAAAATACTAATATAATCTATGCATTGAATAAGTATACACTGTAGTCTGTTGTATACACCTTGTATACACCTGTGTATCACGTGATGTGGAGAAAATAAATTATTTTTTCTTCCCCCTCGAATTGTCGTTAGATCAGATCCAGGCCGTCATCCACTTTTGGTCTTGTCCTTGTTCCTCCCATCTGGCCTACTTGGCTTGTTTGGTCTGCTTCTTCCTTTTTTTCTCTCTTTTTTCCTCTCAGACCCTGTTGGACTTCACCTCGTCTTCCCCCCTGATTCCCTCTCCGTGTGCGCCCGCTGCTGATTTCTCAACTCAACTCGACTGCGCTGACGGCGGCTCCGGGCAGAAGTAGCCCCTAATCCTTTTTGGGATTCCCGATTGGGGTTGGTGCCTGAATGCCTTAGTGCCTTGACACCTTGCTGCCTTGTTGCCTTGTCTCGCCTCTCGTTCGGCCGGAACAACAAAACACGCGGCGCGCCCAGATCGCCCCAGTCCAGCCCAGCTGTACCTTTGGCTCTTGCGGCGATTGTCTGTTGTCGTTGCGATCTGCGTCGAGTCTTACTCGTGTGGTCCTTTAATCGGCGACCGTTCGTCCAGATATCCTCCTCCACCCCCCATCGCATGGATCTCGCGTGACTCGACGAAAAAGCAACCGACCCGAATTTCGCCGCTGACGGCAACCTTCAAAGAGATCACACCTCGAAGATGATGGGATACGGGGGTCAGCCCTTCCATCCCCAGCAGCCACAGCAACACCAGCAGCAGCAGCAGCAACAACACCAGCAGCAGCAATCCCAACAAACCCATACTCATCCTTCCTCGCAACCGCAACATCCCCTCGGCTCCCAGCGCCAACAGACCCCATCGTTAGGCGCAAACCCGAACCTATCACAACATGGATCTCCATACGCAGGCAATAAACCTCTCTTCCGACCTCCTCCCCAGCAAAATTATACCACCGCCCAGTCTCCCGATATGCGCAAGATGGCCCCGACGTCGGGCCCACTCGCGGGGTATCCCCCAACGACCAGCTTTGCGCAATTCCCCGGACACTTCGCCCCGCAAGGCTCTCCAGATCTGATGGGTAGGAATCAGGATCCAATGGCGTTGCACAACATGCAAAACATGCAACGCGGTTATAGCCTCGCTCATCTACGCCAACCTCCGGGGATGAGCCCTTCCGCGGCTATTTCGCATGGCCAAGGCATGGGCGTCTCTTCTCCTCAGCAGTCCATGAACCGCCTGCCCCACTCGGGTGTTCAGCAGCGGGAGAACCACCCTTCTGCCAGTCCGTCAATGGCTAGTCCTTCTATGTTTGCCATCAACCAGCAGCGACAATCGCATTCCCAACCACAGTCGCCCCAACAAACGCAACAGCAAATACAGCAAAGACAGCAACAGCAATACCAGCAGCAGAAGCAGCTCCAGCAACAGCAGCAGCAGATGTTGGAGCAGCAGCAGCGCCATGAGCAGCAGCAACGTATCGAGCAACAACGGCTCGAACAGCAACGACAGGAACAGCAGCGCCTAGAGCAACAGCAACGAGCGGAGCAGCAACGGATAGAACAACAGAGGGCTGAACGACGTGCCGAGCAACAGCGACAAGAGCAACAAAAGCGCATTGAGAAGCAGAGACTGGAACAACAGCAGCAGGAACGAAAAAAGCAAGAGCAGCTGGAGAAAGAGCGTGTAGAAAAAGAGCTGGCGGCGGAGCAACAGAGGTTGGAACAGCAACGACTCGAGCGGCAACGTTTGGAACAACAGCGGCTCGACCAACAAAAGGCAGAGCAGCAGAAGCAGCAACTTGAGCAGCAAAGGTTACAAAAGCTTCAGCAACAAGCCCAACATTCCTACCAGCATCAAAATTCCTTTCAATCGCATCCGCAAACTCAATTCAACCAATACCAACCGCCTCAGTCACGATATCAGTTCCAACCTCAAGCCCAAGCCCAAGCCCAAGCCCAAGCCCAAGCTCAGGCACAAGCTCAAGTTCAATACACTCAATCCCCGCAACAGTCCCGACAATCTCAATTCACCCCGACTCAGTTCCAGCACTATCAACCGCCATCTCAATCCGCTCAGTCAGTTCAGCCGTCCCAGTCACAAATCGATCAATCGACGGGCTCCTTCATGCCTCCACCCCGCCAACCTGCTCAAGGAAACGTCATATCTCTGCCCGAGTCGCATGTCAAATCTGAGCCGCAAAGCCCTGCCCCGAAGAAGAAGTCGAAACCTCGTCATTCTACGGTCAGCAAATCCCAATCTGCATATCAGCATTCGTTTCAGGCGGTACCTTCTATTCCAGCTACTGCCCCTCCCCCTGCTCCCGTCTCTTCGTCCATGGCCACTGCAATTCCCACGGCCACTGCCACTCCAGATTTACAACAGAATGGCCATGTCCGATTAACTCCGGTCGCGGGGACGAATGGGGAGATACCACAAACCCCGACACGCCGCAAACGAGGTCGGCCGCGGAAAGAAGAAGTTGCCGCAAGAAATGCAGCCGCGGCAGCCCACGCGGCAGCTACTGGCAAGCCCCTCCCAGCATCACATCCCGGACAGGCCTCGTTTGGTCCCAATATGACGCCTGTAGCGCTTATACCGGGAACGAGCACCCCACAACGAACCATAATCGGCCCGGATGGAACCCCATTGCCCCTCAAAAGGAAACGTGGACGGCCACGCAAGGCCGATCAAATTGCCTGGGCTCAGGCGACCGGACAGCCTCTGCCGCCGCCAAAACCGAAGAAGCCATATGTTCCCAAGCCCGGAACGGGCCGGCCTCGTGGGAGACCTCGAAAAGCCGATGTTGCCGCTGCAGCAGCTGCAGCCGCCGCCGCTGGTGGCACAGCAAATGGCGATCAGGCGCACGGAGACAAATCAACCTTACCGGCTCACACATCAGATGCAAACGCAGCCCAGAAGCGAGCTGCTCTAGTAAATGAGGAGGCCCACAAACATACTGGTGCGACGCCGCCTTACCCTCAGCAGGGCCAACACCATATGTCAATGTCAGGCCAACCCCAGCTGCAAGGCCAACAGCCATTGCAACAGCAACAACAACAGCACCAGTCAATGTCCTCACAAAGCCAACCGCACCCGCATTCTGGTCTGTCGGCACACTCGGGCTTGCCCTTCATTTCACCACAGGCACAAGGCATGTCGCTTCCACAACATTCGCAGCAGCAACTGCCACAGCAGCCTGGGCAGCAACACATGGGACAGCAAGGGCAGCATATGCAGCAGCAGAGCCAGCACCACCCATCAAGCCAGCAGGTCCTCCCACAGCCAGGCCAGACGCTAATGCCGCACCTACAAATGCATCAGCAGCCACCCCTCAATGCTTCACGGCCAACACCCCCCCCCAGCAATACATGCAAATGCCGCCTATGCACAGTCTGCAGCACCCGTCTATACAGGCCCACCAAACTGCCCAAGCCCCGGTTCAAGCACAGCCACAAGGCCGGTCTCCCAATCAGCAACAACCGCACTCCCAATCGCAATCACCGGCCCCGCCTAGACCTGCCCCGCAATACCAGCATCAACATACCTTCCAGGTCCAGCTGCAGCCACAACCAACATAACATAGCCGCCTACCTTTCATCCCATCCCGCCCCTCCGACATCTTACTGTCAATATACCTCACTTCGGCGTTTACGTTCCAGCCCTACTTTACAAATAACCTCACCCTATCTCTTGCATTGATTCATTTGATTGATGTCCACGACACATTCCATTCCATTCCCATATTCCCCCAGTTCGAGTGCACTTTTTTTCATCTTGCTTTTATACTCTGTTCTCCTGCTCTTGTTCTCGCATATCTTCTATATCGCATGTCTCATGTCCCGTCCTGTCCTATCAACGGGCTCTGACTCGACTCCCCTCTGATCAAACGGTCGAGGAAATTTCCGGCGGCGTTCTGCATGTTTTTCTCCCTTTCTTCTCTCTTCTCTCTTGTCTCTTCTCTCCCTTTTCAAGTTCGCATGGGCATTGTTTTGATATGGCTTGTTCTGAACTTTCCCCGTTTATTCGCATTTCCCTGTTCATGTCTCCGTCTTGCCTGATCTTGTGTCTTGTGCATGTCTTGTCTTGTCCTGCTTAGCCGGTGGTCCTCTTGTCTTAAATATCTAATGCTGTAGTACATATTCCTAATTTATGGGCGAATACCTGCATTGTTTTTCACTTCTCAAAACTTCTACTATGATGCATTTCCTGATTCCATCGCTACGTCCACAATTTCATCTTGGTGTTCTATCTACCCCAGGGCCGACATGTCGACTCGGGATGATAAGCGACCTGGGCACCACTACGCCTATGACCTACTTTGGTAGGTATATCCATTCTATTCCACCCATCCAATCGGACCATGCTCACCTACACTAATGCACGGCGGCTACGCTAATATCAGAGTCCTAGGTGATCTGACCACCGCACTCTATCTCAACCCAGCATAGAAAAGGTAGCGCACGAAAATGAACACTCTAGTTATCTCAGAATTTTATACATTCTGCAAATTCATCGAGAACTGTAAATTTCTTCTCAATACCAGCAATCTTTGCAGAAAGAATCGTCGCTGAAATGAAGTCTGAACGCTGGTGGGGTCTTTCTCTATCTTTTCCTACTCCATACTCGGAGCCGAACCAGACGAACACAATTACCTCAATTTACCTAATGCGAGGGATTAAAAAACCAAGGAGCCGTTGGTGACCATGTGGACATTCTGCGCGGAGTAAAGGACATAATATCTCCATTCAGGTACGATTTCCATTCCCAAGAGGCCTTAGCACATATTTTGTGGGGGATGGTTATCATTCGCCGTTTTCGGAACAGTAGACCGGGTAAAGAATCCCGCCATGCGCCCTCATGAACACCTGGGCAAATATTGGCATTGAGAAATTTCGCGCGGGAATTCGGAGAAATTATCGCTGCCGTATTTAATATTTGTGGAACAGTTCGTCATTGAGCTCTCTTGTAAATATGCGGTGTGTTCTTGGGGGTTGGCTGGTTCCAAGGTTAGAGCGGGGTGAGATGAACTCATAGTCTGATATTGTCTTGAAGTGAGCAAATTAACAGACTCCGGGTTGAATTTGCGGTTCATTGCTATCTGAACTTTATCACTAATGCTGACAGCATCGCTAGTCCCGCTTTTTGGGGTTCACCGTTTAGGATAATGGGTGTGCCGTGTGGGGTAAAGTGAGGTATTACAAGATATCTTGCTGCCCCTTTCCTCACATCTCTGTCCACAACCAACCCCAGATTTTGTCCGTTTCAAGCTCGGTTGAATCTAAGTCATTGTATCAAAGCTCTTTGATTCACTTTTCAGTTTATTTTCTATTACTAGTGCAGCTAGCAGGTCTCCTCTATCTCCCATTCGTTTCCATGACCATTGCCTCTATTTGGAAATCACCAGGTTATCTTACTCAACGGAGAATTAAACATCAACAATTACCCAGAGCAACCAAATCTGCAAGCGACGATAGGAGAAGCAACCCGATACACCCAAGTGCGTCAAGAGAAATCCTTATCGATAAAAAAGTCCGCCTAGCAACAACACTCCGGAAATGGACACCCATCCGGAAATGGACATCAACCCTACGTCTCAGTCACGGCCACCTTCAATCCAGTCCGAATCACAAATCACAAAGCCAAGCAACTCACATCAAAAAGAGCCGAAATCATCTTACCCATGCGACGATGCTGCCAAGGTAGAAACGGGTTCCATAATGACTGACAACCTTGGCGACCAAGAGGTCCTGAGCAATCAAGACACGATCAATTATCGAACATGTAGCTGGCAAAAGGTAGGCCGGTGAAGTTGCGAATATCACTCTGTCTCCAAGTACTCGCTGAACTGATAATTTCTATCTAGACCGCCGCCTTGCTATTTTCGGAATACATCTGCATAGCCATCATGTCGTTTCCGTGGTCATACTCGGTTCTCGGTCTCATCCCGGGTCTACTGTTAACATTGGCTATTGCGATGATAGTGCTCTATACATCGTTGACAATATGGTGCGTCTTACCTTTACTGATTTTGATCATTGGGGAGAAATAAATTAAGCAATATGCAGGAGATTTTGCCTGCGACACCCCGAAGTTCGGGATGTTTGCGATATAAGTAAAATATTGTTCTTCGATTCAGATATCGTGTGGTACATCGCGGCCGCCATGTTCTTGCTGAACAATACTTTTATTCAGGTATACCTACCTCAATGCCAGAAGTTCTGTGTGTGAGAGTTCAAGCTGTGAAAAGATATTGACAGAGTTTTTAGGCACTCCATTGTCTAGTCGGGGCTGAGTATCTAAACACAATCTCAGGACACCCTTTCTGCACAGTTGCCCTGGCCCTCCTCACAGCAATTGTGTCATTCTTCTGCTCTCTACCACGAACATTTGGCACACTATCGAAAATAGGAACATTCTCAGCCATCGCGACATTTATCTCCATCCTACTGGCCGTAATATTCGCAGGAATCCAAGACCACCCCTTCGGATGGACCGAGGCCAAAGGAGACCCCGTTATACGCAATTTCCCGGCGCCCGGTACGACATTCGTTCAAGGAATGAGCGCATTTCTAAACATCAGCTTCACATTCATAGGCCAGATTACTATCCCCAGCTTCATAGCCGAGATGAAAGAGCCAGAAGATTTCTGGAAATCCGTCGCAGCAGTCACAGTCGCCGAAATTATCTTATTCACAATCGTCGGTGCTCTCATTTACGTCTTCGTCGGAAATCAATACATGACCTCGCCAGCCTTCGCCTCATTGGGAAACGACATCTACATGAAAATATCCTTCTCATTCATGGTCCCCACGCTCATTTTCCTGGGCGTTCTTTACGCTTCGGTTTCGGCGAGATTTATCTTCTTTCGCATGTTTGAGGGCACTCGTCATAAGGCGAATCATACGGTTATTGGGTGGGTCAGTTGGGCGGCTATTCTTTTATTCCTTTGGATTGTTGCGTGGATTATTTCAGAGGTCATTCCGTTCTTCACGAATTTGCTTTCGATCATGAGTGCGATTTTTGGCTCCTATTTTGGTTTTATCCTTTGGGGTTTCGCTTGGATTCGGATGCGGCAGGCTGAGAATCCTAATCTTATGAAAAGAAAGAGTATTCGGGAATGGGCTGAGTTGGTATTTAACGTGCTTATTATTTGCATTGGGCTTTTGTTTTTGGGACCGGGGACTTTTGTGAGTTTGACTCCTGCCTGCATTCCCCTTTACGTATAGTATATGCTTTTTGGGTCTTGTGACTAACTGGCTTCGTGCATGTTCTAGGCTTCGGTGCAATCGGTCGTTGATAGTTACAGATCGGGTGGATTCGGTCAGGCTTTCTCGTGTGCCAGCAATGCATTGCATCCAGGCTGATTCAAGAGTGGAATCGATCACCTGGGCAAAGACTCGTCGATTTCCAGGGTTCCCGTAATCGAGTTGCTTTTTTTTTTCCTGGCTGCGGGCGTTAGTAACTGAAACTTGAATATAATTTATATACCTCCAGGGCTCTGTACCCTTTGTGTTGGTCAAGTACCTAGTAGTTGAATCTTATGATTTCCTTTGGAACATCAATAACATGCTCGCAGGAGTGAATATCCACTCACGTTTAGTCGAAGTACAACTTGGACACTGCCAAAAGCTTCGCACGCCTGGGCAAGAATCGATATATCGATTCCGGAATTTCCAAATTATGAACTCCAGCCCCCACAAATGAAACCTTTAGAGCTTTCTTGGCAAACAAAGAACCTTGGAACGAATAAGGGACGTTCTTCTCGAAGGTGAATCAAAAGGTAAATTTCTTTTATGTAAATGGCGGACCTGTGAATTACTGCATCCAGTTAGTTTCCCCTTTCTAGGTTTAGCGCCCTAATATACTGTCTTGTAACCTGTGCTTCATATTGCCTCGACGATCAACAGCTGGGTATATCTTCAACATTGGCAGTGGTGCAATCAGTTGGCAGTCGAAACGCCAAAGCGTAGTTGCTCTCTCGACCTGTGAAGCCCAATTTTCAAGTCAGACAGAGGCAACCAAAGAGGCAGTCTGGCTGAGAAGTCTTCTGAATGAATTGAACATAAACCAAGGAAAAGCTGCAACGATCATTTGTGGTGACAACCAAGGAGCCATCGCCCTGTCTTCGGATCCACAATACCACTCGCGTACGAAGCATATGGAAATCCAGCGCAAGTGGCAAGAAGAAGTCCAAGATCTTGAAATAGTGGAGTTGCAATATATTCCAACTACCGAACAAATTGCCGATGGGCTCACCAAGCCTCTTGCACGAGGACGATTCGAATGGCTTCGTGAAGGGCTTGGCATCGAGTGACACCTCGCTCGGGCCACGGGCCTCGGGCCTCGAAAAAAATTTAAACTGCAGGGGGGGTACCCCTTCCTTCTTTTTTTTGAGAGGTTTTTGAAGATTTTAACGGGGCCCTGCATCACCGTGATGGATGGTCACTGGCACCCTTGAAGGTGGTTGCCATTGAGTGGGAGTGTTGAGTATCACGGTGGTCAAAGCATATAATGGGGATCATCAAAAAACAAATAAATAGATGAGGAGCCCCACCTCCAACAAGAGTGATAACTTAACTTAATAGAATTACTTCTCTTAACACGTTTATTCGCGCGAATATGAATATGTCGTATATTCGCATCCCTTTATTCCTTTCGGAACCCTACACCCAACACCATGCCAATCACCGAATTGATCCTCCTTGCTCGCACAACCAATATGTAACATAAACTTATATTCTAGAAAGCCCTTGTCACAACCCCCATCTAGTCACTTAAACGGCTCATTGAGCTTTTTTTTTCTACCCATACCAGAGCGCATGGCGCACCAGCCTCGAACAAAACTGGCGATATTGCACACGCGCGGGGGGGCGAAGCCAGTTCACTAGGTCGGTCACTGCAAAGGCTACCGAATTCACAAGCGGTCTCATGCCGTAGGAAGCGGATAATTATTGGCTATTATTCTATATTCCTGGAATATAGCTTCGTTAACACCTTGCAAACATTATTTACGGTTTAGAAGTTTTGCGCTAAGCGCTTTTTCAGTGTCTTCTTCCAGGGCCTAGGATTTCTATTTTATTGTAGATCTAAAACACTAGCCTGGCTCTCACTTATATATCTACACAAGCGGCTTGTCTATGCTTCCATCCCATCTCAGTCATTCTTAGAGCAGCTTGTGCTCCCGAAATGAACTCGGACCAGCTCTGAAGATTCAGTCCGGGGATCTAACACGGTCAGCAGATGTAGTGCTAATCGAGGAGGGCGTATTATTGACTTACATCCTTAGCTTGCACGAACTCCTCGCGTGCGTAGACATTTCCGCAGCTTTCGAAAATCAGCAACTGCTCAGTGAAGTCCAATGCAATGTCCTCCGACATGCCGTCACGAGTCATGAGTAGCTCCTGGAATTCGCTGGCAGTCGAAGCTTGATAGCGAGTGGGAACGTTATAGTCTGATACCGGAATTAGCATGACGAACCACTACTTTAATACAAGGGTGTCGTACAGGAGCCCATCTCAGCGAGCTTTTCGGCCTCGGATAGCGCCTGAGCCCAGAAGGCAATGGTCTTGGTGAAGTAGGTAGAGCGAGCTTCGAGGACCTGATGTACCAGCTTGCCCGTATCACGAATCGCCACATTAGGCAGAATCGTCTGAGGGCTGTGTGGGAACTTGAGCGTGTATGTGCCTTTGGCGTCCTAAATCGCGATTTTGGTGAGTACTCAACTTGAATTTTATCGGCAGAATAGCTCACTTTGACGGGCAGGTACCGCTGGGGATCGGTCAAAGTGTTCTCAAAGTAATTGGGGAAGAGAATGGTAGTCGTCTTTGCCCAGAGGTTCGGTTTCTGGGTCAGGATATACTCAGTAATCAGGCTCTTACCCTTCCAGTGATGCACATTCAGATATTTGCCGTCAGATAAGGCGACGGGGTCTGGCAAAGCGCTCCAGATTAAGTGCTGCAACGTCACTACGCCAGCAGCAGCATCCACAATCGCCTTGCCCTGCTCGATCTCTGCAGCAGCAGACCGCTTTTGCCAGAAGTCAGTCAGTGCGTAGATCACATCCGCACCAGCAAAGGCCGCAGTCAGGGTTTCTCTGTCACCATCCAGGTCTGCACGACAAAGTTCAACTCCCTGAGCAGCGAGCTGCTGAGCCTTAGGCTTGGAAGGATCACGGGTGATGGCCCGGACATGATAGAGATTAGGGTACTTCAGGAACTCTGTAACCACAGATCCGCCCTATAGATACAACGTCAGCAACCTGCATCGTCCAAATGACGTGCGGATGTGAGAAGACTTGCCTGAGAGCCAGTGGCACCGATCACCACGACATTTCGCTTGGCAACTGTCATTGTCTTTGCAATTTGGTGTAGCCTTGTATTAGGGTACTGTGAAGGGATTGATTCAACTACGGGATACGCGACGCTGGAAATTTATATAGGGCAGTATACAGGAACCCAAGAGACTATAGATGCTATTGCTACCGCTGAGTCAGCGGTAGGCATGCAAATGATCGACATGAACCTGACGCCAATCCGATGCTGTCCCATCTGTCCCATCCGCCAAACCTGAGTTCCGGATACACCGATCACGATTATTGATATTTTGTGAAGGCTCGGAGCATAACCTAAGTGTCCGCCATAGTTGTGCTCCAAACCGCTGCAGCATCGTCCGGGAAGAGACCGGACACCTCGCCTGAATCCAACTGGGCCATGCACTCAATAGGCCAAGGGTCCCAACGGATTCGGCCCGCCGACTCTAAGGAAGAACGGCAATAAACCCTGTCGATCATCAAGCTGGAAAGCTCGGAGTATCTCGGCAGTTCACCATCTGCCGACACCGACGGTGATTAGTCTCGACGAGCTGCGTTGGTGGAGCTTTGGCGGCGAACTAGCCGCTACCATGGAACATAGCCTCTCCGGTCCGAGGCTTGTTTGTTTCAACTCCCCATTTGTTCTATTTATTCTCGGTCCTGATCGGTAGATGCGGAATCCGAGATCGAATCCGAGATCAGGTGTGGGGCTTCCCTGTGAAATCAGTATCTATCCCAATATAAATTCGGACATTTCGGACAGCAAGACCGATTACTCTAATGACTACCCGAGTACGAGCATTTAAAAATTGCTGGATTTACGTATTTGACATATTTCACGATGACTTTTGTTGTTCTTGTCACCGGGGCTAATCGAGGTGAGCGGGAACTCTCCTCCCAGTGTGGTAGGTCCTGTGGCTGACTCAACTTGTAGGCATTGGAAGAGGTCTCGTGGAACATTATCTTGCTCAGCCAGAAACGACTGTCATTGGTGCTGCTCGAGATGTTTCCTGCGCAAATGCAAAAGAGCTCAATGAGCTGCCAAAGGGTGAAGGCTCCCGCCTGATCGTCGTGCCGTTGAGTGCGGACAGTCCAATGGGTGCGACAGAAGCGGTATTGGAAATGCAGAAGCAGCATCTTGTTGGGCATATTGATCTTGTCATTGCTAATGCTGGTATTTGCAACCACTTCGGACCGGTAGAAGAAATGACCGACTCCGACGTGCTGTCTCACTTCGAAGTGAATACGCTAGGACCGCTTAGACTGTTTCGAGCCATTGCACCATTGCTACGGAAAGCCAGCGTTCCCAAGTTTGCTTATATCTCTACGGCCCTGGCAAGCATTCATATGATCGAACATATTCCCTCGTTGACGGCTGCTTATGGAATGTCAAAAGTGGCTGGAAACTATCTGGTAAAGAAGATGGATGCGGAGAATAAGGACCTGATCGCTTTGTCCATTGATCCGGGGTAAGTTTGCCTTTGCATTTCCATTTTTCAGGAGACAAGGAACGCTGACGATGAAACTCACCTTTCTCAATGGGTAGAATGGTACAAACAGACATGGGCAGTCGTGCGGCACAGGCCAATGGGCTAGAGAAGGCCCCTGTAACCCTCCAGGAAACCGTTCAGGGTATCACTCACCAGGTATGCAGGAATTTGACTACCATTACTAGCTGCAGGTTACTGACGTTGCTGCAGATTGAGGTAGCAACGAAGCCGACCACGTCTGGTCAATTTGTTGATTATAATGGGCAGAAGGTCTCTTGGTAAAGGCGGGGGTAGAAACGTTAGATCACTATATAGCTGGACTTTATATTGCTTTCATGCGACATATGACACGGCATAGACTTCGTTCTTCATATCTCATACCTACATAAGAGCTGCCCCCCCGCCCCTCGAAAAATAAAACTGGTAGATTAAGCGTAGGCGGAGAATCTATGGGACTTTCATTTTAAAGGGTCTAAACGTATTTTCAGTGCATCTTAGTATAAATATTTGAAAACGTATTTGTGTGATCACAAGGTACATGATACGAATAGATTTAGGCATGAAGTGAATGCAATAGTCATTTAATACAAGGAGTTTCTGTCCATGTTGCACAATTCTTGAAACAGAGTTAAAAATGAATCTAGTTGTACAATAGCATGCTCCATTTCAAGGAATCCATACATCAACTTCAAACTCCACGAGATGCTCGGGAAATGGCAGGCTTTCGATTCCCACCATGGTGAATAACGGCTGGTGGCGGGGACACCATTTCTTGATGTAGTGAACCATATTTTCCCGTGCCACTGCACGCATTCCGGACAATCCCACAAAGAATGCGTGTAGCTTGACCACGTAATCCCAGCCAGAATCACCCTCCTTAATCGTATGACCTTCTTTGACGAGAGTGCGGATGATCAGATCATCAATGTTTTTGAAGGCTTGCGCAATTTGCTCCTCGATTTTGGGAGATGTCTCCCTAGTCAAGGGATCCATGCCAGCTTAGCAATATAATTAGCCCTATGTCCTCAGAGGTGCCGCCGGTATATTGCTTACTCTGGCCGGTGACGACTAGCCGATTGCCGATGAGGCAAGCATCGCTAAACCCGTATTTCTCGCGACATTCTTCTCCAAAGCCAGGAAGCGCGTGGTACCTAAAGGAAGCCATTTTGCAGGTCGTAAGCTTGTAGAATTCTACAGTTCATAGATCAGCGATCGCCATACCAGATATAAATATACTGTAATTGGTCTAAGATGCGGATTGGCCGGTCCGCTTTGTCAGCGGAGCATGTCTCCATTACCTACGTACAGTGGGGGCGTGGAGCGTCGGGGGAGCGTCGGCACTACTCCGTATAATCCATGGTTTCTACTATTGCCACTTTTTCGGACCGAAAGAAGAAGAGAAAAAAAAATCCGTAGAGATGAGTCATTAATGATACATATAATAAAAGCTCAAGAAAATCAGTCAGAGAAATATAATGGTCTCAGGTCACTTTGTCTACGTCAGTCAATTATCTTTGTGAAAAAGTCCCTTCAACTGCTAGCTTTGCCCACGTGTTATCTCGCATTGAACAACTTACTGTGTGCCAGTCATGGAGCATATCAAGCAGTCATTTGCTAGAGCGAAGCATGAGAACCGCGCTGCTCTGGGAGCGTATGTTACTGCTGGGTATCCTACAGTGGAGGAGACGCCAGATATTCTACTCAGTCTTGAGAGCGGCGGTGCAGGTGCGTACCTATCAATACACTATGGTGAATAAGTGTTTATATCCATTCATACCATCTGACGCTCTATAAATGAATAGATATGATCGAGCTTGGCATGCCGTTCTCCGACCCTATTGCGGACGGCCCTGTTATCCAAGAGGCCAATGTGATCGCTCTCACCAATGGTGTCACTGTGTCGGAGGTGTTGGACATGGTGCGAGAAGCAAGACGTCGAGGATTACGGATACCAGTCCTGCTTATGGGGTACTATAATCCAGTCCTTCAATACGGCGAGGAGAAGCTGTTGCACGACTGCAAGCAGGCAGGTGTCCGTGGGTTCGTCTTGGTTGACCTCCCCATTGAGGAAGCCGTTCGTTTCAGAAGACTATGTGTCAGCAATGGGTTCGTACAGGATCGTCTTCTTTTTACATTTATGAGCTAAAAATCATTAGGCTTTCTTACATCCCCCTCATTGCTCCATCTACGCCCATCCCTCGTATGAAAGCCCTGTGCAGCATAGCCGATTCGTTCATCTACGCTGTTTCCAGACTGGGTGTGACAGGTGCCTCCCAATCACTGAGCGTCAATCTTCCTGAGTTTCTTAGCCGTATTCACAGGCATGCCCGCGATACACCAGTTGCTCTCGGTTTTGGCATCAGTACACGAGAACACTTCCTATCCGTGCAAGCCTTAACTGAAGGCTGTATCATTGGCAGTCAGATTATACATACTATCGGCGCTGCGCCACCCGGCCAAGCCGCCCGATGCGTGGAGAAGCATCTATCTGGCATCACCGGGCGCAAGCTCAAACGGGATGAGAATGGTGCGATTTTACGTGATGACACTGAGTTAGAATCTCCCGTACCTGCTGCAATGCCCCAGGTAATAACTTCAGAGGATGAGCGTTTGGATACTACGGATCTCACGAATTGGCAGGGACCCGTTGCTTCCACGCGTTTTGGTGAATTTGGTGGCCAATACGTGTCAGAATCATTGATGGGCTGTTTATCTGCATTAGACCGAGAATTTGAAGCGGCACGACAAGACCAGGTCTTCTGGGAAGAATATCGTTCCTACTACCCTTATATGGGCCGGCCGAGCGGGTTATACTTTGCTGCACGTCTTACTGAAATGATTGGCGGGGCAAATATCTGGATCAAACGGGAAGATCTCAATCACACTGGGAGCCACAAGATTAACAATGCCCTGGGCCAAATCCTCCTAGCTCGACGATTAGGAAAGAGACGAATCATTTCCGAAACGGGCGCCGGGCAGCATGGCGTGGCCACTGCTACAGTTTGCGCTAAGTTCGGAATGGAATGTGTTGTCTACATGGGCGCGGAAGATGTTCGTCGTCAAGCACTGAATGTGTTCCGGATGAAGCTTCTCGGAGCTAAAGTAGTATCGGTCACGTCCGGTAGTCGAACGCTGCGTGATGCTGTGAATGAAGCGTTGCGTGCATGGGTGAAAGATGTCGAAACCACCCATTACATTCTCGGTTCGGTTGTTGGCCCTCACCCTTTTCCTACGATTGTGCGCACCTTCCAGTCCATCATTGGGCAAGAAACAAAAGAACAGATGCAACATGCTATTGGAAAGCTTCCTGACGCTATTGTAGCCTGTGTCGGAGGAGGGAGCAATGCATCAGGGATGTTTCATCCTTTCCTAGACGAACCAAGTGTCCAGATGTTGGGCGTGGAAGCCGGTGGTGATGGCCTCAATACATCTCGCCATTCAGCGACCCTCTCCGGTGGCAGTAAAGGTGTCCTTCACGGAGTATATACCTATCTACTACAAGATGAATACGGGCAGATTTCGGAGACGCACTCTGTCTCTGCTGGTATGGACTACCCAGCTGTGGGGCCTGAACTCAGCTTCTGGAAGGAAATTGGGAGGGCCCGATTCATTGCTGCGACCGATGCCCAAGCCCTGGCCGGGTTCCGCGCTCTTGCAGAGTATGAAGGTATTATTCCCGCACTTGAGTCATCCCACGCCGTACATGGTGCCATTGAACTCGCCAAGACAATGAAGAAAGGCGCACAGAATATTGTCCTCAATCTTAGCGGACGAGGTGACAAGGATGTCAACACTGTTGCTGAGATTCTACCTCATCTGGGACCTGAGATCGGATGGGATTTGCGGATTTAATGTTTGTTTCAGTATTTTGGATATATCGGTGTACTAGGGAGAATTAGGCGTGACTTGGGTAGATCCTGCTAGAGTTCTTACTTAAAATAGAGGGCGGATTTATCTGAGCTATTCACATGCATAGTAATGATGTACAAATTTTATTATAGTTATACACACAGAAGCATGCCCTGTCCACTTTCTAATTGTATCGGCTGTAAACTAGAATCTGCATCATCAATTAAAAATTGTTTGTAACACATTCGGTTTCGCAAATAAATTACCCCTTGTAGACACTGACGTTGTTTCTCGACGCATACTCGAGTATACAATAACGTTTCAAGAGTATTTGCATTTCAGTACATCCTACCCTATATCGTTCTTAATACATCTACCTCCATATACCACCTCCTACATCCCACTGCTACGCATTCTGCGTGTGCATGCGTTTGTATGCATAATCCCCAGGTCAACGAGGTGGTTTATCCGTACTTACTGCGTTATGATCTATGATATTGATTATTCACTATCTCATCAGCTAGAAAAGCAACGGATTTCCTATCACTCTTGTATTCCACTTCTGTTATTTCGGATTATATCAGTCTTTCCCTGTGACATTTTACCATGTACTTCTTATTATAATTACCACCTATTTGGACATCCTTTTGTTCATGAGTAGAGCTCCCACGCATACCTAACCATACTGCGTTAACCAGCCACTGTTCAACCTTCCTGTTTGGTAAGCCGATATACCTCCCCGTGTCCAGTCATTCTTCGATAATCGTAGATCTATGGTTAGATCACACGGCCTTTTGTCTGCTCTCGTGCGCAATCGCTTTTTGTGCACACACCGGGATTTATGCGCAGCGTGTAAATCCGACACTTTCAATATAAGATAACTAATCGCAAAGGCACATAAGATCTTTATATATAGGCCGACCGGTATAGTCGCCTTAAGCGAGCAATAACGCTTTCATATATTGCCATCGCGGTATCCGCATCAAATAAGCCCGCCCTTATCATTCGGACATGATAATTGAATTCTTGGAAAAGGTTTAGGTAACTCTCGTAAAAGACCTAATGAGGAACGCAGTGTAGTGCCTGCGTATGGTTGCTGATTCGATTGAATTTCTGATCAAGGTAAGGGGCCTGATATGGAATTTTTGAAAGCGGGAGATCTCGAGTTAATATCATGATTATCATTCATCTTTGGTACACTAAGGGGACAATGGAAAAGGTCGACTTGAAAGGAACCTAGGTGATTATGAGCGAATAAATCAAACATAGCTTATAGCATAGCAGAATATGGTATACATTAATCCGAAGACATTGTAAGAAGTTCTTGAATCGAGATAGGACCTCTTAATAAAGTAAATACATTCTTGATCAGCTTCTTCCGGCCCCTTAACTCTGTCCTCCAGTATGGTTTCTGGATAGTGCTGGACATTCTCTTTCAATATAGAGCCGTCAGACTAAACAGACTGGACAAACTTATTTGATTTTTGTTATCAGACTCCGAATCGGAACTCCCGGACCTTTTTTTGGTAGTAAAAAGTTGCCAAAGATCCTGTGGCTCCGAGAATTATGGGCACGGGGGATTTGGCTTGCGTCTTGATGATTCTAGGGATTGCAGAAGCCAGCAGGAGTACACTGTTTGCCAGGGCCAACTCGGTTCCGTAGTCCCTGTTTTCTTTGACCAGATAACCTAACAATTTGGTTAGCTCGGCGTAGGAAAAAGCGCCCCAAATACGTGTCGCTCATTAGCACTCACCAGCGTATCCATATGAAAGTCCGAGTCCCACTCCTGCGATCAATGATGGTGCTGAGCGTGTCTTTAGATACCCCAAGACCCCCCCAGCAGGAACTATTTTCGGTTAATAATACTCAGTGACTCGGGGATTTCTGTATTATGCATCGAATTGAGAACTTACGGAGAGCGGCAAGTGTAAAGGAAGGATGCTCGGCCATGTTGATAGAGATTCGAAATATAATGACTGACACTGGCGGTCGAACCACGTTCACTTCCGATGTCGAGATTACGAACGGTAAGAAGATTCCATTTAAGCGCGGTCCAACAGTCGAGCGGTCAAAGTCGGCCTCGGCTGTTCGAGTACCCCGAAGCATATCCGTTGATTACTCATGCGGCCCCGGATTTCTTTTGACTAGTTAACTAACTAACGTAATTCCCGCCCGAGTGAAACACCCGCCCGAGTGAAACACCTACCCCCATTAGAAAAATTCAAAATCGATTATCTCAACCAACACCTATTAATTCGGCTAAATATAGCGATTTTTACATGTATTAATCTTGTGCCCAGTCTCCCTGCACCCACTACACCTAGGCAGAGCCCTAGTACGTGGTGGATCTGCCTGAGCAGGCAATTCGCCCTGCTCGTGCGATACTACCCCATCACCTTCTACTAGCTGGTTTAGCTGTTCAACTAGCTGTAAGCCCTCTTCGACGGTTAGACCCTCTTCGCAGGGTATCTGCCTAGTTGACCGATTGCGCTTCTTAATAATTTTCTCGTTCGCCATACGTAAATTCGCATTATCCTGCGCTAGCAACGCAGCGTTGTGAAGCGATAGTGCAGTGCCCTTGATAATTTGATCTAGCATACTTTTAATTGGGCTTGGAGGGCTACTTAACCGACGGTGTAGTAGATCCTTAAGCATAGATGCTTGTTTTTGTAGCTGAACAACAGTTCTAGACGTTTTTGGTGTAAATTGGCTAGATCTGCTGCTTGGCCGGCTGCTTAGTGGTGTAGGCGTTCGTAGAGAGATATTAAGCTTTAAAAGTACTCTTTCTACATCGACTAGTACTAGGCCACTAGCTGTAAAGCTATTCTGAATAATAGCTGGCTTTTGGAAGGCCTCTAGCCGTATATATTGATAGTTCTCTAAGAAATCGTACTTATCGATATGGTTATATCCCCTACGCGTAAGATCGCTGACGAAACGACTATACGCTCTCTTGACTACTGCAAAGCAGCCAACATCTAGTGGCTGTAGTAGATATAATAAATGTAAAGGTATACAAAGAGGTATAATATTGTTTTCTTTACAGATTTGGTCGAATTAGGGCGTAAGGTGGCTACCATAACCGTTAAGAATCAGTAGGCGAAACTGGCCGTGTATATGCAAATTTGTTGATAGGATAAAAAGCTTTTGTAGCCAACATAGGCCAATCTTATCAGTAGTCCAGCCGTTATTAGAGACCTCGATTCGCCAATCTTTCGGAAGATTATCAGTAAACCATCCTACAATAGCTACTTTGCCCTTAAAGATCATACATGGCGGTAGCGAATAGCCATCTACATATATTGTTTTGATAGCAGTAACCCATTCACAATTTCCCGGTTGTAATAGACATCTCCGACCGTAGTATTCTGCCCGCGTTACTACCTTCTGTAAGGATATAAGGCCCATTACAAAGCCTGTCTCATCAAAGTTATAGATATCCTCCGGTTGAATACCGTTCTCATCAATAACGCGTTGTACGGTAGAAAACCACTCTCGTAGTGATTTTGGGTCTTCATTTAGTGCACGCTGGTAGTCGTATCGTACTGAGTAGCGTGTGCGTAGCTCATCACGACGTTGAATAAATTTAGATGGCCAATTCTTGCCAACAGTAGGCGGAGGTTGGCTACCGCACACAGCCAGTAGGATATTAGCCATTTCTCCTACAGTAGCCGGCCTAGGCACTGCTCCACGCACATCCATAGAGAGAATCCACTCAGTAAGCAAATCCTCCTCTAATTGGGTCAATTTATGGCCGTTTGGGCGTATATCGACGCGTGAGGGTAGGCTATTCGCCCGTCGAGACAAGGTAACATAAGATACACCAAATTACTTCGCAGCTGCGCGAATTAATTTGAATTGACCCTTTTGAATAGCTTGCAAGGCTAATAGAACCCTGCCCTCTTTCTCGGTCGCTTTTTGCCAGGATTCAGTGCGTTTTGGTGGCATGGTAGATGGTTGAAGCATGTAAGTTGGTCAGAACGCGCGATTTCTGGTGGGGTGTTTCACTCGGGCGGGTGTTTCACTCGGGCGGGAATTACGTTAGTTACGTCAAGTCGCCGATTAGTCAGCGGGATCGAGTACCTCTGAATGTCGATTTTCACAAACCAAAATCTCGAACGACAACTCTGCAACCGCACTGGAACTTTGTAACTGAGGTTTTCAGTGATTTACTACTTGTTTACCCTTTTGATGTGGGCGGTACCCCTTATTTGTCACTAGACATGAACGAAAACCGCCAACTATACACCGGTCCACCACGATCACGGAAGGGAAACCGGAAACCGAGACGCAGGGCATGCGACTCTTGTTATAAGAAAAAGGTATACCTCTCATGCCTCTGCATCATGTGTAGTACTTCTACGCCATTAGACACAATAGACTCAGTCTCTTCGTTGACATCCAATCCCGGGTTCGGTAGATCCAATGTGATGCAGCTCTCCCCCAGTGCAATTGGTGCGAGCATCATAGTCTCGCTTGCACCTACAATCGACTCCGAGGACAGATGAATACCAGGTATGACTCTTACCCGAGTAGATGGGTCTTTTGGTTCCTGATTGCTTTGCTTTGTTTGCTCTTCGTCCTATGTCGTCCTCTTCGGCTCCGTCAGCTGCCTAATGTCATGAACCAATCGGCTCGTTTGCTCATAACCAAACCTTGTTTTGCGTAACCAGACGATGCCGCTAACGATCGGAAAATTCCGGGTTATCAGGCTTGATACAAGACATAGTGCATCTTACCCACTTGGTGAACCACTTCTCCAAAGTTCTGACACAATACGCCATTTGAGACCAGGATATGCGTTCTTGAACAACATCACCTCTCTCGGGGGGTACCGTATATTCTCAGAGCAAGGCCAAAGATGGATAGAGTCCCAGGTTGGAGATAAAGTCAATTTTGACAGAATATTTTCTCTCGAACTTGACGGACTAAAACCGCCTAGTTCGCATACGAATCCTGAGAGCTCTATTCTTCGGCACCCTGAGCTTCTCGATAGAGCAAGTGTGGAAAAGTATATCAAGGTCTATAACTCATCCTTCCCAAGTCGCGTTTTCCCCGTGATTAGCCAGTCAATGTTCGGGAAAACACTGGACCTCGCCTATAATCCCCTACAAGTCGCAGGTTCTGCTAGTGCCAAGTCATGCGTTTATGCGTTTCTCTCTCATATATCATTGTTTGGCTTTGACGATACTACGCAAGGGAGCAGCATGGATTGCCAGACCTATGCCTCAATGGTGCAGAACTTCACCACGGCAGTAATCCAGGAGTCAACAGTTGATGGCCTCCAGTCATTAATCATGCTGGTGAGTACTGACCCTACCCTCACATGATTTCATCTGAGATTTTAACCGATCTACTAGCTGCATCACCAATACTTTATAGGTGATCTACTTTCCGCAGCTGCAACATTATCGATCGCCACGCGTCTTTTGTATACACTTGGGGCCCATACATTGTATACCGATGAGCCCTTGAACACTTCCTCATCCAAATACAACAAAGGCAACATAAGATGCCACCTACGAGATCTCTTTTGGCTGTGTTACTCTTTCGATAAAGACATATGTCTCAGAACTGGTCAACCGCCCTGTATAATTGACGCACATTGCGATCTCACTCTGCCTTGTGACTATGTGAGGCTGCATTACATCAATCTATGTGACAATGTGTCACAGGCAGATGATGAGATTCTTCCACTTTTCCCCTGGGACCTCCGTCTCTCATTGCTAAAATCAAGAGTATACGAGAGGTTATACAGCGCTCATTCTGCTCGGCAGTCCAAACCAGAATTCTTATCAAGCATCCGCAGCCTTGATGAATCACTAGAGAAATGGAGGCAATCCCTTCCAGAAGAGCTTCGTCCGACCTTATACTTTTCCCAGGAAACACCAGTGGCCGCCAACTTGAACACGTCAGCAGTGATGTTGAGACTTGCGTACTATCATTCCGTGGCAGTAATCCACCAGGCCAGCAGCAAATTCCAAGATTGCACAACCGATATTCCAAGGATCGACAACATCACTTCCAGTACAAGTATTTCCACTACTGCGAGCCGTTCAACGCTATCTTTTCTTCATAAAATGTTATATGTTGTGCACCCCGAATGCGTTTGGTAAGGGCTCCAATGCTTAATATTTAGTAACCATTCATAACTGACGGTCGGCTGGCAAACCAGGGTGGCCCTCTTTTACGCTATTACTGCTGTATTGACTCTTTTCTGCAACATACTTTCCAACCCCCATGATCCAGATGCCATTAATGACATGAAACTGTTGGAAGATGTTCCTATCTTGATACGCCGCATTCCAGTACGAAAGCTTACTCTCGGCGACTGGCTTCAATTGCAATATATGGACGGTGTTATGACCGAACTTGCGGCAATTTGTGCTCAAGTCATATCGAAATCGCGAAGAAATTCACTTGGTACGGGTTTATAATCTAAGAAGTCTTAATTTAATATGGGCCGCCTCTATGTTCGTTACTCATTATATCGTAACTATGAACTCTCCACATCACCGACACATCGCGGTCCTCGGCACGAAAGCCTAAGCTCTAAGTGACCTTTCGAAGCACGGGTATACTTACCTTCTGAAACGCATACATTTCAACGGATACCCCGGCTCTCAAATACCAACTTTGGACTAGCTGCTGAGTCATAATCGTAACAAACCTTCATTGGACACAGTGCATCATGGACTGACTAATCCTATGTGATGTACCTTGCCTTGAGAGATTTTGTGTGGCTATTTGAGATGCGGAATTAGTCAGAGTCGAAGTGAGAGGAGCGGTTGAGGATAAACGGTGAGTAAAGAGCAGGCCGCAGCTATATTTATACCACATCCCGGTGGCAAGGACTAACCATAAGAATTTATATCGTCGTAATTAGCGGTATTCAATCTCTTTGCCCTCGATAGGCTACCGCTTACATTCCAGTACCAATAATAAGCATTGAAGCTCCGAGGATCTCAATCCCAGATCCTAGGAGCAACCTGTCCTAATCCTGGAGAGGTCTTAAGTCCCTCAGAGGTCTAGACAGTTCTACCACTCTTATAATCGTAAGATAAGCTTGTTGATTCACATGGACAGCCTATCCAGTGACTAGGAAAACGTGACAGAATTAAATTAAGATAGCGGGATTTGAGTTATGCCTAAAGAAAAACCCTTTACGTTTAGTAGACCGTAGTGTGGTGGCCATCTTTGACCAGAATCTGTATTACTAAGTAGTGGGAATCATGGCTGGAGCTACTATCTTGTAGGGAATGCTTTGTAGAGCTTTACTATAATTAAAGGAGAATTTCAGGATGTTTCTAGACTCTTGAGTTTGCAATAGTTCTTAATAATTACTGACTGCTAATAGCAGAGTTAAGTAGCAACTAGACTAAGTTGTCTTATACTAAGATAGTGGACGTATAAGATATATTCAAAGAAGCTAAGATACTTTTATTTGTGATTGACCCGTCCTCCAAATATACTTCGCGATATACCAAAGAGACGCAGAATTTTTCCTTGTATAGGGCAAAGCTTGCAAATCTAGAACCCAAATTTCGACATTATATAGTATTAGGCTCGATACACATAACCCCTTTGGATAGTTTATCGGCTCCAAGATAGGGTATAAAGAGATTGATTTCTGTCCATCAGATGCTGTCCTCATCACATTAGCGTCTACATAAGGCCTATATTAAATATGGATTATCTGACTCAACTAGGAAGTATATAGCTTATTTATGTTCCGGAGAAGGTCTATCAAGTTAAGTTACAAACTGTTCCTATAGAAGGTTATATAAGGGAAGGTCGCTCTTCTCATAGCTTCTGGAGCAATAGTATATACTGTAACGAACTGGTGTTGTTACCATTCGTGGATGCCTTATGCCTACGGCACCACTCTAGGCATCCACGCCATACACCTGTGTATCTAGCCTTCTATCCTAGCTTCCTTCTTATTCTCCTCAAGCTATTACTTTCGTCGAACCGCTACTGCTTTCTTTGCTTCGTATGCTACGCCGTACGTTGATCTCTGTGAGTATCTGAGCATCCTCACATATACTATAGCACTATGTATATTAAAATCTGCGGCTTCTGCATAGTCATAGGTGGCTAGATAGGCAAGGCTTCTTATCCAAGAATTAAGGAATTATCCTTTTGTGCCGGATCCCGCTAGCAGAATTTTGGACTATTACTATACCGTGTATTCCTTTGGAAAAAATCACTTTTTAAAATAAACCTAGCTGACCAAGAGATTCGAGAATCCTAGGAGTAAAGCTTTGTTAGCCAAACCCAGCGGGACGGCAGGTCCAGCTAATCACACTATCTTATAATCCGGTAGTCCTTATATAAGCGAGTTTGGAGACTGAAATCTCGGCTTCTGACTAACTCTGCTTCATCAATAGCTTCGGGTTCCGCAAGGCAGTACAAGAGTAATCATTAAAGCAGCAAGGCAGATCCCTGTGATACAGAGAATTTTTTGGATATAGTGATAACTCATAATATTAGCACTTCTCTCTGGCGTCCTAATAGGATACCAAAGGACGACCTCGAATAAAGAGCTGTAAACGGCTACTGCCAATATTATATTAGGCTAGAAGGCAAGTTTAGATAACAGAGTTTAATACAGTGTCTACGTCCAGATAGACCCTGACACACACTTTCCAACTGCACTGCCAATATTATATAAAGTAAGATAGCATTAAACCAAACCCAGAAAATATCACGCCTCTAAAAGCAAATAGCATTTCGCGGCGATATATATAGATCTAACAACTTTTAAGCCTTGAGCTAAAAGTATAAATATTCACGCTTCTTAAGCGATCGGTTCTTCTCTTATATTAGGTCTGAAACTAACTTAGAGAGACTAGGAGGACTTCGCTATTTAAGTTGTTTGAATTACTTGTATCTCTTTGTAAGGTTCTATCAATATACTTATATATATTATATAAACATAAGCATGTATTATGTAGCTTAATTATATAAGTAATGTAAGATGGGAATGCTTGCTGGCAGTCTGTCAAGCAGACGGGTCGATCGTAAGAGGACAAAACCACCACACTCGAAGAGTGCAGGAGAGAGAGTAGTAGACAAAGCGATGCCCTACTGAGAAAACAGCATTCAGAGTATTCGAGCAAGGGCTCGAATGTTAGCAATCCGAAATAACGCAAATAACATTGGTGACCCGAAAGGTGGATGGTAAGTTAACTATCATCGAGGGCTTATATACTGCATGAAGGTAAGGCCTCAGGCCTATAACGTCACCTGACATCACCAGAGCGATTCCCCCACTACAGTAACTAAATTTGTAAAAAACCAGAAATTCTCTATTTCTATTTATTGCTAAATATACTAAACTACTCTCGGATAATCTGTGTTAGCCTTATTTATTTTGGGTATATATCGTAAATTACCGGAATATTATATTAGCAGGAGGAAATGCGTATTATCTGTAAGATAAGAAGCTACAACCTAATATGCCCTACGTTATATTTCTCAGTCCTCACCTAGGTTTCTTAGTTAGTACTTCCACGGGCGGTACAAGGAACCATAGCTCCTAATCTAGCAAAGTTAACTCTTATGTTGATTCGTGATGTAGTGTTTCGGAAATCAGTGTTATCCCCTAAGTGCGCCTTATCGGCTTTTCCAGCCATTAACCTAAGAAGATTTTTTGGGGCTATTGAGGGAAAACTTTTTTAGGTAGTCATCGAAATTATAAAATCTAAGATACATTGAAGAAATAATTAAATAATATTGGAGCATTCAATTTAGAAGTCGTTAAAAATAACTGGAGGGGATTGTTAAAGGGGTTATTAAAGGTATTAACAGAGAGGTTTGCTAGAAGATTTTGCGTTATAGAATTATTTAATAAATAAAACAAACGCTAGACGATTTAACTTTAAAAACTCTGATGAGAAGCGGTTAAAAGAAGTTGTTAGAAGAAGACGTTGAAGCAACTAATTCGAGAGAATCTTTAGTATAATCAAATTTTGAGTTATTGAAAAATTGGCATAGCGAGTAGGTGAGAAGGGTGTTAAAGGGGCTGGTTAGAAGTTAGAAATATTAGTGTCAGAAAGTCGTTGAAATTCTTGGTATGGATAGGAAGTAGGTAAAGGGAATAGTCCAAAAATTGTTCGAGGATTTGATTTATCGTAATTATCTCAGGCAGTTGTTGGAGAGAGTTAATGCCAGAAGTCGTTGAAACCGATCGTTGAAGAACATTGCCATTTCTCAACAATGCCATTGTCTACTTCGAAAAGTCAACTTCAATAATTTTTTTCCAGCGACTTTCATCGGCTCCGTGTTAGTAGTCTTTTTAAATAGATTTTTCTGTTAATATATTAAGTGATGCTTCAGTGCTTATATTATTGAGGGGGGTTGATTGTATTGTATTGCATGTTATGTCTAAGATACATGTAGACTGAGAAATCAGGTATATGTGTATGCACGTGATCTCAGCCTCATGAGTATCCCAGCAACCGGGATACTTCAACATTTTCAACGACTTTCAGTGACCAATTTTTCAACGCTTCACTAATCCATTCTTCCAACATTTTTGTTGGAAGAATTAAGTGATGCTTCAATGTTCATGTAATTGAGGGGACTTGATTGTGTTGTGTTATATTGTCTAAGATACAAGTAGACCAAGAGACGGAGATACACGTATTCACGTGAGCCCAGCCTCATTATCTCAGCAACCGGGATATTCCAACAGTGGTGAAAAGGGAGGGTGGTGAAAAGAAGGGTGGTGGGCGGTGGATGGATTCAATTTCACTCCGACCACATATTCACTTCTGTATCGCAAGTTCACAACTGAACTGGCATCCTGCCCATTGGAGCAGAATAGTGATGCACCTCTAATTGGCGTTGAATTGATGAATAGAAGAAAAGAAAGGCTGATCGCAGACAGCGGGTCGAATATCTGATCAGTGATTGAAGATCTTATTGCTGACTCATATAGCTTGCCAGTAGATTGTCGCTTGAATATCTTTGACGAAAGCCCGTTCAGAATGCATTTACGGCCGCAATAATTAGGGCTGGGCAGTGGCGGATTACCAAAGAGTGCATGTAGTATACTAAGCCCGTAAATCCACAGTCCTTCCACCACGGTTCCTCAACATTGGACATGCATCGCCTGGCCAGTAGCTTGCCGGGCCACCAGCCCTCATATTCTGGTCAATGCCCCGCAGGCCGCAGCCCCTAGTCCCAGTCAGCTCACGAGCCCCGGCCCATAGGCCAACCAGGCCTGGTGTCTGTCACTGTCAGCTGGCCACTGGATCAGACCGCTGACCGAATGATCTAGCAAACACAAACAAATTAAAACCGCAAAACCGAGTCTTTTACTGTACACCAGTGAGTCCGGACGGACATGGGCGACTAGGTGACCCTTTGTGGATCGTGCAATTGGGATCCGCTTAGATTCCTCCTGGCTATGTTGCGGTTATTTTGGCCT